TTAAATTTCCGTTAGAGCAAATCAATATGCCTTTGCAGTTTAAGGCCGATAAACAAAGTTAGAGCCGAGTGTTGCTAAATGGAGAATGACTGTAAAAAACTAATTACCAAGCGGTGCTGAAGCAAGTCTCCCCACACGAAAATGGATAATTACGTATAAGTGCAAGCAAGGGCCTGATAAGTGTAATAAGTGTTTAAAAGGTAGCGTTTGATTTAGAGACTTTAATAAAAAAAAACATTCTGAAACACAGATGAGTCTGTTAATGCCACACCGAGTAAAACGTCAACACGTTTCAACCAAGAAAAAGTCTCCATCATTTTCGCACCAAGAACGGCATTAATTGATTAGTTATTTATTCCCATTTAAATGCTGCGTTTCTATCTGAGATTGTTATTGAGCAGTGGGGTCAAACTGAAATTCAAACTCAAAAGGGTCAAACACACACACAGGATTGTGCGTACAGGCATTAAAAGCGGTGCGAGGATGCTGCGAGCGTGACGGTGGGCGGGTGTGGGTGTCTGAAGTGTGTCTCCGTCTTTCTCCGCCGGTGTGAAAAGAATTTCAGCAATTAAAGCCAACATCTCTCTGGTCCCCGATGGAAAGGAAAGGCAGAAAGGGTGAGGAGGCTGTGAGAGGGAGTGGGAGAGATAAAGAAGCGAGCAGAGATAAAAGCCAGAGACGGATATTTTTTTGAGGAAAAGGGAAGAAAGGGAGGTTTTAATTTTAGCTCGGCATGCCGTGTTGCTATGAAGGGAGAATGTGGCATGTGAAGATGTGTATCGGTTACATAGGGGTCAACACGGCACGCTGACCCTAACGTTACATCTCATAGCATGAGCCCACTGTTGAAAAGGTGACTGACGGCAAGAGTTTCTGCCTATTTTAGAGGAAATGACCAAAGCAAAGCTTTTTCCTCAGATAAGCAATGACCCAGTTCCCGAAGTCTCTGTCTTTATTGAACGCTGGCATTCACCTAAAGTCAACCCGCTAATTAGACTACTGACAAACACTCTTTTCTCACACTCTGCCGTGTTTGTGTGTTGGCGTTTATCTCCACCGTAAATATTCTGTGTGTCGTTTTTCTGGCGCGTGGCCGTAGAGCGGCTCGTTGTCCAAACCTTTGTGTCCGTCTCCTCGTCCCAGCGAAGGACCGGAGCTGCTCTGTTCTGCTGCCTGGTGTTTTTGTGTTGAGAGGTGTCTCGTTCTGACCTACATCCGTTACCGTGACCAGCGCTGAACTTCTGTCTCCATGACAACCCGAGGTGTGAGAGGGAGGGAAGCGTCTGCCTGCGACACTCCGAACCCCCACGAGCCGATTTATATCAGAGCAAATGTCTTCGAAGCTTTCTGTTCTAGAAATGTGCATTTTGATTTAGAGTCAGTGTTTTGCGTCATGTTAACTTGTGCGCGGGACAAGGGTGGATAGATGTTGAGGTAGAAGAGAGAAAAGGTGTTTTTGACGTATAATCTATCTATGCAGAGGTGATGCGGTGTGAGCGCAGCAGAGGGGACATTTAGGGGGAGTAAAGGTGGGTGAGGCAGGGGGATGGAGGTCAGAGAGCTTCCCTGGGATCCATCACCATGGGATTATTTGTCTGTATAAAAGAAAAGCTCAGATAACAACAAGGTTGTTTATGTTGTTTTACGCCTATGCATATTTAGCACCTATACTTTTGTTTCTAATCATATGTGTTTATTTAGGAAATCTTTCAGAGGAAGACACAAGCAGCTACAGCCCACTCGCTCAGACACATTTATCCCTGTGTCTTCAGGGCAGATGGTGCTTCACGGCGTTCGTTCATTTGGCTCTTGAGGACGGGAGCTTACAGGAAGAATAAGAGCAACTAAGGGATGAAGTCGGGATGGAAGGATCATCGAAGCATAGCAGGCAGTTGCGCCCGATAAAGGGAAGAGCAGAGCAGCAGATCTGCCTTGTTAGGAGACCGGTGTTGGGACCTCATTCGCTTCCTTTTCTCCTCCTTGTTCTCAACACAGTAACATGTTTTTGCCATCCACGTGTCTGGTGGTTGATTTCAAATACTGATTCCTTCCGGGATGTGCTGCTGTGAGCGGGTCTACAGAGCTACAGGAGGCCTGTGAAAAACCCCAGACAAGATGGGGGGGAATCTATTCACTATGAAAATATTACCTAAATAAAAACCTCTGTGCACAATTTCATATACTTGTTCCTGGCTGCATGTTTAAGGGCTGCAGCCACGTGTGTGTTTTTGTGTGTACTTGTGTCTCTAAAGGAGACCGTAGTGGTTCCCAGAAGTCAGCTGAGCAGCCAGAGCACCGTTGTTCTCTGCCCACTTCATGACTGGGCAATGGGGAAGGAGTGTGAATGGACCACAAGCCTTGACACACTTAATAATACCAATACAATTGTTTGTCTGCACTCTGCTATGTGCACAGTTGTGCTAATAATACTGTTCTCTACTCCTGTCGTGTCATATTGTGCCGTTCCTGTGCTGATCCCGGCACAATGGTTTATTTTCTTATTTCTAAATAAAGACATTTTTCAGTTGGTTGAAAACAATTTACTGGGTGCTGATGATAAAATAAACGGACTAGCCTCATATAAATCAGCCGTTCTCCTCAAATGTGCTTCTTGTCCCAAGTTTAACACTATAATTCTCTCAAACACTGTTTTGAAATGAGGAGTGAGGTTTAGACAAGTTCATTGGCTTTCTCTATTTAGAAAATGAGAGCCAGGATCAAAGGTGCCACTCTGATTTTACATCCAATAGAACGATTGACATTAGGATAGTGTTGACCATCTCTACGTGGCAGAGGGATCACCTGGAACTCCTCCTGAGGATCTGAACTCCGGATCTCGTGTTTCCTCTTTGTTGCAGTGAATTCAAGACGGGTCAGGTCACTCAGACACAAGCTCCTTCCACCACACTGAATAATTCAGGAGAGGCCATGATGCGATATGTGTGTGTGTGTGGGGGGGGGGGGGGGGGCTTCAGTGGAGTGTGAGTGTGTGAAGATGGGCGCTAACAGAGTGGTTTCCTCAGTCGGAGTCTCCTCCCTTCAGCCCTCCTCCACCTGATGATTTGGTTAGAGACTCGACATTAGACCAATTCAGGATGAACGGAACAAACCTGCCGCTGTCGATCTTCATCGTAGTAATGTCACCTCTCTGATATGTGGGAGGAGGATTTGCATAGTGCCACAGCTGTTGTCGTAGCACCTACGCTTGTTTACGCGCAGAATTTTTACAAATATGACTCATCACGCACTGTAATCTCCCCCCGAGATACCCACGATGGGACGGGCTCAGCTTGTTTACAAAAATATCACAATGAAATATTGAAGCCGTCCCTCCGGCTGCCAGCGCCGGCTCCCGAGCCGCTTGCTGTACTTCGGTGTCGTCCGGACTGGCGGTGACGTCAGTCCTCCAATAAGCGGCGACAATAAGCTCTCGAGTTACTGTGCACAGGTACAAAGTGTGCACCCATACATCTCACTGTCATGCATCATTGCTGAAGGGTGAGGTCAGCATGATGCAATTGATCGACTCCTCACTGGCGAAAGCCTGCGGAGAGCTCGAACTGTGCTCTTGAGTTTTGTGATTCCAGCAATCTGACATGGCCGTCCGTGGAGATGTGTATTATGTGTAATAATGTACTTTTAAGGGAAAAAGGAAAGATGTGCTTATCGAAAGTGTTAGAAAACAGTCCCCATAGATCACCCAACGCCTGACTCGCCCACTGCTGTGCTTTATATCTTTATATATTATATATATATTTATATTATATCTTTATATATATATATATATATTTATATACTCATTTCATCCCATATTCAACGATTCCCCCTCATCATTCCTCTAGTTTTTCCTCCATGTCACAGTGCAGAGTAAATAATTCATGTGCCGGGCTGCTTGCTGGTGGAGATGAATCATGTGAGGAGAGCAGGATACACGTGCTCGTCTCAGAGCGACTCCTCTCTCCAAGGAACCCATGACAGCATGGGGGAGGGAGGGGGAGAGGGGGGCGGGGGGGACACTTTGCTCCTCCACAGCTTTAAAGGCCACATGTGCTCCTTCCAACGGGACACGACCAACCCGGCTTTCGTAGCTTAACGCTCAGCTATCCACCGAGAACATATAGCAGCTTTTACTATATCAACACCCTGTGGCATTAGAGCCTCGTGAATTAACTCGTGTGAATTATGTCTCTAGAACAGGTTCAACATGTTTACGTTCAGTTCACTGATCCCTTGAAACGAAACATGTCCATCTGGTAGTGATTGGACGAGAAGCACAAACTCCATATTCACCTCCACGCCGTTTCCACACAAATGTTCATCAGTAGATGCATTTTTTAAGAAGATGCTTTTTAAGAAGACACTGTCCCCCAATTTCACATTTTATATGTTCGATGTCCTAAATTGTTCACTGATGTACGAGATTTAGCAGAGGTTTTATTGTAAATTTTGAAAGACAACCTTTGCGAGAAATGTGTTGAGGCCTCATCTATTTAATGTTTTCAAATGGTGCCACTAGATATGTGCTAACAGAAGCGCAATCAATAACTGGCCAGAGAACAATTTTTCGCCTCCACTCACCTCCTCAAGTGTCGCGGCGAGCTGCACGTCTCCTGCTGTGGTGTTTTCAGCCGCACGTTTGGAATCTCGCCACATATTTGTTTTAGTTGTCGACCGCAGCGAGATCGTTTCATCGTCAGTTGGACAACAAGGTGTCACCTATTCCCCGTCGGGTGATGTTGGATCTTCCTCTAGCAATGCATTAGCACAATATGTTGACACTTTCTACATGTTTGATGAATGAAATACAAAACGTTTGCCGCCCACTGCTCCGTGGATTCTTTCCCATCTGCCCCACTCACACTTCTTCCTCCGATGAATCTGCCGGCCTGAGTCAAACTAAATGCGTTTCTGCAAACGATACCATTGATTAAAGCGCTGCGGTGTCTTGGTAGTGCGTCCTCTCACACCCGTTCTCTCTTCTGTCTTTATTCTTCTTCCAGGTTGGACGCTGCTTGAAGCCCGGAGGACGGTTTGTCTCTGTAACCTTCGCCTCCCCCCTCTTCAGGAAACGGCTCTATGCTCGCGCAGAGTACAACTGGTCGATCCAGAAGTACGGCTACGGAGAAGGCTTTGAATATTTTGTGTACGTAATGACCAAAGGAGAGGCGCTGAGCCCAGAAGATGCGGCGGTGGAGAAAAAGCTACTGGAGGACGCCGAGTCGCCACCGACCACCAACGTCACGATGCAACTTGAAGATGAGGAAGACTTCCTGTTTAATATTGAATCTTAGCAATTCTGTGACACTCAAACTTCTCCACCGTCCAAAATACAACAGGAACAGACATTTTTACTTTACAGGTATGTCGTTATGTAAGAAGTTGGGGTTGATGTTGGCCATATGTGTTCGTTTAGACATCCATAAGGAAGGATTTTAGTGTATTTTTTTATGCAAAATTTAAACTATGCACCATGAGGCACAACTCGACACAAATAAACTACGTTATATATCATTTTCTCACAAGTTAGCGAATAGTGGCCAAATTTCTATTCAAATCCAGGTGGTTAATGCACCATCAACATTTGCAGTTGTTACACATCCAAAGAAGAATCATAAGAAATAACCTTGTTTTATTCATTCAGACAGCATTAACAACATTTACATGTAGAGGAGAAAACATGTTTGTCTAAACATGGATGAAACAAAATGGCAGGGCCAAATAAAAGGATTTGGCTGATGAAAACGTACCCTAAATGATGACTGCTTGTTGTACAAAAAGTTTCTCCCAACATTTATAAAAAAAGTGAAATGATATGTAATGATATTTTAATGTTACAGATCACAATCAATACGCCTCTTACATAATGTCAACGTGGAGCCAATTAAGATCTTCTCTTAGAGAGCAGAGCGTCCCTGTGCTCCCAACTAAAACATTATTTTTCAAATGTTTTTAATGATTATGTTGTTTATTCAGTCAGTTTTTGATTCACTTTGGAGTCATTTAAAGAAATGTTTAACCATGAATCATCATGTCTCTGTATGTTCTCCGTTGCTGCTTCTGTTATTATAGAAACTTTTTTCTTTTAAAAAACAATGGCCAGTGTTCCTCTTTCTTCTGCTCATACGCCACAGATATTCACCGCTCTCGGCTTTCATGGTGCGGCACATGTCTGATCATGTTGCGAGTCTAGACACAGTAAATAACGGCAGGACTGACCTGCGTGTGCAGTCGGTGTTAAATTCCATTTATATGTCAGTCGAATTCTACCTTCCTGTGTTTTGGGTCTGCATCTGATTCCAAAGTGTTCTAAAGAAGCCAGATGAGACGAGCAGCAGCCCGGCCTGAGTGTTATTGGTTGAGGAAACATGAGACTTGCTCGGGTCTTGTGCTTTCTGCTGCTTAAATTTAGACCCTGAAAGAGGGAGCCAGGCATGCAGACAGGCAGAAAGGCTGGTGACTGGAGGGGGGGAACCGCGTTGATAAAGTAGAAATCATTTATTTTTAATTCTCCACTGAGATCTAATTACTGCCTATTTTTAAGACTTGGGAAAAAAGGTGCGTGATTTTTCAGAAGGCTCTTCTTTCTTTCCATGAGTTGTTGCTAAACTGTAACTGCAGTTTGACGAAACGCAGGTAATAGTCAGGGACGACGTTCTAGATGCTCTTGATCACATTCCGCCATCTTCCTCAGAAGGAAAAGTTACCCCAGTTGCCATTTTAGTAACTGTTGACCAAACGCCTCCTCAGTTACTGTTGCTGCGCTCACGAGGCGTGTGTTATCACGTGGCACATATGGGTTTAGCGGTGAGATTGTTTTTATCAAGTATAGTGAAGAATGCATTTTAAGTCTAAATCTGTTCTGCAATCACACGAATATCAACATTTTTCAGTTGTTGTAATCTTTGTGTCTTTTATACTATAAGAAGATTTCAAACTAACCACTGTGATTGGATGTTTAGTTGTTGACCGCGCTCACAAATACACACTGTTTCACACAGCGGCCTCAACCGCTCCGTATCGACCCGAAACTCCTCCCCCCGGACACTTGCACGCTCTATTATCTGGTTCCCATGGTGACATTTGTGTCCAACGTAAGGGTGCTGCTCAGCTGCTTTGCAGCACGGGGACATAAAACATATACAGATGGATTCAGCTCTCAGTGGGATTGGATGAAGGATGCACGCCCCCCCCCCACCCCCCCCCCAAAAACTGTATAGTGTGTTTATTTTCTGCTTCCCTTAAAATACAAGTTGTGTATCGAGTGGAAAATGAAATTGTTTTTCCGCTCCCATAGTTACACTGACTGATCTGCAGCGGCAGAGCCCCCGACAGGGAGATCTAACTAGACTGGACTTAAGTTGCATAACACAGAGCGTGCAGCGGCCCGCACGCAGGAGAGGTCTGCTCATCATTTTCTATTTAGCACAAACCTCTTTGTCTTATTTGCGGATCCTTTCATTTTTTGAAGCTGACCACCTGAGTCACCCGGGTGTCTTGAGCTGTGATTTAGCGCAGAGCACTTGTGTGTTCATGTGCCAGAGAGAGATCGGGGGAGCCAGCATTTTCTCTCCTGCTGCTAATTGTCCTCCATGCTCTGTTGCCCAAGGGCAGCAACGACGCTAATCCACTGCATGCTCGATGCCGTCCTCTGTCTTTCTGTCTCTCTCTCTCCCTGTCACTTGTCCCTCCACCACCCTGCCCTCTCAGTCTGCATCGATTGGCCCTGAGTGCTTTGGGTGTGTGGGTGTGATGTGAGGACTCGTGCAACTCGATAGGACTGCTGCATGCTTTAAACAAACATCTGTGGGTTTTCATCAGCCTCCCTGTATGTGTTTGTGTTAAACTGTGTCACGACACACCACTAATGACTTTTTTTTACGCTATTGAACTGCAGCTGCACTCAAAGCATCCTCGGATTCTCGAAGGGAACTTCTGGTTTCCTCCAACCATGGTCCTAATGTTGTGGTTTACTTCTGTTTTACTAGCAAATGAATGTATTGACATCTGAGAATGTAGAAAAAAGAAAAAAAAAAGAAAAAAAGAAATAGTGGGGTGTTATTCTTGGAAGATGAAACAAGGCGCTCTCTCTGTGAGTGAGCCCCAATGACTCGCTCAAGGCCACTTGCTCTGCACTGCGCGGTTACCGCCGCTCGCGGCGACCCGTCTGATCCGGTCTTGGCGGTAGCGCCGCAACCGCCCTCCTGTTCCCCCTCAGGTAAACACCGTCGCCTCTCTCAGCGTTTTTTTTTTTCTTCTTCTATTGTCGTCCCTGTTACTGCTGTTGGCTCCGTTAGATCCAATAGCTGGCTCAGACGTCGCCATGCTGAGACCCCTCAGAGGCCATGCGAGTGCCCCGAGGGGTCTCAGAGCTTACGTGCACCTATGAAGCAAGCTGCTGCAGCGCGGCAAAGATAAGATTGAGAAACCGCCGGCTATCTTTTGTCGGCTGGAAACCAATCTGCATCGGCTGTTGTGTGCACATGGAAAACAAACTGCCTCTGCTTTAAACTGGTCTGTATATCTGCCCAAATCCCTTGGGGCAACGCAATGGCATAATATACTGTATGGCTGGCTTATGTAACTGGAGGAGGAATATTAATGGATGTCCGCTCAGGATGGGCCGAAAGTGGAATCAGATCAAAGCTCTTTGTTCTCACTGCACATGCTCAGTCTGACCCGAGAGAGTTGCTTTGAGCCGCGCGTGTTCATGTATGTGAGAGAGAACAGCACCGCGGCACTTAACTTAACCGACTCGCCGCTTTGGCTTCTCTGTTTTGCAGAATGCGTGTTGACCGCAGCCCATCGACCAGGTCAGGACACAAGACTCACAAAGTCCTCGGGTTGCATCTATTCCTCCAGCTCACAGTCAAATGACCTCTGACGCTGTGACGTGCAAAACTGAGACTGAGTGTTATTAGAGGAACATATCTCATTAGTTTTTTCAGGTCAGAAATCCTGCATTAGAATTTAAAAAAAAATGCTTTTAGATTTTGATGGTCAAGGTGTCTCACAAAACCAAACCTTTTTTGCCATAACTCAAGAATTCCTGTGGTCTTAATGGCCCAAATGACTGATACGATAAATTTTAGAACTTTACTGTTTAGTGGAGGCAATTATTGGGCGGTAATTTAAGATTTTATACTTAAAAAATGTGTTATCCTTTAAGCCGGTTGCCAGGACACATCTCACATTTCAGACTGTAAACATACCATAGGCCCTTTGAGCCTGAACGGAATGTGACGTTGTCAAATTACAAATTAGCATACAAAAAAAGAAGAACACTGAAGGGTTAGCATGCTGCATATTGGTAGAAGGCGACGATTGAATTACTTTTAAAGTAACATGTTCACAGTGACACTCGCGATGCGAGAGAGCCGTGGCGCAGACATGACACAATCCAATATACGCTGTCATTCACGTTCCTGCCTACCAGCGCAGTCCATTACTGTCAAAAGTGTAGTTGTCCGTGACCGTAGACGGCTACACACGCACGCACACAAAGGACACGGCACAACGTGATCAATATACGTGTTTATTCAGTGCAGTGCTCTCATCATGCGGACAGTCAATAATCTCTCTGATGGGAAGTCGGTGGGCTACGTTGATGACGCTTTGTTGACGTTCTGTTATTAGAGTGAAGTGCAATTCAGTGTCCCATAAAGATAAGTATCAAAGCGTTGTTGTCAGAACGTCTGGCTTTTTATACGCGTTCTGATACTGATAATCGTCCGACACAATATCCTGACTGACAGAGCAGTGTGGTACATTCTGCAGTACACCTTTTCTCACACTGAGGTCTCTTGATGTAATGAACAGGTTATTCCTTTCCTTGGTACTTTGCTGCAGACAGCAAAGGGTGTTTGGAAAGATTGTGACGACGTTCATGTATTATGTAAAATAAAATAAAATTGCGAAAACAAAAACACAACAAGAGATACGTCCGCATTGTGTGTGTGTTTAGAATATGATAACAAATGGTTGTGATGCAGATTTTTTTTCCTGTGCTGCAGTTAGTTCATTTCCCACCACCCTGAATGCCTTTCATGCTTTTTTTTTTTTGTTATTGAGAGTATATGGAAATGTGCAAGCAAAAAGCCAAAAGCGATAAATGGTTGAAATGTGCAGTTTCTGCCGCTGTGTGTGGCTAAACGACATAATGGAGGGAAACACTGTGATAAACCAGAGGACACGTTTCTTTTCTAAAAGGTTTTTGGCGAATTGTTGTATTTTCTGGTGTAACACCCAAGCCAGTGTTTACGTCACAGTTATAACCTACGAGTGAGACCCGATGTATGAGGACACTGGACATGTAGACTGTAAATGTCGATCGTGTGACGCCCCCCCAGGGGTCCGCGGTTTAATGAATTCACTCGTGTAGGCTGACACAGAGCTGTTTAACAGATGGATCGCTGTTCCTTTCCTGCTCTTTAATTAAGGATCAGTATTTAATGTCACATCGCTACTGACTCCAAAAGATCCAAAAAATGAGATGATGTTTTCTGATGATGAAGCTACAGGTATGTTGTTTATTTAAAATAGTAATAGTCACTTAATTTAAATTTTCATAGACACTGTCCTATGTTGATTTTTTTCACGGAACTAGTTCGGACCAATCTTAAATTGGTCCTGTCTGTTAAATGTTATATTAAAATGTCTTAGGACAACAACCATAGCAGAGAATCACATTTACATGTTCTTTCACCATTTATTAATTCACCAAATACAGTGAAAATGGCATCATAATTTACAATGACTCATTCTTAGAATGTCATGACATTTTTGTCGCTTTTTTGCTTCATAAAACAATGTTTCAGTATGGAAAATATTAAGGTTTCATGCACGACAAACCATATCCAGTTTCTTTAAAATAATGGTACAAAATAATCAAAATTAAAAAACAAAAACTGTAGCCTAATGTCCAAAGTCGGTCAAATAACCACATGTTATTTGAAGATACTCGTAAACAGTGCAATGTACTCTAAAACTGCCATTTTCTAACGAATTCATCAACGAAGCTCAAGTCACAGTATACGATTTCTTAATAATAGTTTAACATTTATGTGTGCAAAAACCCCGGACACATTCAGTTAGTCTTTAAAAAACGCCCGTCCTCTGATATAGAATGAGACCAGTCGACCAGAATCTCAGCTTCGCCTCCATGAAGCCCAGTCTCGCTCTGTATATCCTCTCTGAAGTAGAAATATTTTTTGTTGATGAATTGTAAGACGATAGACTAGCATATAATTTAAATAACAAATATTTAGATATAAAAATACAAATATGACTTTAGTTAAAAAGAAGCGTGCCAGGGTAAGAGTAGTGGCACCTACATTGGCACCGGAGTGAAAGTTCATGCAAATTGATGGAGAAAAAAAACGTATAGAAGACAGAAGACGAATATTTGTTAAATCAAAATACCCGAATTACAGAAAGAATTTTCCCCCCCAACAATTCCATGACTTCTCCTTAAAACATTTACTATTTTCTCCACATCTTTGCTGGCCTCTGTAGATATCAGAGCATTTGAAAATACAAAAAAAAAATAAGAAGAAGAACAGAGGGGTAAAAAGATATGTGCAGGTGTAAATCAGCTACATGAAGGTGTCAAGCCACACCTTTAACCACTGATGGGTAATGCAAGAAGAACAAGAAGAAGGAAGGTAGCCTGTGGTTCAGGTTTAATCTGTGGCCTACTGCTCTTTTTAAAGGCCAAGAGCAAACAAGGCTTCTACTACAGAAAATATTAACATTGCACCAACCTCGAATATATAGTTTTTACATGGGTCTCCTCTACTTAGCAGGCTCGAGAGTTTGGTCGGTCTGCTTTTAAAAAGCCATAGCAGCAACAGGAATGCATCGGAGCGGTGCTGAAAGGACAGCTCCCTTGAACGCACCGCCGCCGACCCGATCAACAAAGCAAAGCCTAAAAGGGGGGGAGGGGACGTGTGAGAGCTCAGCCTACCTACGCTACTGTACAACCTTATTGAAAACAGGGCCGGGATTGAGCATCAGCCTCCAGTTGCAGTATGTTTGTTGCCTACAGCGCTGCGGGGAAAAGGAAAACGAGAGATGGTCGTGGAGTAATGACAAGTTCATCCATCATTAAAGTCAGCGGAGGTTGAGCGGTGTCCGCCCACCTCAACATCTTGCTGCGCAGCAGGAGTCAAAAATCGGGATTTGGTTGGAGAATCGCCAGCAATCCCTTGAAAAACCGTGTTCTTTTCGAGAGTCCCCCCCCCCCTCCCCCCAATCGCTTTCTCTTTCTTCGTGGGTTCCTTTCAACGTGGGTCTTCACCTCCAGCCTCCTCCACCCCCCCCCCCCCCCCCCACACACCCCACCCGCCTCCTCCACCTTTTGCCCCCCCCTCCCCCTCTTGTCTCCTCTCGTCAGTCACACCATCCTTGCTTCGTGCCGTCGTTCTTCTCTCCCGCAATCCTCGAACATGCACAGCCGACAAGTGCTTCAAATCGGTGATCAAAAATAAAAAGTCTGCAAGGCATCGCTCACGTTTAAACGCCCGGTGAAGACTTGTCCGCCATCCCCTTCAGGACGTCGTCTATTCGGTCGTCCTCGATGACCACTGTCGAGAGAGAGAGGGGGGGGGGGGGGGGAGGGGGAGGGAGAGAGGTAAGGAAAGAGGACGGTTAATGAGACCGTGAAGGGGGAGAGACACGCGACGTCTCCACAGTGAGTCCGATGCGTATTGTGCGGTCGGTGGGTTATTATGGGGACTTTAGTGGAGAAGGGATTTGGCGCACTAAGTATCCAAAATCAATGAGAAAATGTGTGAGAGTAGTGAGACTGCAGGTGAATAAATAAATAAAGCACTATGGCAACAACAAAAAAGAAAAGACCTCGAGTGCGCGCACTTTGTCAAAACAACTAGTTCCCGGTAATGGCGACGAGCCAGGCGTTTCATCCTTGCGGTTTAGTAACCATTGTTTTTTTGGACAGCATGGGGCGTGTCCCGCTTGTCCACGTAAACCGTTTCATTCTGTAGTACATTTTCAAATATCAGAATTTTGTTTACATGCATTTGAACTACAATATACAGCCCCACAAAACGCTTTAGCCATTTTTCTATCACACAAATGATTCCGTGCATGAGGCACATGCCTCGTAACGCAACCCTTTGATTTCACCATCCTTTACCTCGCTTGGCTCGGCCGATCTGTCCGAGCTTCGGGGGTCTCTTGGCCTGCGACGCAGAGAAGAAGGCGCTCGTGTCCTGCAGTCCGCAGCTGTAGGACATCTGGTTGACCTCGCTATCTGCCCCGTAGCCGCTCATTTTACCCTCGTTGTATGGCAGCACTTCGGACATTGTGGCACGACGGGGAAAAAAAGGATCACCAACGCAAAGAAGAAGCAGACAAAAGTCTTGCTCGGGGACTTTTATGTTCTCAATAAAGCCGTATTTTCCCTTTTTTTTCTCTCTCTCTGCAGCGGTTGTTTGTTATTTGTCTCCTGGCGGGATCCTCTCGGAGCGCAACTCGATTTGGACTGGCGTCTGAGGTGCAGGTGTTGTTGTGGTCTCTCGGTGGTCTCTCGGTGGTCTCTTGGATGCGTTGCAGCTGCAGGGAGAGACGGCGGCGTGTGAGTGGGAGCGGGAGAGCTGCGCTCGCCTGTGTTGCTGGCTGATGTCTGGTGAGGGAAGTGGGAGATCCCGGGATCATAAAGGAAACCCAGGCAGAACGGTGAAGTCATCCATCCGGGTGTGTGTGTGTGTGTGTGTGTGTGTGTGTGTGTGTGTGTGTGTGTGTGTGTGTGTGTGTGTGTGTGTGTGTGTGTGTGTGTGTGTGTGCGGCGGGGGAACCCGATAGGTGGAAGCGCAAGAGCGACATCAGCAGGCGAGAGATGCAATTGGAGACTGAAGGACCCTCAGTGAGGCAGGTTTGGGGCTTGGATACGTTTTTCTTCAGGATATCTGGCGAGAATAAAGAATTACACAGACACGTATTGTGTGGCTGGTCAATTATAAGTATTGTATGTAGCCCCAGAGCACATTTCCCTCAATAATGTAATACAAGTTAATTAAAGGGAACTTCCAAACTAAACTTCCAAAATGACTTCCTTCTATGTGCTTCTTCAGCATTAAGTCCTGATCACTATCTCAGGTATTTATTTGCATATTCGTCATCCTAATTTCCAAAATGTAATTTATTTATGTGCAATTACCTTCTCAGTAGTTTACCTCAGTACTTCTTTATTTTTTTGTCAATTTAAATCTACAATTTACTAAACGTCAGCATCAGTGCAGCGTGCTGGCACTTATTTGATTTCTACTGTTTTTCATCCGCCATATGTCTTGGGAGCATCCCAAATTTTTCGAAATACTAAATCACCGTTTAAGGACCAGAGAAGCAAAGGAAAGCACATTAACATCATGAAGAAAACATGATGGAATTATATACATCATAGACAGAATAACGTAATAATATGATATTGTCCTGGTTACGTTTTCAGCAGCAGATATGTGAAGGGCTCTCTTCAGCACCACGGACAGAGCCACCGGCTTCAAACACCAGCTTTGTTTGACTTGACTTCTTTTTGTTGCAGTCCGTGTTGCAACAGCCGTCCTAGTAGCATATGGTGCCTCATAAAAACTAAAATAATGAGCTGACGAACTATTTTTGGAGCAAACGTGTTTTAACACCTCGGGCCAGCTGACCTATGCTAGAAACGTGTTATAACCGTTCCATCGAAGCAGTCTTCCTCTGTTTTAGCCGCCAGTCTGCATAGCGGACCGGGGAGATGGACCAGCTGACGCTGTTTGAGATCATTGTTGTTGGAATAGCTCCTGTATCTCCTACGGGGGCGAGATGTGTGGCGACTATGGAGCCAAAGCAAAGCCGGCCGACCTGCCTGCCACAGAAACACGGCTCAAATGACCCCCTCTTAAACTCGTTGCTGATATATGCCCCCAGGCATTATAAAAAGAAACAGATCTAAGTACATCCTTATCCAATTCCTCTTTCCCCCTCGTCTCTGCATCAGAGATTAGAAATCTGCCAATCTATCTAAATGTGTTTTGCCAGTGGTTGGACTCCCAAAGCTTCTCCTGCCCAATAAAGCGCCGCCTCCTGCTGTCACAAGCAGAGCAGTTGATTCATGCAGGGATTTCACATGATGTCCTCCGTCGGCGACCTGCTGACCCGCGTGGCACCAGGTGCAGATCCATGTTCATCATTTAGGAAAGAAAATGCTTGTGTTGGTTCTAACTGAAAGCCCTTTCCCCCCCTAATGATGCACCGCCTCCAACTTGATGCTGAGCCCAGTGCGCTTAAGTGCAACAACTCCTCGTTCGGTCTGCCTCGGTTTAGTTGAATTGATCTTTCTCAGTCCACATGCTGTGATTCCTCCTCCTCTGTTCCCTCCTTTCTCCTTCTCCATCTCAACATCTTTAGCAAACAGCCTTCAGGCTCACTCAATCAATCCCATCATCTCTGATGGGGCACCAACCCTTAAGAAATGTGTGTGTGTGTGTGTGTGTGTGTGTGTGTGTGTGTGTGTGTGTGTGTGTGTGTGTGTGTGTGTGTGTGTGTGCGCGTGTGTGTGTGCTCTTGAAGCATTGCCTCCAATTATAAATGAATCACTACGCTGAGTCACTCACTCTCCACATCTTTACCCTCAAGCAGACCATGGTGCTGCTGAACTTACACACACACACACACACACATACACACATGTGTGCTGTAAATACACACTATGCTCCTCCTTGAGGCACAAACGCTGAGGAAAAAAAATCCAAAGCCAGCATAGAGCTGAGAGCCATCAATTCCTTGTGTGTGCGTGTTTATGAGTGTGTGCAGGTGTGTACTTTCAGAAATGTTCTGTTATTATTATTAGTTATTAGGTTGAGCAATCAGGAACCAACTTGACGTGTTTACATTGCATTGAGCTATTGGCCCTGGAGTTCGGAACACACCTGTTGAACGCAATAATTCAAACATTGGTTGGTTAAATATTTGCTTCTTCAGCCGACAACTAAAACCCACGGTGTTCACAGACAGGAGATGTGAACGACTAATAAACCTCATCATAAAGGTTTATTCGCTTTTCATGCCTAAACATCCGCACCAATCTATGTCAGGCTGATACAACTAACAAACCAAAGGACTAAATAGAAAAAATATCTCCCTATTTCACAACCCATGACTGCCTCTCTTTAGGGAAGGAGCGCTTGGTTTGTTTATAAGGGAAGAAGCACACTACAGTGACACTACTGTCACAAAGTAGGTCACCTATCCCACGTCCCACTGGGTGACGGTGGTAATTGGCATCAGGGACTACGGCACGCTGTGATGTCTCTCTCTCTCTCCTGAGCATCTCCCCCTTCCCTGCTGCTGTCTGTTGAGCCTCTGCTGATGCCACGGTCCAAAAAGACCCGTCCGCCCAGCGCGCCCCGTCAGGAGCACGAGTACATAAGGTCATGGCGTGTCAGCATTTATCAAAACTCAGCTTTGCCTTTTTCTTTTTCACTATTGTTTGCTGAATACAACATTCATCTCCATCTTGCTGGGCTATCTTTTGATGCAAGAACAAATTCATACACACTTTCAATTTTACTATCGCATTTGGAATTTCGGGAAATACATATTAAACTGGGCCGAGTTCAGACGACTTCCCATTCGCTGTGGATGTTTCACAGCCCTTTCGTAGCATTCGCTTCCTCCAAAGGCCCATGTGAGATTATTACTGTTACTCCATTGCTGTGCCCTTTGGTGTTCTCCCAAATCCAAATCAAACGCCTCTGGTCCCCCCCCCTGCGGCCTCTGGGGTGTGCGAGTAATGGTCTGTTCCTTCAGAGACACAGCTGCCGTTCTGCTGCGAGAGCTCATGAAGCATTCGTACAAGTGAAGCCTCACTGACTGAGAGGAGGTTCATAAGATCCTGTGTCTCCCACCTGCTCCTTTTTCACACCCACTCAGCCTGACCCCCACCCCCACTTCACCATAACCCCCCCCCACACACACACACACACACACACACACACACACACACGCGTACATGTTCTTTCCTTTTCCGTTCAAAAGGGAACATCTGCCATTCTCCCTCTCGCCGCTCGTTAGAGGAGACGGAAATAGAAAGCCTGAGGAGTCACTCCGGACACCAGGTGGTGTCAACAAGTATTTGTGCCATTGGAGAAGTAAAACGATCCATCATGACTTCGCATCTTCAGAGACTTCAGTGAAACGATTGTATCGACTCGGACATAGACTCATTTTGCATTGTTTGTATTTGAACATTTTGCTTATTGATGGGGGCATCTCAATCTGTGAATATCTTTCCAACTTTAACTGAACTAGTTTACTAGTAAACTACTTTTCTCATAATTATGAGAAGACATTTTCTTTAAATAACTGGATGGCTTCTAATAATGAGATAAGATGTCTTTTTTTTTTCTTTTTGGTGATGGCAAGGCGCTTCGATATCAAAGAACTCAATTAAAGGAGTTATTGCAATTTACAGTTTCTAACATTGGTGTTTGGGAGAAACCATAACGCTCTGATGTGCTTTAGTCAGAAATGACTTTTTCTTTTTCAAGATGAGCTTTTCCTTCCTTGAGACAAGAATCTCTGCCTGCCTCTGGTCATGTTGTGAGTGCGCTCTTTATTCAGCTGTCTGTTAACGTGCCACTAATAAATGAGGAAAGATAAAGGAGTTCTTATTCATAGGTTAGAGAAAGCTAACAGGGATTTTATAGATACATTCACTAAATTAAGTTGTTAAATGTTTATCTTTATGCAAATCTATATGAAAAATATACTTGTAATGTCACTTTGAAAGATGTCAAAATAAAAACTTGTCATTTCCCAGATTTTCTTTTTTTTTTGGCAAGGGACAGATAACGTGTAGCTCTGTTGATGGATGATAAAATATCCTCTAGTTTATCTACTGAGCTCCTGTTTGCACAGATGGGGAAATTCATTCAGCTAAATCACTTCTCGGAAATGCGTTTTGGATTGTTGTGTTGATATTAAATGGTAAAGAACCATTGTTTCCTCAAAAGTTGACCTTTCATGGGCAAAAAAACATGTTTTCCATTTTATGACGATGCCTTTTTTCAAATCATCCTATTTGATTTTAAATGGTTTGTTTAATTCTGGGCGGAATTCTTCACAACAGCTGCTCTGTCCACTTGAGAAACACCTTCATTCCTTTTCCACCCTCAACATATTGTTTCTTTTGTGTGTTTTTTTTGTTTATTTTCTCTTTCGCTGCAGAATGGGACTGCAAAAAGACATATAATATTCTAAGCTTGTATGATTTTATTTGTTTGATGTGTTATTAACATACTATATCAAACTTTGTTTAACGTACTATACCATGACTGTTGTATGACACCTAGAGTTGCCATACTATCCTATGAATATTTTAAAAAATGTATTACTTGTATACTTTATATTTATTGTAGTTATTTATGACTTTTTCAAAATACTAAATTATGGCTTTTTATTGCCGTGGCTTTTAAAAGAATTCTACATTCGTGTACTCAGATCTTTTCATAAATCAGAACCTCTTTATGAATTTTGCGATGAGTTTTCCCAACACACAATACTGACTTGTAATGACTTTAACATGCCAGACTTTGACTATTTTTACTTGTATTACTTCACTTATCTATGAATTTTATCAACATCAATGTTTTGTTCATATATTAAACTATGACTTATGATTTTGGAAGCAAAAATGTAACCCCCAGAAGTAAAAAGGCTATAAAGGGAGGACGGTGGACTCGTTTCCTGAGTGATTAGATTTCATCGCCTTGTAATTGTTACCAGTCTCTTTACTAAGAGAGTTAAGAGTTGATCTTGTGTTATCCACTGTCCTCATGTAGCCATCTAACCAATAACCCATGAGAAAGAAATAACGTTGAGGCAACTTTGAGGTGCAAAAATACTGAGATATTTTTCTTTTCCATGTCCTCAGAGGTCTGTAAGTACTGACAGAGCTCATGAAATCATCGACAGCGAGGAAGATTTACAAGGTCATGTGTCTCCCACCTGCTTCACCCCCCCCCTTCCCAACACACACACACACACACATACACACACGTTGTTTACTTTCTGTGTCGATGAACTCTACCATAATCCCCTCATCTCCCGGCCGAAGGTTCACAAACTAGTGTTCTATTACAGCTCGCTTTCTAAAGCAAAGTGGGTAAGCAAATTAGCCAATTTATACATTGTCATAGCGATAGTAATCTAATTGCACTACACAACATATTAAAAGTGTGATGATTTATTGAATTTGTTTCAACAAGCCAAAATTTGACCCACGTTGACTGTGGTGCATTAATTAACACTTCAGCCTCGTCCTGGAAATAAGGAATCGTTGCTTCAATAACTTGACTCAGGTCCAGTCACATTGTTTTACTGAAAGTGGATGAAACAAAAGAGCTGCTCATTCCGACCACGCTCAAGTTATTTGGACGTCAATAACTATGGAAGCAGCCCCCCAATGACTAGAATAAGGCACAAAACAAACATTTAGGAAAGTGAATATATCCTAAATTGACAGCATTTTTTCTTATTTTCTAATCCACTGTTACTTCTCACATACAACTACAGAAACACGACCTCAGTGAAACAAAACGATTGCACAATGTTAAAAAAAACGTCATATTGCAGTAACGTTTTTTCAAAAAGTCACTGTTGCCCTTTTTGAGGGTTTAAGTGCAGCACTTCAGACCTTAAGGTGTAAAGCCAGTACAGTTTGTATGGTGGTGACATGTGATCACACGGCTGCCCTCAGACGTGGTAGAGAGGCACCACGCGGCTGATGCTTTGCCTACATATGGGGCATCGGCGGTGTGGAAAAGCCTGAAAGCAGCTGTGACAGCAGCACACGTGCCCGCAGTCCAACAGAATGCAGTTACGTGGCTGACTGAGGCAAATCACACAGGCATTTTCTAAAAGTTCCTCCGCCCCACCTTGAGGAGTATCGCGGCCGGCTGCTCTCGAGCCGTCGGCTTGCAGTCTCTCAAACTCCCTCCTCTCCTGCTCCCTCTCCCAGCGGACTTTCAGGTGAGAGTAGTAGCGCCGGCCCACCCAGGCGAGTACGGCCGCCCCCACCAAAGCCGAGCCGACGGCCAGCGCCTTCCACCAAAGAGCCGCGCTCTGTTGCTCCCCCAGCAAGGTGTCAAAGTCCGTGATGCTCAAAAAGTACTGTGAGCCATTTGAAGGGGGTCGGAGATTCAGCGTCCCGTCCACGTCCAGCATCAACTCCCCCACGCCAGTGAGAGTCGTGCCCACCTGGAAAAAAAAGAGGGGAATATTTGTGAGATGCATCATTAAGTTTTTTGATCACATTTTCTGTGTGTTATCAAAAAGAGTTCTAGATATGAGTTACATGAGTTAGCAACCGAAGCATCTCATCTAACAGCTTACCTTGAGCATTTCCTCGGTCTCCAGTTGCCCTTTGAGCTTCTCCCCGCTGAGGTATTGTCCTATGATGTCCCCTAAGCCATAATTGACTTGGTGGAACTTCTCGTGGGTCGTCTCCATGTGAAGTCCGGAGGCCTGCAGAGGGCACAGGACCCTGACGGTGGTCTCATTCGATCCCACTAACACAAAGGGCACTTCGCTCACTCTATGGTGCAAGACTCTTTCACTGTCCGTCCTGCAACACGCAGAGGGACAAAACATGAGGCCTTTTTTAATAAGATAAAGGTAAGGAATATGTATTTTGATCCGGATGCAGTCCTCACCAAGTGCGGGAAAGGCTGTTCCACACCAGCCTGTGTTCTCGCAACAGGAATTTCTGCAACACTCCGACAAATTCCTTTTGGAAGTGGCTCGTAAGAGGTTCACCTGCTGGTTGCACAGCACCTACAGTGTAGATAAACAAGATTGTTTGTGTAAAAAATACTTTTGTCCGTTTCTAGAAACAGTGGCACCGTGTTTACCTTCAATGACAGCATACTGTAGACACGCCCCTGGAGTAACCTTCAAAATGTCTTGGAGTTTTCCATCTATAATGAAGTGTGGAGCTTCCTGACAACATAACAGACAGACTGTATGTATGCAATACATACTGCACTTGAAAGCTTGTTTACATGCATTCGCAATATTCCCGTTCCTCCCAATGGCTTGAACAGAAAACACAATGAAAACACAATTTGAATCCCAAAATATAACAATAAAACGTTCAGTAGGTTTATATTGATCACACAGGAAACATAACCAACATCAAGTTTATCGAGCGTCGTCCGGCTCTTCCTGTAGAAATAGTAACAGATTCCTGACAGGGCCAAGCTGGCCCCGAGACACACCGCCTCTGTGATGTTCACAGGAAATCCATCCATCCCCTCTGAGCCTCCCGTCACTGCAAACCTGTAGTAAGGCACAAATATATATATATATATATACACACATATGTAGAAATGACAACTCAATGCAGTGTAAAAGGTAACGTTGTATCTCAGTGATCTCGGCTAAACTGACTTGAGGTCATTATCAAAACTACTACTCAATTCTCGAAAATATGAGACAAACTGGGGCAAGACCTTGGGACACGTTATGTTAGCTGTTGTGGGACAGCACTTGCTGAAATAATAAATTACTTGAAATATAGACAAATATGCCATTTAAACACAACTGTATAGGTGGATTTGGTACAGTTGACAGCAATACTATTTTTTAATGGAGTCATTTATTATCAAACTACGCTAATTTTATATCTCAACAAAGCAGCAATAGAACCACAAATGGGCAACAATTCGGCCTTTGTCAATAGTGTCATTAAAACATACTACATTGTTTCTCCTGTGAGCGTAACACATGAAGTATTTCGGTGAGATTCATTTCTTAAATAGTTGTTTAGCTTTGTTGCTAGCAGCTAGCGTTAAGGCTTTTAGGAGGGGAAGTAGTGACCTTTAAACGTCTTCAAAACAACAAGAGCGCTATTCAATCATTGAATAACAGCACCTGATGTACAAAGGTACACATGATTTAACTATTAAGGACGACGAGATATAAATTAAGTTTTTTTTTTACCCGTCAGATATCTCGCAAGCTGCCCTCGCATTGACATTTTCGCTCGAACGAAGTTGTGATCCACGTCACGTGACATAGATGATGCGTACGTAGCGTGATTACGTTTCACTGCGCACGTCATTTCCGTCTCTCTCTCTCGCTCTCGACTACTACTGTCGCTTCATACGCCGCCGACATGGCAGGAGGTGTGCGGAAAAAGCCTGCGGGTTCCCCGTCCGCATTGTGGGGGAAACTTAACACTCTGTGGCAGGACAAACATATGGTGTTGTTTAAGAGCGAATACACGTTACTGGTCGTTTCAGTTTTGTGGTTCATGGAGATCGGGATCAATGTGTGGGTGATACAGAAAGTAGCATGTAAGTAGCTGCACGGCTAGCTAGCACGCTATGGTGATTTGTCATTGCTCTGGATGTGTCTGAACGCTAAGTAGCTAGCACTAGCAAACATACCAACTTACTCTGCCACCTGTCAAACGGAATTTTCTGCCCTCGCATGACCATATACAATCATCTGTCCGGTTCTAGTGTCGAAGGCATTTCTCATTTCTCAACAGCTGCCAGCAAACCTACTATTCCCCTAAAAACACTACTTTAAATGACAATATCTTGAATGTGAACTTCACATAGTTCCCCACTGACAACATATAACGTTACTTCTACTCTTAATTACGAGTATTTATGTCATAGTTTATTTTGACATTTATTTATTTCCTGATATATACAGAATATATACAATTGTTGTTTAACTTATCTTATTAATTGAGTTAATCAGTAATCGAATCCGTCAATAAATTGTGTATACTTTAAGAGCTTGAGTTAGTCTCGAGTTCTGTTGTCCCAACTGTTAAATTCACAATCACATGAAAAGCAATCATAAAAACGTGGAAATGTTCACTGTTGTGAATGCTGGAGTGAGTCGATATTTGATATTCTCCACCTAAAAAGGATATTGTAGACATAAAATGACTAACTAATTAATCAACAAATCCCAATTTTTTTTTTTTGAATTGTCAAATAAGAATTTATAGGGCACAACTTGGGACCAAAGATGTTCATGGCAATTTGTCTTATTTTCTAAAAAATGTAAAGCCAAAGAGACCTAATGAATACAAAATGATCATGTTGGTGAACCCACAGCATTGACAGTAACGATGCTTTCTCTTGCAGACACCGAGATAGACTGGAAAGCCTACATGGATGAAGTAGAGGGAGTCATCAATGGGACTTACGACTACACCGAGCTTAAAGGAGACACCGGACCGTTGGTGTGAGTTAAAAAGTCTTTTATGATGTAGGTGTCTATCCCGTAGTTAGATATGTTTTTTCATTGCAGGATTAATCTGCACCTCATTGTTACAGGTACCCGGCTGGCTTTGTCTACATCTTCACTGCCCTCTACTACATTACCAGCCGTGGAGTAAACATCCGTCTGGCCCAGTACATATTTGCAGCTTTCTACCTCGTCACACTGCTGCTCGTCTTCAGGGTCTACCATCGCACTAAGAAGGTCAGTCTGTGGGACAAGAGCCTTTCATCACCAAACTCTATGGCTTGTGACCTATTTCTCTGTACTTTTTACTTTTAAACATGAATGTTTCTGCATGCTGCAATTCTCAATGTTTTTTTTGTTAAAATACCAATGAGTTTAATTCCATCATTATATGTGTTTTACTTCTTTGAATTTTTCCAGGTTCCTCCATACGTGTTCTTCTTTGTGTGCTGCGCTTCTTATCGGATACACTCAATCTTTGTGCTGCGCCTCTTTAACGATCCTGTGGCCATGATGCTGCTGTTTGCAGCTGTAAACCTCTTCATGGATGGACACTGGACTCTGGGCTGCTGCCTTTACAGGCAAGTGTAAACTCCTCAACAGCACAATGCAGGTTTACGTGTGTCTGCTTTCTGTGGAGGAACATGTATCGGGTGTCATATGTCCCTATGAGTCTTCATACATACAGTTATCAATGCGTTTCATAATGAAATAACATCCCCAATCTTCCTCTCTTTCTGACAGTTTAGCAGTGTCTGTGAAGATGAATGTGCTCCTTTTTGCTCCTGGACTACTTATGCTCCTCCTGTCCGAGTTTGGTCTTATCAGGACAATTCCCAAACTTTCTCTGTGTGCAGTCATACAGGTAAAAGATGACCTATGCCTTAAAAACAGTGATCGCTTAACTAGCTGCTTCGTTTTGTCTTTTTTACAACTAGCAAGCATCATCTATGAATTAATCTGTCTTAATATCGCAGCTTTTGCTAGCTCTGCCTTTCCTCCTGGAGAATCCGATGGGTTATATGAGCCGGGCGTTCGATCTCGGCCGTCAGTTCATGTTCAAGTGGACGGTCAACTGGCGGTTTCTGCCCGAATGGCTCTTCTTGAACCGGTACTTCCACTTGCTCCTGCTGGCCGTCCACCTGCTAACCCTGCTGCTCTTTGCCCTCCGCCGCTGGAAGAGGTAAGACAGACGTTTGGCTGTGCCGATGCCGAGCTCACCGGTGGTGTATCGAGTTTCACTTTAGCTGAAATTAATCAGGATTTAACGCCGGGCAGGTTTTTGGTCCACGACACCGCAGGCGGGGTCTCATTAAGTAGTTGATCTCATGGAGCCTGATATATATTTGGATGAAGCGTGAGGATCATTACAAAGTCGTTATAATCCATCATCTGGGATTAAATTGAGTGTTTTGGTTGCCGCCATAATGACTCTTAAACATGGTGTTATTACACAATGGAACAAGCTATTGTCGAAGAAACACAAATCTCACAGCACATCAAGTGACTTTTATATATAATAACAACTCTGGATTCGGCGTCAAAATGTGTATCATTGGTGGAAACCATTAAAGTCCTTTATAACAAGGATTTGCATTACACACCATTTTTATGTCATCAGTCACAGTTCTCCACAAAACCAACTTCTTACAGTTAAGGAAGGTGTTGATGTGCTCGATTGCTTATATTTCTGCCAGGGAAGTGGAATTACATTTCATCAAAGTAACATTTTTCCCTCTTACAAGGCCAGGAGAAAGCATCTTTGAACTCCTCAAGGAGCCAAGAAAGAGGAAAACACCAGCTCAGAAAATCCCTGTCGATCATATCCTCCTATAGACAAGCTAACATTGTGATGAACGCTATAACTCTTACAGCAAGATGCCAAATGAAAAGATGCTGTACGCGTATACATGAAACTGATCAAACTGGTCCTGTTTTTAGTTTTCCCCGGCTGTTGTACCGAACCTTAACAGAATATCACAGATGGTGCTGATTCTCTTCAGCTCTAACTTCATCGGCATGTGCTTCAGCCGTTCGCTGCACTACCAGTTTTACGTCTGGTACTTCCACACTCTGCCTTACCTGCTCTGGAGTGGAGGAGTCAAGAAGATGGCCCACCTGCTCAGGTGAGAGATCCTCTTAACTAAAAGTTATATTTTTATATATTATTAGTTTTTAGATCTGCAGCATCACCGAACCGTATCGCTATATTGTTTTCTGCTTTTGTTCAGGGTTCTTATCTTGGGTCTGATCGAGCTTTCGTGGAATACCTACCCGTCCACAGACAGCAGCTCAGCGGCCCTCCACGTATGTCATCTCATCATCCTCCTCTGTCTGTGGCTGGCGCCGCCGCTGCCTTCCGACCCGGCAGAAACACAAGAACATCCACCCGTCAAGGACAAGCGCCAGTGAGCCTGATCGAGCCGGACGTCCTATTTGGGTTGAATCAGCTGCTGAACAGCCTCCATCACCCTCCTCTCTTTGATCCTCACGCCGCTGCAGGGTGAGGTCTCTGGGAAGGACCGTTTTAGAAGTGAATATTAAGGAGCCATTTAATGCTTCGCATCTCAGCTCACAACTAAAAGTGAAGGAACATGTTGTGGGTGCGGTCAGGAGACGAATACCTTGCAGTTTAACGTATGAAAAGAGAAAGGAAATGGGGATTCTCAGGTTTCGCTTTCAGATATAAGGGTGGAGTGCTAAGAGGATATTGATTTGATGTAGAACTTGAATGTAGCACCAAAAGCTTTAAATGAGTTGCTATCAAGCCGCGACATGTTCACTTGTCACAATAGTTGTAGAACTCGTCAGTATAAAGCCGGCCATCTTTCCCAGTGGTTGTAGAATTTTACGCAGATGTGTAAAACTTGTCTGATTTGTTACATAATTTATTCATCTTCTGTTGCGAGGGGCTCACTTCACTCATCACCAAGTAAATTTATTAGGACGAATTGACAGTCGATTGAAACATGACATTTTATATTAAACAGAGAAGCCACCTAACTCTTAAGATGTTTTCTTCTTGTTTTATGTATGTTTTTGTTACACATTACAACAAATTACAATCCCACCACTCATTTTATTAATTGGTTTATGAAATAATCATCCTGACAATCAAGATCATTCTCATTCAACATCGACTGATTATACATTTGGCAAAAAAGCTGATATATATATATATAAACTACAAAAAGCTCATTCAGATGGTTAAGGCATTGTCGGAATTGCATAAAGCAATATGCAGATTTAGGATAAAAGGCCACTTGGTCTATGTCATTTGAGGGTAATATTTTGACATGAATATGAATTCTTCTGAGTGCAATTAATCTTAGAATGAAGTTGGCACTACGTTATGGTACAAGTTGATCCTGCAGATGAAATACAGGACTCCTCTTTTACGTAAAGGGTGTTTTGTAACAATAAATTATCGTCGGGAACAAATGATAATGAACTAATTAGTAGATCTGAAGAGTTTCTCACATGTTATTGGGGTTATAACACAACATGTTGAGCTTAATGTTCTCGTCCCAGTGGCGCAGCAGCAGGAACAGCTGTCTAGCAGCTCCCTTCAGCCCCGCCGGGTCCACCCCCTCGGGCAGCTCCTGACACCGCAGCCAGAAGTCTGCTTTCGCTGCCACCAGCTCCCACTCCATGAAGTAGCCGGCGCAGCGGTGCTCGAGCCAGGCCAGAGCCACGGCCGTGGCCCAGCTCGACCCTTCCAGGTCCTCCTGGGCGGACTGGCTGCCCCCCCGGGGATCGGGCGGCTCTGTCGAGGAGCCCTCCCACACGTCCGTCTCCGACCCGCGACCGCTGTCCGCCTGCCCGTGGCTCAGGCCCAGAGAGGGTCCCGCGGACAGCTCCAGGGAGCCTTCCTCAGAGCTGGGGAGGTCAGGGGGGGAGGTGACGGGGTCTCGGTCCGACGGGTGTCTCCGGCGCAGCCTTGGTTCCAGCATCAAGGGGGTGTCATCTGGGGTGTGGTGGAAAGGAGGGGCGGTCGGTTTGGCCAGGGAGCAAGAAGAAGGAGAGAAGGTTACATGGTGGCTGGTGGGAGCAGCAGAAGGCTTGTTGGAGGTGGACAGAGACGGGGCACTGGGAGATGTGCTGCGGAATGGCGGGCTGAGGCTGCGGCGGTGGAGGCTGTAGGGTGAAGCCCTTTTCAGGCGGTCCAAGGGGATCTGGACACAGTCAGAGTAGGTCTCGGTCAGAAGAAAAGCCCCTGATGCCAGCTGCAGTTGAACCTGATTAGACACCATTTAGACACACATTATTACATTTTGGACACTTTTGTGCAGTTAGGTACACATGTGGTCAGTGTCTGCACAGCTCACCAAGGGAAGGTAGTCTGGAGCTTCGGTTTCAGGTGCTTTCTCAGTCTCTGCAGACAGACAGTGGGACTTGAGAGGAACCTGCTTTCCTGATGAAATGGAGGACCTGAGTCTGCCCAGTGGAAATCTGAAATATGCAAAAAAAAATTGGGGGGGATTTTTGGTCTTTGGATGTCTGCAATACACACACCCCAAAACAGGAAAGTGGCTTACTCTGCAAAGTAACTTGAGCATAATTGCTGCTACAAATCCCCCCTTTACATTGTAATGCCACATCCACAAGACTCACCTGGTGCCAAAGAAGCTTTCCATTGACTTGCTTTCAATAGATCGCTGTGAATGAGTGCATGGTGTGCCTGTCATCGCTGGGGCTGCAGCAGAGTATGCGCTGCCCACTACACCTGAGAGAGCATAAGAAAAACAGCGGTGTGTCATTAGCACAGTGATCTAAAGGTCAATCAGGCTCAGGCTAAAGATTCAACCTTTACGTGACACTAAAAAAACATTTCTTTTAAAAGTCCTTTTCGAAACGTAAAAGGAAACGTTGCTATTTAAGTTTGTTCGATACTTCATCGACTTCCTCCGTGTTAGGGAAAGAAATGGATCCTGCTTTTGTTTTTTCTGAAATTTGGGTACACATCCTTTAAGAGCTACCTCAGGTGGTGCAGATGCACAAAATCGAGTCAGGAGACAGCGGTTCAGATTCGTCTCCTACAGTAGAGACTTACCTATAGCTTACAATGGACAGACACGATTCCCCTGGAGACTACACCTCACACTAGAATATTGTTTCACTCATCGCATCGACAATACTTACTAGAGTCCCAGGATGTAAGGCTACAGGGTGAGGCAGCGGTGGCATCTCTGTCTGAGAGATACAAAGATTGTTGATGACCTAATGTCTTGACAACAGGAATGGGTGGACGCGTCAATCAGCCGGTCTACCTGTAGAGTTCCAGGTGTCCTCCATCTCTTTACTGTCTCCGCCGGTGTGCCGTCTCCCCAAGCCGACGGAATAGGCCCTCTGCCTGCGGCTGCCTGACCGGGAGCTCTGGCTGTTCACCAGATGCATCCCTACACCACGCACGAACACACACAAAACGCACACACGTAGGGTACAAATAGAGACTGGAACATGCGGCTGGCTGAAGCTGTAATCCGGTACGGTGGATAAAATGGGGACACCTGTGTTTTGGACGTCCATGCTGTCCTGCAAGCCTTTGTTGGGGTTGTTATTGGTGGCAGCGAAGGCCGTGTACATGCAGATGATGTTACAGTGCTTACTGGTCTGGATAGCCTTCATGCGGTATCGCTTTGCTGAACCTAAGAGACAGTAAGAGGTAGACAGTGCGTGGACCAAACAACGAATACGCGAGATGAACGTTTGAAGCAGTTTAGTCTCACCTTGTCCGCAGTCGCTGTCCTTCTCTGCCATTTTCTCAAAGTCTCTAATCACTGAGCGAGCGGTCAGCTGGTGAATGATCTCATCCCATGTTTCTCCTCCTTTTCCTTCTTCCCCTCCTTCTCCTCCACATCCCTCGACCGTCGGTGTCTCCTGGCCCCCGGGGGTCCAGAGGTGCCCCAGGTCCACAGTGACCTCCCAGGACACAGGTCTGCCGCTCAGCAGGCCGTGAATAAGCGAGCGGCATCGACCTGGTGGAGGATGCTCCGGTGGTGCAGCCGTAAAGAGGTACTCCGGGTCTGTGAAGCTGTCCCAGTCCAGAGGAGAAGCAGGGAACAGCAGTCCATCTGAGGGGCAGAGTGAGGACAAATCTGATGAAACTTGTTTCCAGGCCAAATAGTAATCTCGATGTTCTTAGAACTACAGCTCACTAGAGTCAGTGAGGCTTCGGCGAGACAGTGTGCCTCTTGACGGGGGCTTCGCCTCCCCGTCGCTTTCGTCCAGTCGCCCTCCCAGCGTTTGGTCGAAGGAGACCCTCTCCAGAGCTCTCCTGAGGCGATGCATCTCCAGCTCGCCCTGGGGGGACGAGAAACTCCGTGCTGCCATGGTCGAGCGGGCAAGTTTGTGCCTCTGACGAGAGTCCCCTCCTGCCCCGAGACGCCCAGTCTGGTGGCGCAAGAGGGAAAGGTCAAAGGGTTAGCGAAAAGGTTAGACTGCTATTTCCTTTTTTCTTTCTAACCACATGTCTAGAGAATTCCAATCAATCGCACCTTTTCTGCGCCGTTATCAGGGGTTTCTGCTGAGAGGTTTTGCTGCCATGCAGAGTCTGCCCAGCGAGACAGGGATGATCTCTGGTCTGGAGGGGGCATCTTTTCAAGGCCTTGGGGTAGAGACCCAGTATCCAGCACTGAACCAGTGGAGTGAGGGTTGGGGAGAAAGACCCCGGCCGCAGAGTCAGAGTTGGACGAGGCGTGTATGTGTAAGTGGGACTGTGTTTGCAGACTCCGCTCACTACTAAGGGAGCAGCGAGTAAGGACATACTGCTCCTGGATATATGAGCTCTCCTGGATCCTCCTCCTCACGTCACTGGACCAGTCCAGCTCCACACCTACAACGGATAAAATCCCAACTTGAGCCACGGTGGCATTGCGTGTCAAGCCTTGATTTGTGATCTATTCACAAGGAGATCCACTGGTGAGTGACTGACCTGGACTGGTTCCAGGATCTGCGTTTCTGGCGCAGGAGAACTCAGAGGAGATTTCCCTGGAAATCTCCCTCAGTGCCTCCTCCAGGTTGGTACCATCTGCACATGTCACCACTGGCATAAACTCAGAGGCAGGGGGAGGTGAAAGCTCGTCATTTGACTCTCCAAAAACTGAACCCATGGAGCTACGATTTACACCATCGTGGCACCGTCCTTGAGACTGAAGAATACTTTTATTAGAGATCTGCTCGTCTAAGCAGACACACACAGGCGTTCTTTGAAGGAATATAGTTACATATACCTCTGGGCTTTTTTTTTGGATATTCGTCATGTCATATAGAGTGCAATATCCAATTAGACGATTCCCCGGGTAGAGCGGAGGGATCTCATTGGGTGAAAGAAACGCTTCCATGTTCTCTGGCAGATACCAGTCAATCCGTACGTCAGTCAGCACAGGTTCAAAGGCCTTTTTCAGAGACTTTATTAACTGAGGAGATAGATGGATCACATTATTTCTCAATGTAATGTGTTAGAATACATTTCTTTCAAATGAACAGTGAATAGTGGTGCAAGAAGAAGCCAAATTCCTTTTGCACTCATGTAATAATACAGAAGTAGTCTTGTCAATATTTACTGAAAGTAAGTTAAAATCATCAAAGACCTTGTGCCTATGTGATATCATATTATTACCAGTAAAACTGATTCCTCATTGTGGACTAAAGTAGAAATCTATAGCGGTTGCTGGTCAGGGTGTAGCTATAGTTTTAACTACATTGCATTCCCTGCGTGGGCTACAGAGTCACAAGTTAAATCTGCATAAAGAATAATTAAAGTAAAGTAGTAAGAAGGGTAATTGAGAAAATGTGCTTTTGGTATGCAGGAAAGCAAATGTGAAGAACTAAATCTGTATTTTCTATCTCTTAAAATTGTTTTGCAATTCATATGTCTTCCAATGGGTGGCAGTGTTGGAGCGTTTCTGACCTTGGGCTGAAGTCGCTCCTCATCAGCCAAGAACTCGGTAGTCCCTCCTGTCAGTTTGGCAACGCCCTGCAAAAGTCTCCTGCAGGCTCGAGGACCAAGGCCTAAGCCAAAGCATCTGCAGAAGTGATACAGTACTGCATTTTTACCAAGCCAATTCACAAAATGTTATTACGATATCACAGTTATTGTGTGAGAATTGTCCTGTTACTTGTATAGCGTGGTATTAGATGCCCTACTTGCACCATCTGTGCAAGCATCTATTTGTGAAACCCTAATAACATACAATGACTTCCACGTGTGTTAGAAAAGAGAACATTTGGGGCCATGAAACGCAAAGAACTGTTATTTTGCTGGTCAGAGGGATCACAAGCTGTTTGGCTAATTGAGAGTTTGAATAGAGCAGGGGACAGAATAATTGAAAAGGCTGAGATCTTGATTGTGTGCAGTCACTAAAAACAGCCGGTCTGTTCTGCTTAATGAAGCCTTCACCTAAAAAAAACTGTATGGAGAGTAAAAAAAGGATTTTCACAGTATGCAAAGGGACGGTCAAAGTAGAGAGGAGAAGGTCAGCCTAACAGGAGAATACCAATGAGAGATAAATGGAGTTATTGTGCATTGCTGAAGGGCCAGGTGGGCGTGTCTTTTACTGCAGAGGAGAGCACTTAGCGGGATTACTGGGCGGGGCAGAAAAAAAAATCCTCATCTTTCTCCTTTCTGTCTTTCAGCGCGCTTTGGTTTCAGTTCTTCAAGGTTTGCTTGTTTCTTCCTCTCCTTCATCCCCCAGACGAAGTCTCTTTCATATGCATCACCTCATTCGACCTGCGCTCACTGCCCTCCGTACCCCTCTGCCTCCTTGTTAAACAGGGATGATGAGGAACTATCACACGCCAGCCACAGCACAGTTTTTGCCTCAGATTGGATATCCACCTTGTACCCTGATGTAGCGTTCCTCAAACACGGCGAGTCATGCAGTAATTGCAGATTTATGCCATTACCTGCCGGCGCATGTGTTTCTTCGGACCAGCTCCATCACCTTAGCCACGTTGCTGATGGATCCATCTGTGATAATGAAGACCTGGCGAGGATAAGAACGCTGCATCGGCTGCTGGTACACCCAGGACAGCGCCCCCAGCAGATTAGTGCCCCGCATGTCAGCTCTCATCCTCTGGATGTACTCGAACGCCTGCACCAGAGTCACCTGAGGCAGAGAAAAAGCACAACCGCCGTCACGTCCGAAAGGTGGAAGCAGCGAGCATCCAGCAACAACATCCGTCCAACTGTCTGATGCTGCCCGTGCAAACATCACCTATGTTGTCAAGATTCCCCATTTACCCTGTGAGGCTGGCAATGAATTGAATTGGCGAATCTCCAACAGAGAAAGCAAGCATACATGCATTAGCACCTGCCTTAAAACCATCTCGAATTGGACCAATAAGCCTGACGGCAGGGAAGGTGGAAGGACACTCCATGCCTTACTGAAAATGCATGAAAGGTCACCATATGCTCAGTAATATGTGGAACAAGTGTTTGTCCTTGCAGCCCCTGGTCCGGGAAGAACCTGATACGCTGCTACCAAGGCAACGCAAGGAACTGACATACTGCTTGATTAGAAGCTAGACAAAATACAACATTTAGTACAAAGGGGACAAAAAAAACGGCTGCTTTGCGTAAACATGATCCAGATGCTTCACGTATTTTCTTTCACGGAAAACAATTAATATGTAATTACTAACAACGTGATTTTTACATTGAACGCCTACAAACAAGACAGATACAAATAATGATCCAATCCAGGCAAAGTTAATGCATTAGACTAACATCAGTGCAGAGCCTGCTGGAGGTGAACAGTGGCTTGATGGTGGTCCCAAAGCCCACAACGTTGAGCATGGTGCCGGGAGGGAGACTCTTCAATGCCACCGCCATGGCATCCTGCAAGCGACACGAAGGGACAGATCAACGCCTTCAAACGGCGAGACTCAATTCTGGTTGGGTTTCGGTTCAGCGCGTTATCGTCATGCTGCCTGCGGCTCACCTTCACGCGGCGGATGGCGGCGCCACTCATGCTGCCGCTGCGGTCAACGAGGAACAGCAGTTCTCGGGTGGCTTTGTGCAGCTCCAGAGGTTCCCGCAGCAAGTCGGGACAGAAGTTGAGCATCAAGACGGGGCTGCTCAGGATGTCCTTGTGGTGTCGCTTCCTCACAAACTCCAGCTGCAGGCCAAGTGGAAGGTCAGCGTGTTTTTGTGCCATGACTGGTCTGTCGGACCACATGAATGGGCACATGGAGTGATCGCCGACCTTTCTCTCAGGTTGTGAATCTTTGTGAATGCAGCGGATGAAATCCCGACGGGAGTAGATTTTCTGCTCATACTGGCTGAATGAAAGTCTGCCTCTCTCTAATATGACCAACGGGCTGTGGGGTTCTGTGGAGGAGGTTTGGTTAATTGAAGTCACATTCAGATATTAGGGTGTGGGGAGAACGGACAGGGAGGAAGGAAGGAGGGGGGGAGTAGATGCAGTTTTCAACTATTCACCACTGAGGTGCAGAATGATCTCTATGTGTCTGTCAAACGGATGCTCCTGTGCCAAGGTGATGTAGGTGGAAGAGGCACTTTGGGCACTGGGGTCCGCATCTGCCCTCAGAGCGTGAGTGGGGCTCTCCAGTCCTATAAATCAGTATAGGAAGAAATGAAGGAAAGCAAATCATAGATTGTATGTCTACATGAGAAGCATTGCGTGTTACAGTACTTTGCTATTTCTCTCTATAGGGCACATGGCAAGGAAGGAGATAAAGTCCTATCTATCCTTTGGAGTTTGTGTTCTGGCTGTCTCTGTAAACCCATTCATTATATTCTGTAATGAGATTACCCACCATTCTAATATATCACAAAGAATCAGTCAACCCTACCGGCTAGTAGGCAGGCCCCTCTGACCAGTAGCTGGAAGTTCAGTTCATAAGGTGCCAGGTTGGCGGCAGGGCCGGTGAAGATGGAATAGGCACACTGCTGCTCAGACTCCAGGGCCTTGTCTGGTTTTCCTGAGGTGGCACCAAAACAGCTGGTTTGTCTGGGAAGTAGAGGAATGTAAAGTATTTAAGAAAATAAAAAATAAAGTGTTCAGCCACGTTTAATTCCTCAAAATGGATGTTTGTTATTAAAATTGTGTTTCGTTAATACCCGGTTTCTTCAGATTTCGAACCATTTTCACTCTTGTTTTGCGTTATCTGGCCAGTGACGATTGGTGTCAGCAAAGTGGGGTACACAATGCTGATTGCTCCATTTTCCAGCGTGGGGAGTTCTAGTGTGGTGCTGATGATAACGGACACGATGTCCATGGGGCCGATGACGCCTGTTCCCATGATGAAGGTGGTTCTTTCAAGGTCTTCGTCCAGGATGAGATGTCCTAAAGGAAAAATACGGCCGTTACTACAACTAGAAAGAGATAGTAGATGAAGCTGGGACTGGGCTCATCTTTTTGGATTAAAAATAAATATGTTATTTTGGATACTTCTTTTGACACTACAAGACCTTCTCATATTGGAAAATCATGTATTTATGGCAAACACATGTAAATATCAAAAACTTGCTTCAGACAGTACCAAGAGTGCAATTCCCCATTACATACTGTATATACATATATACTTCAACTTTCATTTAGATACCCTCTAATGTTTTTTCCCCGTCTTTGAATTTTCATTTTGATTTTATCACCAGGCTTGTTTGGTTTTCATTTTGTTGAACAAAGTTCATATATATATATCAGTATATAAATATATATGTATAAATTACTCGGGAACTAAAGGCCAATGACGTGCATTTGTTTATTAAATCAATCTCACAATAAATAAATATATTCATTGAATCTGTGTTGTGTGGCTGCATCACAGCAGAGAATTTATTCTGTGCACATGATTTCACCGTCTTCAATGAAATACTGCCCACTTCAAGGATATATATCTCTGTACTAAGTAAGCGTCCTATCACCATTAGGCAGGCAGCCAAATCTATTTGCCTCCCTCCTCTCTGAGAGCAGATAAAGCAGGATGGAAAAGGGACTTTCTGTGGCTGTATTTAAATTCATGCAGACAGGAGATCATTACATCTTGGGGATAATGACAATGTCTATCTACTAAGAGATGCCAGGCAGTCTCCTCCCATCCTCACCGTTGGTGCATTGCATGTCAAGGCTGGAGCTCCCACAGCAGCCCCACTGTGGGCCGTTCCCACAGTGGCCTTCAGGACCGGATCCTGGGCAGCAATCCAAACAGCAGTCCTTAAGCTTCCCTCTGCTCTGTATCTGGACCCCCACCAACCGGCCCGCTATCACCGCCTCAAAGCCGACCACAACCTCCTTTTCCCCGAGAGGATACACGAAAACACCTGGGTGACAGAGAGTGTTTGACACACAAAACACAATCATTTCAGACTATTGCTCATGTTTTTGTCCTGTTAAATGCAACTTTTGACAATTGTCAAAGTCTTTTGCTCTAGATATAAAAATGTTGTCACTTCTCTAATGCAAACTTTCTTTGTTTTATTTTAGGTGTCTTTACCTTTAGTCTTTACTTCGGCACCTTTTGTACCTTCCACAGCTGCGTAAATTAAAAGCGCTGGTCTCGTTATGTGGTCAACATTTTTTTCATGGAAGATATTTCCACCAACATTTCTCCCCCCCACTGCCAAATAATGGGGCGTATCAGATAATATTGAGTTGGCTGCTGGAAATATTGGCTGCTGGTTTTATTTGACTGAGACTTCTGTTTTGAGGCTTGACTAAAGTTGAATGCGTTTAATATATTTCTTCTTTTATGAAATATGAAGTCAAATACGAATACAGTTCCAATTTGAATGACAGTTTCTAGGTTTATTACTTGTGCTGAGAGTGGATCCTCTACCTTCTATTGACTCTAAGGCAGCGTTAGCATAGGTGAGGTGTGCAGTGATGCCCAGGGAGCAGCCGTTGGCACAGGACTTGATGCAGGAGGCCTTGAGAAGCAATGGTTCCCATGTGGAGCAGTTCCTTAGTCCCACCATCTTTCCTGCAAAAGGCCTCTATTCCGCTGTGGGCATGAGAACACAGGCGAGTGAAAAGAGAACTATGTGAGTGTGCATTTAAATTCCCTCATTTTCCATTCATTCCATTCGTTGATCTTTGTCATCCGACCTGGTATTTGCTGCATTCGTTAAAATGTCCTTTGGTTTCAGATTTTTTTTGTGTATCCTGCCAGATCTTTATAATGTGCACATCAGCTATTGGACATGTAACCGAGCTAGCTCCTCTCCTCAGGCTCTTAGCAACCAACTGTGGTAGTTTGAGTGTAAGAGGCTTGGTTGATCATTAACTTTGCAGGTCACCACTTACTTCACTATGCACCATGCCTAGCATATGCATATCGAGTGGCCGACCTATATGCAAACCTACGTAAACCTACGACTACTGTCTAACTCTCCACTTTACTCCCAGTCAAACGTAGGAACCTGGAGTGTTAGACATTATTGATGGTGCTCAATAATGTTTCATTTTGAATGATCATTTGCTTAATAAACAAACAAAATGAGCTAAATTTCCTATTACATATCTCAAGTTATAAGCAATCCTTCTTCATGACTGACCACTTAATAACTTTAAGTGCAGCAGGTGCAAAGACCAGTGTGCAAGTTGCAGCTTAGCGAATGGTACATTGCACAAAACTGTGTGTATGTGCATTTATATGCACACACATGCACAGTTGATCGTGCATGTGTGTGTGTGTGTGTGTGTGTGTGTGTGTGTGTTTACTGTGGTCCAGGTAATGGCTTTTTGACATCTACCTTTTTAACAAGATCAACAGGCTCCATCTGGCTACTGTGTCCTCAGCTCATAACAGGAGGATAATAAATGCCTGGTTCGTTAAAGACGGACCAAGTGATGCAGCTACTATTCACCTTAAGTGGGTTCAACAGAGCAGCCCCCTGTGGACCGATGAGACTTACGGCTCTGGCAGAGCTAATGAATAATCTGGATAGTGTTCAGCTCCAACAGCGAGAGAACAAAAGGAGGATAATGACTTCTTTAAACGTTATGAGTTGTGTTGTGGGGTTTTACTTACAGCATGACAACACATGCTACAGAACGACTGATGTAAACAGTGAACATGCACACGCTGACCTCGTGAAGTTCTGCCGGAAATTTAAATGCAGATATTTAAAGAAACATTTAGTTTTACATTCTTGGTAAATGGGGTCGTAAGTGTACAGCTGTTATTTAGAAAGGTAAAACATTCAAAGTGAATCAAGTGATAATTCATTTCAATTGAATGATTGTGTCTGGGTGTTAGCAGCATCACAGCTGGCTCAGAGTTAGCCCCGGCCAGCACTGCAGTCCCCTTATGCTGTGATGTGCAGACTCCCGATAACATGCAAAATAATCATAGATGAACTCTTACTGTTCAGTTTCTGACCGTCAGCCTCAGTGTCCAGTGTCTGCATCACTCCAACATCACATCTGCTTGCAGGTTTCCCAGTGACACAGTAGGAGTTTTCCTGGTAACAGATGCTGCTCTGTCCTCTCCCTCTCTCCTCTCTCCTTCGCTGTCTCTCTCCCCCTCTCTCTCTCTTTCCTTCTCTCTCCACTAATCCCCCAATTCCCTTGTAAGGACAACAACCATTTCACACAGAGTGATACATTCAGAAATATCATTTTACAAATTGTGTACAACCCGTTACTGAATATTAGCTATTATCATCTGCATGGTATAAAATACTATTGCTTTTCTAACCTGCTATGAAAAATAAAAGCCCAAACTGGAAAAAAAATCATATTTTCAGTAACGGGCTGTATATTCAAATTAAACTGACAGTTTCAGCAAACCGGGGAAAGGCCACTGCAGTGATCAATCACACACACGCAGCTTTTCACTGACCCACCGTTGTTGTCGGGTGAAATGTCATCTGCTTACCTGCTCTGACCTGATCCATGAAAGTGATCAGAAAGTGAGCCTTAACCTGCTGTTTGGGAACAAGCTGCCACACAACGGTAAGTAGGGCAGCGCCTGCTTTTCATCCAGACAATTGGCCGTGATGGTAGCAGCACCATTATTCATGGCTAATGGCTTGGCCAGAGGGAGGAGGGGGGTTATGTGTTCCTCCTCTCAGGTCAGTCCGACAGCAGCAGGCGCGGGCAGCTGACAGCAAAGAAGAAGCTGCGGTTTGTTCCCTGTTCTCCGGTTCAACTGGTCCGGTGCTGCAAAAAGAAAAAACAAACACAGTAAAGCTACTTTTGAAAAAGAAAATGCATTCAGGGTGGCAAGCAAGAGGACGTCAAAGCACAATATTTGTCTTGTGTTATGCCTGATTGAATCTACCTTATATTATCTGTTATATACCGATGTTTGTATTATAACGGAAAAGCAAAAGTGTGTTTTAATGAATTCCGTGTATGACACATAAGTGAGCACTTTGACCTGTAGATGAAACATCAGTTTTACTGCTGTGTTTACATTAATCACGGTTTACAGTAGTCATTGTTTACATTATTTCTTGTTTGCAATAATCCTTGTAGACATTTTAATTCGAATAAGCAGTAATTTTCATTATTGGTAATAACTCCTTGTCAGAAGTTGTAATGTATATTTAATGTGAACTTTCCCATTTTTGTAAGGTGGAGGTGTTGATTACAGCACATCCCATGATGAAGGTAAAACATTAAACATCAATAGACAGACAATAAGATAACATAATGAGATAAGATGCTTTTTATAACTGGTGAAACAGCAACAAATGAATTGCCTAATCAAAGGGGGCAGTAAATAATAACTATAATAAAGATTGCATTTGAGACAAGTAACTAATAACAATTCTTAAAAGGTTTACAACATCGAAGGGTCACAACAATATACCATATTACACAAGTTTAATTAATCACACTGACACTGGTTTTATGAATATCCTTTTTGTGTGTTTGCTCATGTTTGAGAGGATAGTCAGTATTTTAAATCTGTGTCTTATACTGCCTCCGTGTGGCCTTTTTTATCTTTTATTTTATGTTTTTAGCCCCTGTAAAAGAATCTCAATTCAAGCCAAATATCCACTTTCTTATTGCTATTGTGTCATGTTCAGTTAAGACCGGGGTGGAAAGGTATAATTCATATGAAGATATAAACTCCTTCTCCCTCTCTGATTATTCTGCTGACTGTGCGGGGAGCGAATAAAGCCATTATTCATCTAGCAGACGATACGCTGGAATCAAGGATTCACTGCTGTGATCCTTTCAAACCCACTCTGTTGTTTCATTGATTAAAGAGCGTACCGGAGTTACATTGAATCCTGCAGAACACAGCAGTCCCACGACATGACAGCACTGGAACTCAAAGAAGTTCCAATATGGCGACACTAGATGTCAGCCTGTTCAAATCAACTGCAGCATGTCGCCAGTCAACATGGGTCATTGAATGTAGCGTCTCCTTTTCCCCCCTTTTCAACCGTCTGGTGCTCCAAACAAGAGCAATACTCAAGTTTTATGAACGGCACCATGTGAAAACAACTTACAATATACAGTTCCCCCTGTTAGAACTACATTATAACAATTCTTTTGTTTGTATTTTTGTTTGTATTTTGAGCAAAATGTATATTTGTTTAAGTTTAGTTCAGTTTTCAGACATAAAGTGTTTCCTTTTTTTGCCGACACGCTTCTGCATTATCATCTATTTTACTGAATATTTCAGTAAGCCAACTGTGTCTGTGCTTTTAATTCGCAACAGCTAAACAGTTCTACAATTGATTAGTTGTATGTGTATAAAAAGCTCATTCTGTTTCTGTGCACTGTTGTTTAGATCTTTACCAGCAGCAGGGGGACGGAGTCAATAAGTGCAAACAGGCCTCAAACTTACTGTCTCAGTATCACTGACCATCAAAGCATCACTTTCTCTGTGTTACGGGTGGGCCGAGGAGACAAAAGGACCCTTCAGCTTTCAATTCATTAACATTCACAAACAGAATCAAATGTGCTTAATTTCTTTAATGAAATCACATTTTTACCACATCAAATAACTCCTGATTAAATTTGACCAAATGCTTTTATTCAATGAAATTATTACATTGTATAAAAAAAGGGTTGTGTCATTTAAAAAAAACAGTGTTTCCACATCAACTTAATCATTGTTAACACTCCATTTCGAAAAAAGCGGATATTTTGTCATTGAACAGTTGGTGGTTAATGTGCATTTAATGGCAGTTAATGTGATTGTTGAGGTCATAATAGATCTAATTAACAGCGTGTCTAACAATGGGCCGATACAGGCCGAGCTGCTTCTGCTTGACTATTGTCACGGGGTTCAAGTGTCTGTCTGTGCTGAAATGTTGGGAGCCTCTTCTCCGCTGCGTACCCCACTGACCTACATTTCAATTGTTTTCTGCATGAGACAATGGGAGAAATGGTTTCATAACCAAACACAATACCTGGGTGTTATTCAGCACGATTGTTGTTAAAGTTCTCATTGTGGTGTGATTTCTCAGCTGAGCATTGTGTGTTTTCTTTATGGAACCCGCTGAAGCAGCCAGCGACGAGGCGCCCCCCCACCCACCCCTTCACCCCCTTCCCCCCCAACAAAGCATCACTCCTACACACGTGACTGTGAATGAATGAATTGATGGAGACCAGCAAGTCCGATCGCTGCTGTGTCAAACACAAACACACTTTGCATGACTTTACCGATCCCAGGCAGCTGTCACCTGTCACCTGGTCTAAGAAACCAACCCCCCCAACAGGGACAAGCTACTCCTTTGTCACTGACCGTTTAAAGTTAACCTAACAAAAAGGTTGGCAACTTAAATTAGACAAATAATCTGTGCATAATGTTCACGCAGCCAAAATAAGTGTTTGTTTAAAGTCAAGCTGGCTGGATTCAACTCATAATGAAATGAAACACATTAGAAAAAAAATCAATTAAAATGAAATTAAAAATGAAATGAAATAAGATGCAGGACCAGACATGATGTAAGGTAATAGGAAATAAGAGTAAAGTAAATAAATCTATCAATCAAAGGCACAGGGGAGAAGCAGAATCGCCTTAAGTTCTTTAGGATTGTCAGTAGAGTCAAAAGCAGCTTCCCTTTATGACCAAAAGCTTAAACAACGAGGTACCTACTTTAATTAAACAGAAGAAGCCCAAACTGTGATATAACTGAAGTATTTAATGTATGAGGTCTGCTCCTCTGTGGGGGCGACTGTCGGTGAGTGGAGAGCACGGACGTCCTCCAACCGGAGGGTTGGCGGTTTGATCCCACGCCATGGCAACCTGCCCATGCGCCCTTGAGCAAGACCCTTAATCCCAACATAGCGCCTGTAGCTGTGACTTTGGTGTGAAGGCTGGTAACTGAAAGCCAGTCAGTGTGTGAACGGCTGAATGATGACATGAAGGGCCTTGTTGTATCCAAGCACAGCCCGTTTACCCTTCTATGCAACGTTTGCATTAAGTTTAGCTTCCGACTAGCGGCGTCATGATTGAATGTCGCCATCGTTGAACAAGAGGAAGGTGGAACATCTCCATGTGGAGATGGAGATGGAGATGGAGACAGTGCACCGTGCTTGGCGGAAAGATGAAGAGTGAGCAGAAATGAATCAAAGGACATCAAAGGCAAACGGATTGAGGCAGCGGAGGGATGAAAGAGCGCCGCCCGTTTGTCCCATGCCGTTCCCGCTCCGCTCCGCCTGAGCCCGCTCTCAGATCTCGGGGGCCATTGTGCCGCCCGGGTACATGGAGGCGGCCGGGTTACAATGCACACAACCAATGCCAGAAAGCAGAGCTTGAAAAGGAAGACGTGTCACTTTCCCTCTCGTCTCATTCAAAGCTCTAATCCTTCGTCCTCTTCATTCCGTCCCTGGAGCTTGTTTTTGGTTTCTTATCCTTCCACACGCACGGTTTATTTTTTTACCATCAAAGCATCTTAATTCATCTGCAGAAACTTTGATTGAAAAGTACACACACAGTCACACAACTTTGCCCTCCACTCTTTTTTCATTATTTTCAGCTCAGTTGGGTAAAAAATGACAGCTCTGGATTGGGTTAGTGGTCGATGCCGCTTTGTTTGTTGCCTGTGAATGTACACTTTGTGGATGTCAGCTTTAATTCTTCCCTCCAATTATACCATAGGAATATGCAGTGAGTTATGTTAGAATATAATCATTAGAGCGGGAGAGATGTGTTACATTTCTTTAAATCAAACTAGCGGATTTTGACACTTTACATATAAGCATTTTATGTCCTCCAGTTCACACAGAAGCCACTAAACACTATGAAAAGTCTGAGATCGCTCGATGCTGAATGGCACTCTGAAGGTACCTTTTCTCCCTTGACTCTCCTCCAACTGCACATTTCCATTCCTCCACATACATCCAATAGTATCGGGTGAAATTTCGTCTCTACCTGATTAAACAAAAGCTTTGCCAGATAAAGTAACAATGTTGACTATAAATCCTCACTGGAAGACTAGATAATGTTTGTCTGTCCAACAAACAAATTATTTACGGGACTTTAAAAATACATCATGTTTTCTTATTGTTTTACTCTATTTTTATGTAACAAAAGCAGAGTTCAGCAGAGAAAGACAAAAGTGATGTGAACTGACAATATTTTAATGGGGTGGATAAAAGACTGTAAGTGATCAATGGAGGCGGCGCCAAGTGATGCCCGGGGGACAGCTTTGATGTGGGCATCCTCAGAGGGACGACGGAGACAATAGTCTCTTTGAGGGACGAGCAGAATGGCAGACACTTCTCTCTCTCTCTCTCTCTCCCTCTCTCTCACACGCTGCTGATCAACCTCCCTCATCTCCTACGCTGTGACTCCTGGTTTCAGACGTTTGGGGACGTCTCTCTGTCGTCCCCTCTGCCCTCTGTCTGTCTCTCTCTCTATTCTCTGACCTCAGCCCATATCCTTATCTGCATAACTTTCTCCCTCTTTCTCTCTCATTAATTAATTAGCACAACACCCCCTTTCCTGCCGCCCAGCCAATCACTCAGCCTTACCCTTCTCCCCCCTCCCTATCTGCAACTCCCTTTCCCTCCCCTCTGTCTCTTTTCATAGAACCAAACCTCTTTGTAATGTCCAGCCTTGGCAAGTTGCACCCGATTTGCTGTCACAGTCCTAATGAATTCATCTGTTTGTGTATTGGCCATGGGAGCAGTCCCCCCCTCCTCCCTCTCTCTCCCTCTCTCTTTCCTATCCTCTCCCCCCTCCCTCCTACTGGTCTTCCCCTGGGGACTCTATATATACCAGAGACCGATCCAGGCACCTATTGTTCCTCTAAGTAAACTTACAGACAGATGCCCTGCACCACAGTGTGGAAGAGAGCCCAGCGAGTCAGGAGGAGGAAGACAGTTCAGGGTTGCAGAGAGAAAACCAGGCAACAACTGCCTGGAAACGCCGCAGGCTAGCGTCGCCTCTCCATCCCTCGTCCGTCGGTTTCGCGCGCCTGCTGCCCGTTGGCTTGTTGTCCCTGTGGAGCGGAGGTCTGATGCTCTGACACCATGCTTCTGCTGATATCACTGCTGCTCACTGGACTCGACTGCTTGCTGGGAGCCCCGGCAGGCCGAGAGGTCTACAGGATGCCCCAGAGTGCCCTTAAAGGTAAATTTACTTCACTTTTGCATTGTTTGTTAAGAATGGCGCGTTAGGATCATTGACAACATCAGTGACTACAGCTTAAAAATCTGATGACTGCATTTAAAGCATTGTTGCGGACTTCCTCACTGGTGGAGCTAACACATATATTTATATTCATAAAGTACTTATTTATGTCTTAGAGACGTTTATGTCTTTTATTAAACATATCATAGTGAATAATCAAAGACCTGAGATGCTGCGATGCTTTAAAAAGATGAATATCTCAAGGACTTAAGCCTACAAAAAATAAAATAATTACTGGATACATCCATCGTCCTCCACAGGTTAAAAGAAGCAACAGGGCTCACGCCTGTTTTTCATCTTCAGTCCTTGTATCGTTTCTACACATTCTTGTCAGACGGCCACATGCCAGAGTAAAGGTGGCGAGGGACACCTGCCCCCTCCCCCTGGTTGAAGTAGTGAGTGCCGCGGAGCCTTCATGCCAACGGCTGGTGATGGCAGAGTGCGTTCAGAACAAGGCCACCCCGGGGCTGCCTGCCCACGTCCCTTGGGCCCGTCCGTCCCTGCCTGCCAGCCTCTGCCAGCTCAGCTCTGGCCTTCTAATTAAGTCCTCCATCAGCATTGTTGTTGTTGGTGGCCTATCCTGTGATGTGGCGCGGCACGGGGGGGGCGCAGGGTCGCCGGTCCGATTGATGTGCGTCTGCAGAAGCCTCACCAGTGCGCTGAGCGTGAGCTGGCTTCCCCAACGCGGTGCCAATGAGCTCAAAGAGCAGCATGAGAAAAAGGGGGCCGCTCGCACAGAAACCACAAAGATGCACCACTTTGTACTAATGCTCACATAATGTTCCGAAAGCAAACAGCCCTGTTTGTCTTTCCTATTTCATGAGGAAATGAGTATATGTGCATATAGACGTCAATCTAGTTCCCCAGAAAAGTGCAGAACATTATGCGTTAAAGGCTGTCCAATTGAATTTCATACACATTGTCTTTTTCCATTATATCATGTAACAAATTGGCCGTCATTTACATCATGCAATATATCTGCCCGGCCAATAATATATTTATGGCTCTCTGTATGCTCTCACCACATCTCCTCATCTTCTTGCCTATCGCTTGTCTCACGTTTTTGTCCTCTCGTTTCCCTTTGGTCCTGCCCTGTCCTGCAGCTCTGTCTGATCGTGGCACCGTAGTTCTGGAGGCGGCCATGACCAGCGCCCTGTCCTCCCTGGAGCGCGCTTCATCTGAGAGAAGTCGGGCTGAAGCAGGCTGTCGGGGCTGTGTCCCCTGTCTGTTTCAGGACTGTGGACAGCTGTCTGGCTCCTGTTGTAAGTAAAATGTCACTATTCTCCCCCTTTTCCATTCTTGAGCATCTTAAATAATGTCCTGTATTACTTAGAACGTCCCCTAACTCCCACTCTTTTCAAACAGTGTCTCCCGCTGATGCCTTATCAGAGCCCCGCTGCGAAGTCATCAGCAAGGCCCAGAAACTTGAAGATGAAGCTGAGCGGAGTTGGGCTCTGAGCCAGGCCTGTGCCTACTACCAGCACCGCTGCCCGCCGGCCGAACTGGACAAAGAGACCTGCATCCGGATCATGGGGGAGAGCTGCAGCGCCCGGGTCCTCCAGTGCAGCCTGCTCAACACGATGCAGAACCTGGAACCCGCCACGCAGACCCACGCGCAGGGTGAGGGGATACGCCCGTTCACCGACGAGCACCAATGCATCCATGCCGGGTTATTCACCCGTCGACAGAGACGAGCAAAGCTCATCCGCTGATTTCGTCTCTCCGTCCCAGCAGCGGTGTGCGGTCAGAGGTCGTCCACGGTGCAAAACGTCACACAGCCTCGCTCGCGGATCGTGGGCGGCTCGCCTGCGGCTCTCGGGAGCTGGCCCTGGCTGGTCAACCTCCAGCGCTACGGTGGGATGATGTGCGGAGGGGTTCTGGTGGACAGCTCCTGGGTGGTCACTGCCGCTCATTGTTTTGCTGGGTGAGCGTCAATCACCGTTTCTTTCTGCATCTGTGGTGAGATCTTTGATTTGTTGAGATTGTTTGTGTTTTACGCTCCCTCGCTTTCTCTGATGTGAAGCAGCCAAAGCGAGAGCTACTGGACGGCCGTGGTCGGGGAGTTTGACATCACCAAGACTGATCCTGATGAGCAGGTTCTCAAAGTGAATCGCATCATCCCCCATCCTAAGGTAACCGTCCAAAGTGAATGATACGCAATCAGCTCATCGTCTTCTTATTCAATTAAATCTATCAAACGTTCTTCTTCTCCTACAGTTCAATCCAAAGACATTTAACAACGATATAGCCCTGGTGGAACTGACATCCCCGGTGGTCCTCTCCAACCGCGTCACTCCGGTTTGTCTCCCCTCTGGCATGGAGCCCCCTACTGGCAGTCCCTGTCTGGTGGCTGGCTGGGGCTCCCTTTATGAGGGTGAGCGGGAGATGGGGCTGAATTGATTTTCACATTTGTGAGAGGATGTGTGCTGATGTCGACTGAAGACTCCGAATCAGTACATTTCCATGTGTATTTATTTTCCTATTCAGATGGTCCGTCTGCTGACGTGGTGATGGAGGCCAAGGTGCCCCTGCTGCCTCAGAGCACCTGCAAGAACACCCTCGGCAAAGAACTGGTCACCAATACAATGCTTTGTGCCGGCTATCTCACCGGGGGCATAGACTCCTGTCAGGTGAGCAGAACCACATCTGTCACAGTTGAGTGTGATTTGGAAACTCATTGCTGAATTGACTGTACAGTTTTGAGCCTTTTCTGTTTTGAACTGTTTTGGCCAACAGCCAAAGCATCTTCTGTCAACGTAGTATGAATATGTTTTCTTTAACTACGGGGGGACTTTCTGTCATCTTTAGGGAGATTCTGGGGGCCCCTTGATCTACCAGGACCGAATCTCGGGTCGCTTCCAGCTCCACGGGATCACGTCCTGGGGAGACGGCTGCGGGGAGAAGGGCAAGCCGGGAGTCTACACACGGGTGTCTGCTTTCTCCGACTGGATTCAAGCTGAGATACAGAGTGAGTTTCAAGCAACAATGAAGCACCATGGAAACCTCAAATATCCTGACTCATCACTACTCGACTAATACTAAATCCACAATGCTAAGATCATTGTTTGATACATTTTTTTTAGAGTCATTTGGAAGCAGAGAGCCAACGTGTTCGGAGCTTCTAAAGACAACAGAAATGACAGCGAAGGAGCAGAGGTCGGAGTTCAGCTCGCTCTGTCGCTTCTACACCCTGAGCTGCCCCCCTGGTCAGCCGGCCAGCGCTTGCAACCGAATGGCAGAGGACAAGTGCCTCACCCGCTTCAAGAAATGTCGTGAGTACTCTTCTAAACATCGAACAATCGTAGAACGAAAACACTAATGTGATCGTTTTTCAGCTTTGAGGTTAGAGGTTTCTGATCAGCTTCTCCCTCTCGGCCTTTCAGAGTTACGTTCGTTCCTACAAACACTGTTGGACCTGCTGCAGAGGGCCGAGGACTACATACGGGACAAAGTGGACTTGACCTTCTTCACCCAGACGCTTCCTCAGCTGGTGGAGCACATCTACAGCACAGCTTCCACTCACACCAGAGAGAGGAGGGACCTGGGACTGAGCCAGCGTCTCACACAGATTAAAGGTACATGATTGACAACTCGTTATTCAACCCTCTGTCTAAGTTTATAATGTATAATACATTCACAGATTATGGATTATATTCAACTTCAAAAAATCTGTGTTGACGGGCCAAATCTCCTAACACACGTTTATTCCTTGCAGAACAGCTAGGTGGCGCTGTGGTGCCAACAGAGCAGGGTCCTTCTCCGGTTCCCCCGGCCTTATTCAGAGAGGTGGGACCCTCAGTGGATGACTGGGAGAAATACTTGAGCGGCATGGCTGAGGACCAAGACCTCACTGACACGTCCACTGGTCTCTCCAGCACACCAACCGTACAGGAGGACAAGCTTTTCCTACAGGTACATTTAGAAAAGGTCCAAATGTGCACGAACTGTGACTTTGGAAGGCAATCTTTCAATTGAAGGATGCTGGTGATTAAATGTATATGTATATACCCATCACAATTAATTGTACTAATCATTTTGTTGTGGGTTTATTTTAAAATATAATATCAATTTTTTTTATTTGTCATTCCCAGACGCAGGACTCCTCAATACATCAGCTGGAGGGAGAATTTCAATCCGTTATCACGGCTCTACGCTCCAAATTGTACTCCAGATCTGCTCCTCCCAGCTTTCCCTTGGACACGGTTTACCTCCAGCTGGATTCCTCCGACGCTTCCCCGTTAACTCCTCCTTCCACCGAAACACCTGTCCACACGGGCCCCTCCCCCCCGCGGGGATCCCAGGAGCCGTGGTCCCTCCTGACTGCCCTGAGGAAGGACGTTGAGGAATCGGGCACACGGGTCAAGATTGTGACAGAGGACGGGTCAGAAAGTGCAACCTCGCACAAAAGAGATACTTCTCCCGATGCCAAATGGAGCACAGCTTTGGAGGAGTTCACTTTTGCTGAGAACGAAGAAAGAACCGAATTAAAACCCTCAGCGTTCCTGCAGGCGACGTCCGCCGCTCAGCCGGTCACTGAGCGAGCTCACGCGGAGACGACCGCCGACTCCAGTCAAGCCGTAAAGACTTTGAGTCCACGCAGGCCACACAGGAGCCTCCTTCGCAAGAGGCAGACGCCTGAGGCCAGCGGGAAAAGTACGCACCTCCCCTTTACTTCAGCAGAACTCACGTACTGCATGGGACACCTTTTATGCTTAGATCTTATTTCCTACTGACTGTCACTTACGTTTTGTTTGCTCCTGCAGTTTGTCCCGGGGTGCGAGAGTCCTCGCAGCAAGTCAGCCAAGTCAGGGACTCTTACAGCTGGGTCCTGAGCATCCCGAGCAAGAACCTACGCATGAACTTCCAAGAGGTAGATTATTATTTATTTAAGTTAAGAGAAGTAAAAAGAAAAGGTTTTGATTAATAATTTTTCTTTGTATCTCTTTGTATCGCTTCATTGTTTTGTTTTTTTGTTCAGGTGTTAGTTGATCTGAGCACCAAGAATAGTCGAGGACTGTATCAGGCACGAGTCAGAGCAGTAGTGGGAGGACGACCTTTGACCTTCTACAGTCTCGTGGGCCTAGAGAATGAGTCGTTCTACCGCAGCGTGCCACGGATCATCGCTTTGTCACTGGAGGCACTCAAGAGTTAACTTTATCACGGCAACAAACGCCAAGACATGGACAGACGACAGCGGAACAACACTCTCAAAGAGACAGCGGGAAGAACTCATTGTGGGACAGAGAGACACATTCAAAACTTTACTTGTTTGGCCTTCAACTTCTTTTTGGAGTTTCGCCTGTCTGAAGACTTAACTTTGGCTCTGAATGAAAACACAACCACGAATGTATCATTCAAACTATCGCCACGCATGAGCCCACAGGATTTCTTTTTTTAATGGGGCCTTGTCTAACTTATGAATCTGTATGAAATGATAAGTTATTTGTATTGTCCTTTTGCGAAGGTTGAGCCTCTTGTGAAGCACACGGACTGTATATGTTATTCATATTCTTACCATATTTATTTGTATAGAGAAAAGTATTTGTATTTTTGTAAAAGGAAAAAACTGTATATAAATAAAATTGTTATTGATACTATGGCTTGTTGTGTGTTGGGGCAAACTCGTTGTGAAATTCCAGATTCAGATGTGAGATATTTAAATTAACTGACAACAATGCAACTAATCTTACAGTATTTTGTTGGAGGTGTAGAGCAGTTCTGCAAACATATTCTGTTGAGACAAGTGTCAATGCTGATTGGTTTTCCTTTTGTGACCCCATATTGACCTCAGTCCCTCGACCCTCGACCCACAGCAGCTGCTGTGCTGTGGTGACCGGTATGTCCCACGACCTCCCCGTCTTCCTCCCCGTCTTCATCCCTTATTTCCAGGGTGGGAAATTGTAACTCGACACAGAACGAGGTTTTAGATTTGCATATTATCTCCAAATCGCTGTGCGCAAAAACAACTGCTGGCTGAGGAAGTGACACTTAATCTAACACGGGCCCACTAATCTGTGATAGTTTTCATTTGGATGTCATTTGGGACAGCCGAGTAAACACTATCACATTCCTCTGCCTGGCTGGTGTGTTTATGTGTCTGTGGGCCGAGGGCCAAATCATGCTGGGAAACCAGCAACACGTCGCTGCGGTTGTGCTGTAAATGGGAGAAACTTATCACCTGTTCTTATCTTATCACAGCTCTCTCTGGCTCGCACAATGTTGCTGCATTCTCCTTCTGTTTATTGTTCAATATTTTGGTTATCCTTTTATTGTGTGCTAAACTGTCCCTCACCAAATTCATGAGTAATTTGACTTGTGTTTGTGTGGAGATCTGAATGACAACAGGTGCGCTGAAGGGAGCTACAGTCCAGATGGTGTGTAAGATGTGTGTGTACTTTTGTCGGTGCACTAAGTACAATACCTTAAATATGTGCATGTCACATCACAGCGGACAGCTGGCTGCGCGTCCTAGAAATAAACCCACAGCCACAGTTTGACTGCCAGTAACTCCTCACGTAGTGTCCATGTGTGTCACATTAGAGATTGCAGCTTTGTCCCGGACAGGGTACAAAGTACAAACGGACACACTGATGGATTCTGGACCTGCGCTCGCTCCGTCTCTCGTCCTGAGGGTCTTTGTCCTTTTTGCCACAGGTAAGCTATTCAACCAGGTGACGCATTCGTGAGGATTACACAGGCTCTTGTCAGTTTAGGGATCTGAATTTGTGAAGTATGTATATGTTTTCAGATGTATGATGGTTTAAGCAAACATGAATCAATTGGCCAAAAGTTGCAACATCCTTAAAGACGGAACCTATTTTCTTTTTTGCTCAACATTTCATTATTTCAAACATAATTGAGTAGTTTAAATATTCCTTTCCTTTCTATTCACAAAGCTTGCATTCTCACATTCAATGTGTGATCACATTCCCCCGACAATTTGAATTCTAAAACAACACTATGACAGCTTAAACGGCTGATCAAACAAAAATAATCTACTTTTGTGGTAAAAATACATTGTTGATGGATCGTATGCACTATTGTACAGGATTTTTATACAAAGTTTCAAATCCAACCAGTGATGGACCATAGTAACGCTGTGGATTCATTTTTAGTTCAAGACAAAAAAATAGACAACACACATCATACGTTTCCACCCCAAAAATTGTTTTAATGTTGTTTTATAGAAATGGCTTACACAAAAGGAATGAAGAAAGTTTCTCCTTTATTTCTGTCATGTGTTTGGATTCCAACAAAGCCTACTTTGACCTATCTGGCCTACCTACTTTTGCAGCGTTTTCTCAGGCTGAAAAATACGCATCATGACACAGAAAGTGACCTTTGTCCCTCGTACTTGTGTGCTTCGTCTGCAGCATCAGCCATCAACCTCGAGGGGGAACTTTTCAAGGATCTGATGAAGGGCTACAACAAGAACGTCCGACCCATGGAGAACGGCAGCGACGTCACTCAGGTCGCCATCAAGATGACGCTTACCAACCTCATCTCCCTGGTGAGTCAAGTCTGTCGTTTTTTGACCACCACCAGCTGGTTCGTATCGTTTACCCAACTGCCTTTTTCTCAGAATGAAAAGGAGGAGGCTCTCACGACAGGCGTCTGGATAGGAATGGTAACTTCACACCCATCTCCACCGCTGATTTCTCTCTGCCGCTTTGCATTAATGTCAAACCGTGAGTATTTCCGTGTGCAGCAATGGTGTGACTACAGGCTCAGATGGGACCGGCCGCCCAGGTCGGCTCTGTACGGGAGCATCACCTCCCAGCTGCGGCTCCCCTCCAAGAGCATCTGGCTGCCAGACATCATCCTGGAGAACAAATCCGTGCAACAACCTTCACAGCGCCCACTGGTTGTTTGGTCTCAGCTTATGAGCTCCTCACAGCCCAACTGAGCAAATGTTCACCTACATTCAAACTTTATTTAATTTATTATTAGAAGAGATGTATATTATGGCACTTGTGTAGCTTATAATGAGTGTAATGACAATGATGGCAACAACAGTTCTTTTTATTATTGTGACCAAAAAGTGATTTTTAGATGATGTTGGAGGGGACAGACAATCAAAATGAATGCAGCGAAGTGAAGTATGTGTGTGTGTGTGTGTGTTTCATTCCTGCTGGCAGAGAAGTATTCACCATACATACATCAGACATCTATTTTTTACCTGATTAAATGTCTATCTGCCTTTGTGTATCTCCCTCGATTAACAGTGTGGATGGAAACTTTGAGGTGGCCCTTTACTGCAACGCACTGGTCTCTCCTAACGGTTGTGTGAACTGGCTGCCTCCTGCCATCTACCGCAGTGCTTGTGCCATCACCGTCAACTACTTTCCCTTTGACTGGCAGAACTGCACCATGGTCTTCCAGTCGGTGCACAAACCGCATCTGTAGGGATTTAATGTTTATGTATTAAACACCAGATCAATCTGTTAAGAGATTAAGAGGCCTCTGATTCACTGTGTATAACTCAAACGGGTTGTCTTGTCACTCAAGAATCAATCAATTATTCATCCAACGGGCAGTTCCTTCGTTTGCCGTCAATTTTGTTGATCCTTCAAGGCCTCTTTAAATTCAATTGTAAAGTGAGAATCATATTATAGCTTATGCTATTACATTTATAATTAACTAATTAATTAACTTAATATAATTAATGATATTACAAAATACTCCAATTACACATTTATGACAGAAATCATAGAGAAGATATATCATATCTTTAAAGAGCAAAATGAACTCCAATATAAAATAGTACTTTTACTCTTGTTAGTGATGTACGTAATATAATACATAAAACAGTGATAGACATTTTCCTACTCCCACAGGAATAATAAAACTGGTAACGTACAGAATAAGGAGGACTATGTGCAGGGGGACTCTTGTTCTTGTCTTAAATGGCTGTGCTTGTCGTGGTAACAGACCATATGTCTTCTCCCTCTGTTCAGCTCTCAGACTTACAGCGCCAACGAGATCAAGCTGGTTCTCACAGAGGAGGATGACCTCACTTTGGAATGGGTGGATATCGACCCAGAGGCTTTTACAGGTAGAGCAACATCTAATTATAGATTATTCCAAATAAAACTAAGCACTACCATTATCTTAAGTGTATCAAAATGTCCTTCTGCAATCTCATTTTGTTTGAAAATGGAGAGTGGGCCATCAAACACCGGCCGGCCAAGAAGCTGATCAACACTGACTACAATAAGGATGAGCTGGAGTACCAGGAGGTGGTGTTCTTCCTCATCATCCAGAGAAAGCCTCTCTTCTACGTCATCAACATCATCGCTCCCTGTGTGCTGTTCTCCTCCCTCGGCCTTCTTGTCTACTTCTTACCTGCCAAAGGTCTTTTTTTCTCACTACGGGCATCTAAACCGAACCTTTGGTAGTCAGACCTCTCTCACGTTAACCTTACCCAAGTCTGAGGGGATTAAAAGCAAAAACGTACTTAAAACATTGCTTGGGATGTTGCTTTAAAGGAGGACTACGCTTTTCAACTCGACAGCCAATTTGATCTATGGCCAATGTGTTCTACCAAATGTTGTTATGAGCCGCCCTAATCTCGATCGTGCTGTTTGATATAGCCAGCCCATGAGCAGTACAAAGGTCCAATAGCAACCACCCGGGTTCAAGTCAGGCAGGCCGTTCCTCCCAATCTCCCCCCTCCAGGGTTCTCTATAGTCACCCACATGTTAAAGTCCCCCCAGATGAACTACTCACGAGTCAGCAACCCTTTGCTTTTCCAACCCTTTGGTCTGCAGGTTTTTTTCTGCCATCGACACAAAACCTCTTATTGAATATTGGTTTAATTTTGCAGCGGGCGGTCAGAAGTGCACAATGTCTATCGCCACTCTTCTGGGCCAGACTGTGTTCCTCTTCCTTATCGCCAAAAAGGTTCCAGAGACCTCGAGGGCGGTCCCTCTTATTGGGAAGTAAGTTTGTGTGATCCCTCTCAGATTTCAGTTCAGAGTTTAGATCTAAAGAGAGTGAAATATGTGATTTGATGAACCTTTGACTGCAGGTATTTGATGTTTGTGATGTCGGTGACCACCATGGTGGTAATGAACTGCGTGATAGTCCTCAACGTTTCCCTGAGAACCCCAAACACTCACAAGATGACGGATAAAGTCCGAAAGGTGAGAGCAGGGCCAGACCAAACCCTTTTAAACTGGTCTATTTGTCAATGGATTACCCTCTGACCCTGCGACCTCCTCAGATCCTCCTAAACATCCTGCCTCGGCTGCTGAACATGCAGATGCGACCCTGGACACCAGACGGGGACAACGCAGACACCAGAAATGGAGAAACTCCGGCTCCATGTGCTCCGTGTCCCCTGCCGACGCCGCAGCTCCATGACCCTCATTACCAAGGCAGAGGAATATGCGATGAAGACGGCCCGCTCTGAACTCATGTTTGCCGCACTCAAAGAAAGAAATGGACTGATGAGATCCGTTTTAGAGAAGCTGAGTAAGTATTTGAATGAGTTTCCAATTTCAAAGTATATAGGAGACTGGGTGGCGTGTTTTGTACACAGAGGATGAGCTGGAGGGGGGCACAGCGGAGCAGCTCAGTGCCAGCTTGGGGAAGGCCTCCTCACAGCTCCAACAGTGTGTCTCCTCTTGCAAACACATAGCGAAGACTGCAAGGCAACAGAACAACTTCAAGAAGGTAAGATCTACGTTTTTATACTTGCTTCTCTTCTCGGGTTTCAACATCAATGACAATCTTTCTTTCAACCCCTACAGGAGAATGAAGAGTGGTTCCTGGTCGCCAAGGTGATCGACAGGGTCTGCTTCATCGTCATGGTGTCTGTGTTTTTTATTGGCACGATAGGGATCTTCCTGACGGGCCATTTCAACCAGCCTCCATCCTCTCCTTTCCTCGGGGATCCCAAGACGTACCTCCCTCCAACCAACAACCTAACTGATCGCGTTGAGAATGGGAGATAGGAGCAAACTTCTTTGGGTGAAACAAGAGAACGTTTCCAGATTCAATCCCTTTAGTCAAAGTGGAAATCTCACTGTGTCCATTATTGATCTATCACGAATGACACAAATGGAGAATAGAGGGAATAAAGAAGTATAATCGTGTGATTGATCTCAGGCATTTCTTCATCACGTGTTTGAGACCTATTCCAGGCTAATGGGCAGAACCCCCAGGCTTCCCAGAAACACAGACACACTGCACAGCCCCCCACCTCTGGAGGCAGGATTTCAATTACATGGCTGAGTGGTGTCTTTCTAACCCAACAAAAGCCACATCCGGCTGGTTGGGATGGAAACACAGTCGGGGAGTGAGATAAAGCCGAGAGACACACATGCACACACACACACTCACAAAGCGTGAACATTCACACAACACACAGAGGTGGTAAGGAGGTTTGTGCTTCACCCTTGGGGATCATGCCCACTCATGGGTGTTTGCCTGGTCTCCAACCCTGTCACACTGAGATTATCAGTCAGTCGGTAGCAGGAGGTTGACTGCAGATGGTAAGTAAGAGACTTGCTCAAATGAGGATACTATCCGGTATCTTTGCATTATTTGGCATAAGGGTAAAATGTTGGTAGCTTGTTGTAACTTGTAGCAATAAACATAATCTAGGGTTTCATTATGCTGCTTTAACGATAAGGAAAATGTACTGTTGCATGCAGCTGCAGAAACAAACTGTGCAAGCAGAGTGAGTGTGATGTGAATATAAAAGGGGGTCTGGCTGGCCGCTGTAATGGAATCACTTTGTTTAAGGAAAAAACAGGGATATTGGTGCCAGACAACTGTCCAAACCTGCTTTACGCCTCTAAGGAACATTGTCTATTTTTCTTCAACCTTCCTTCAAAGATTCAAGGTTTAATGAGCTTAATATAGAGCTAAAGATGTTTTTATTCATGTATTTAAAATGATGAATAAAAGGGTTTTTCTTTTGAACAATATACTGCTATAAATAGCGACACTATTTTTCCCTCCAAACTTTACTGAACTTTCACTGTACTTTAACTTGACACATACAGACTTTGTTTTGATTGTAACTGCGACATGGAGTGAACAATGCATCACATTTAATGGGGAACTATTATTTATATTTTTCTAACTAAGCGTGTTGACAGTAGAATTTTAGCATTACCTTCAACCCTAATTTACATCAATAACCAGAATATTTAATGTTTACATCCTGATGAATTACTTGTGATGCAATACTGTATTTTTTGTTCAGTTTCAACTGGCTTATTTCACTATTAGCCAACCAAAGTTCCATTCGGGCCAACGCTTTCTGCCTGTTTTGTTCTGCTCTTTTGAGCAGGGGGGCCTGAGCCAGAGGCCTGCTCTTTACGTGTTGTTTTACAAGGACAAAAACGGTCAATTTACAACACATGTTTCTATAACAGAACCAGATAACAACATAACCATGCCCATGGTAGTCATAGCTAAGCTCTGCATATATTTCCAGTTCTACACCATGTCAGTAGTGACCAATCAGCCTCTTCCCTTTGGACAACTGGAGCGAGAAAAGCACATCCAGATGGTCTTCACAGCCTTCCACAAAAGCTGTGTGGCTTCATGTGAGTGCCGCCGCGCTAACTCACTCGGACCAGAACACCAGCAGAAGGCTCCGCGCTGTGAATCTGATGAGCAACTGCTGGGTCTGGCTCCTGAGAGGAGGGTGGAGAACGTGTGTACAGTGAGCCAGCCAGGAGTGGAGGTGCAGGGATCACACTTTATGTCTGCGCTGGAAACAGTCAGTCAAATGCATGTCACTGCCAGACCGGAGCTGCAAGGTGAGTGCGAGCGACAACGTCTGTGCATTTGTGTGCAAACGTTTGCAGTGCAGAGACGACCGATGCTTCATCATTGTAGGTCCACAGTGTGTTCCTAAGAAGATCTACAGCATCACTGCAGGAAGCAGCAGATCACCGTTATTCGTGGCTGTGGAAGGTATCGATCGCTGAAAACATTCAAATCCACCCAAAGAGACAGTGAGTTATAATGCCGGGAACTCTTCTCCTTGTTAGAGAGTTCCTGTGTTTGTCTGCAGTGTTGCGGTCCAGCTCGGGCCTCTTCCTTGCAGGGTTTTGACGGTCAGGGTCGACAAGTGTTTCACTTTGAAAGACCCCTCAGGGTGGACGCCTGCTGCCTCGGCTGCTGCCTGATGGAGATGAGGGCCTACACACCTCAAAAACGTCTCTTTGGCACTGTATGTCAGAGGTAGGAGGGTCTCATCTCTGCTTATATTGCCCTTGTCTTGAACAGTGGTGCTGCTAATGCTTCTGTGCTTTTAGTGCTTTTGCAAAGTAAAATCACCCATACAACCCATGTCATTTTATATTGCGTGTATATTAATACTATGCTACTCAAGTAAAAGTAAACTAACTAAAATTCAGAACTCAGCGGATCAACGTTTTTGAGTCATCTGGGATTAAGGACCTTTTCGGAATACAGCAAATTGATTCTGTTTGTGGCACTTAAAGAATGCAAACAGATTTTATAATTAGAAAAAACTATTTGCATTTCTGCAGGTGAGTACATGCAGATTCTAGTAACATTTTTACGGTAAGTGTTGCTGTTACGTTGTTGAACGTGAATTAACCCTTTGACCACCGGCGGAGAACTGAAGCACCGATCTTAATACTTTACATTCTCAAAGCCAGCAGCTTGTCATGTGATCTTTTTTCCATGTCCCTCCCGGCCTCTGGCCACCCTGAACCAGAGCAGATGCCCCGGCCTCTCTGTAAATAGCAGTGAGAGCTTTTACTGCTCCACCCAGCCGGCTGTAGTCTAAACCTGGGAGGCTTAATGCACAAGACAGCTGCTTGCACAGACAAACAGCGGTGCTGGGAAGCAACGCACCCTGCTTCCTAATGGGACTTTTGGCTTGTTGGAGGAAGAAATAAACTCTCTTGTCCTCCAGGGTTCGCTGGGGTGACTTTGTCAAATTTAGACCCTCAATGTTTCCCCAAATTAAGACAAATCTCTCCAGATATCTACATGGAAGAAATAATCTCAACGGTGCTTGAATTGTGACAGCTGAATATGTGATCAACCAAGCATCAAGCCCGGGCAGCGAGCACTGAACAGCGTTTCTGCCACGTTGCTGGTTGCATGATCATGTAGGGAGATGTTGAGCTGACGGTGTTTTCAGGTGGAGCATGTTCACCCCCCTCCTGGAGGTATGTGGGTCAGAAGAGGCCTCCGCCAGAGTCAGAGTGCAGGGCTCCTGCTGCCCACAACGGTGCCTCTCCAACCAGCAGTTCCAGGTGGGACACATTCAAGCAATCCCCCAAATGAACGTAATCGTGTTTTTCTACAAGTGTGCTTCAATCCGTTTTTTGTTCACACAACAGATTGTCTCCAACATGGGTGAGAAACTGGGCACAATATGGAAAAAATGGCCCGGCTTCAACGTCGAACGCAACATGGATCATGAACATTTTGGGTTGGAGGGTGAGAATGATTTTTAATTCCTTGAGTTACAGATCGAAACAGACAGTTGAATTTGATTTAATTAACAATGATTAATATAACATTTCACTAAACAATACGATTTTCAAATTTGCCCTTCTCATGGTAGCAAATAGTCTAGAATGACTTTCATAACGCAGCGTGATGTCTCTTTTCCAGTGCCACTGAATATGGAATCTCATACTAAACTGCTGCTGCTGGCAGCCACCTTCTTGTTGGTAAGCATGTGAATCTCTATTACAACTCCGCTTTCTGTTTTGTCGTTTTAAAATAGGCCGTAACAGACAGCAGGAGTATAAATAGTGAATCTAAAGACGAGCTTCACTTCTAGTTGTGAGCCACAGCCTTCGTTCAGTGCTGTGAAAAAGAACTTCACGATTAACTCCCCTCACTAATCAACTCATCTGTTTTCTCTACAGAATTATATGTTCTTTGAAATGAGCTGATCAATCAACGGTAAAACACCCTTGAAAGTGGTCCACAAAGTGAGGCGCGTCAGTACAGCAAAACACTGCACCATTGAATTGAATTGTATTTTTAAAGACATTTCAAAACCTCAGTTTATGAAATAAAATGACATGAATCCAGCTTTAGCAGCAGATGCATATTTGACATTTATTGCTATAATCTATCAGGTGACACACACCCGCACCCATCATGGCACCACCAAACACAGGCAGCATTTCAGTTTTTCAACAAACAATAGGCGCTTTCTTGACATGAATCAAAAATAATGCCCCCATGGAATTGATAGAAACGGTAAAGGACGCTGGCCGGGAGCCCAATTTCATTTGTTTCATTACAAAATGGAAAAGGAGTGACGGCCCGCTTTGCAGGACTCCTATGCACATTTGTTTGAGGACATTTAAAGCAGAGCCCATCCCTTGCATTCTTTCAAGGCGGGATGAAGACGACACGGACAGAAGGGGAAACTGGTTCGGGTCGGGCTGGAGGCCAGGCACAGTGATTTAGGCAGCTCGGCAGTCCATTCTTAAGATGCCAGTTATACAACCTTCTGCCCAACACAGGATGGTCCTCATCCTTTGGGATTCAACTTCCAAAGTCAACGATGGAGAATCATTGCTGATTAAGTAAAGTGATCTTTAAAGTGGACTGTATGTACAAATATATCGTACACAGTAATAGTCATCGTTCTAGTTCAAAATGACCAGAGAAATTGTAGTTAAAATACAGCATTGTAATAAAATAAAATCTTCCTGCAACCCTGTCTGAGGAACATTAACACAGCCTTTTGAAACCGCAGGAGGTGTGATGTTATGCTAAGCAATAAAATCTCATCAATACTACAACACATCGGCTTCGTTGTGATTTGTCAAGTACACTTTTCAACACTAATCGTCAGCAAACACCAGTCACATGGCCTCCTCTGGTGGAAAGTTAACAGATGTTACATCTTCCATTAAAAAAATAAAATGAAATTGGAGGCTTTGTTCTTCTCTGGTTGATTAAAAATAACGCATAATTCTCTCTACGGCTTGGTTCAACGTTCTGGGACAGGCCTTTCCTGTCCCTTTCCAATTTGACACAAAGAAGGAATGGTGTTCTTTTCACTGCGACTGACTATGGCTCAGTCTTCATGTTATGCAGCGCCAATCCACGTAGAAGGATGCTTGCCTGGACTCGTCGTCCCCCTCCAGCACTGCACGGATACACACACCTACACAGCACAGAGAGAAACAACATAAATACACAACAAACCATTTATTGCACTCCAAAGCAATGTAGCAACAGTTCTTACTCTTGCAGAGGTGGTCCGTGTGAGAGGCTACTGGCCGCCACTAACATTCACCAGTCCATGGAAGTCTTCCCATGCTCTGCCAACATGGGATGCAGCACATCATCATTCAAAATAAACAACCGGCCTGGATATTAAGGTCTGTTTAAAGGGAGAATCACTACCACACGAATGTTATGAAACATGGTGGTTACCGACAAGGCTGTATTAAGAAATTATACTCCAAAATAATGCTGCAAATAACAATCCTCCATTACCAATTATAATGATGATGACTTATTAGCTAAAATGTTTGATCTACAAAATGTCAGAAAAAAAAATATATTATTCATTATTATCTGGTCTTTGAAGCAACATGAATTCATTATAACAAGTAATTGCCAACAGAAATGTGTATTTTGTGAGCATGTATAGATCTATTTGTTAGAGAGAAAGGGAGAGAAAATAATAAAACGATAAGACATACATACTTGATGCTGTCTGTGTGAGTCTTGTACTCCATGATGGTGTTGGGCGGCAGGTTGAGGACTCGGCGCAGCGTGTCTCTGATGCGGGCCGTGGTTGACTGGTCGCTTGCCGTTTTGTTCCAAATAGAGATGATGTCTTCCTGGAGAAAAAAGCAAAGAAAGCATGTGTGAGTAAAGTGTAGCAGGGCACGACTCGGTGCTACAGACCCGTGTCTGTTTGGGGGTTTACCTGGAAGCGTACTGACACTACGGCCCCACAGATCTCCTCTCCAACCATGAACTGCTCCCCGAGCATGGCCAGGATCAGGTTCTCCCAGCAACGCGACGCCAGGCCTTTCCTCAGGCGGATGATCCACTTCCCACCCATCTTGTTGGCGTCATCCTAAAAATCAATAGACAGGGTTTCAAAGAGGGATTTTCGTGTACAAAAGGCCGTATCTTGTAATGAATTGTATCTTAGTACCTCCCACATCGGTTTGATACCCTCCTTGAAGATGTGGAAGTCACTGTGGCCCGTCAGATCACCGGGCCGGATCATGTGACTATAGAAACGCCAGAACTGCTCCACCTTGAGAAGACCCAATACACAGTCGGGTTTCATAGAAGACTAAATCAATTCAATCCACAACAGAATCCTTGTTGGGTGGAGCGACTTACCGAGGCGAAGCTGCCAATTTGTTTAATGTTCTGCTCGTAGCTCTGGGTGCTGGCTGGTCTCCCCGGGGTGCGTCTGGAGTACCAGAAGGTGTAGTTGTATTGAAGAGGGTGCTCTCCGGCCGCTGGCACCACCATCTGCAGAACAGAAGAAAGAGATTGAGCCATACGATTAAGCTTAAAAGCTGCAAACGCACATTTTCCACCAGCCAAACCTTTTTCTTGGAGAGGCTCTGGTCCTCGTCTTCAGTTCTTTCCGTCTCACTGTCTTTCGGTGTGCCTTGGTCCTGGTCGTGGTCCCCACTGTCATCATCTTTCAAACTGGAATAGAAACATGGGCAGCAAAAACAAAAACGTCCTTTAAACTTAGAATGGCTTACAACTTAGTTATTTAGTCCAACGTTACGTTTGTTTAAAGATTCCAGGTTCAATTATGGTTTTAAATTTGGGTTTAATTATTAATTCATTGTTTGTGTTTAAGTCACAGCAGATGATACGTGTGCATTCACTTAATCAATAACACAAGTTTGTCCAATGATGCGCGCGCACACACGTGTACTTAACCTAATCGTCCTGTCACAACCGTCCATCGGAGCGTAGCGCCACGCGACTCCCGCCGAAGCCCGGACCGCGCGCACGTCTCCCCGCCTCTCCGCAACTGCCACACCGAGGATTTAGGGCCTGTCCGCCTTCCGCAAGGCTAAGCTACAGCTAACAACACTGCACATCGCCACCACGTATCGTTAAACTTTGCCGTCGCTTCCCTTCATTGTAATGCGCCCGTGTGTGTGTGTGCTTGTGTGTGCGCGGACATTGCTGTCCTGTGGGCTTATAAGCCTCACGTTAATGTTACTGAGCGCGCAGCACCGCGCAGTAGCGCTGACACACCTCTCTTCTTGCACGCAGCAGCTTCCATTAGCCTTATTCTCCCACGTCAAAGTACAGTCGAGACGGAGGCCCACTCTGTGGCGGGGATGTCACGGAAACCTTTGATTACTCACGCGTCAAATTTGTTGTTCATTATTTTCTAGGTGGGAGCCTTTCGGGGTCCGACCTCAGTCTCCTGGATTCCGCAGGAACAGCCGCGCGCACAGGAGACGCGCGTGGACGCGCACGCAGCGTATTGGCCGTTGCGATGAACGTGATGACACGTCCTCTTTTTTTTGACCGAATGTTTCTATTATAGTCACTTGAAATATGTAAAATTGATTAATGTATACAAATATAAACCCTAATCGCATAATGACATAACACATCGTCACAGACTTTATCTTTTAACATTTTATTCATCACGTCTCATATTAAATACAAGTCACTCTACCACCTTATTCGGTTAATTACAGCTGGGAAAAGGTATCTGTTTAGTACCGGGTCTAATGAGTCATCAGAAACCCTGCGGCTGTGCCTCGGAGCAGGCAAACACACACCAACACACATTATGCAGCATTAACACAACGAGGGCCAGCGGCTCCTTTTCATCAACCGGCCTCCTCTGATGTGCCGCATCCCTCGTTTCATCACTTCAATCCATCCGCTTGTCATCTGTTCTGGCGGCAACTTCAAACCAAGACTCTGTTCAGGTCCAGGCAGAGCTGTGGACCGAGTCGAGGGGGTGGAACGGGGAGGAGGTTGAGGATAGAATCAAAAACAAAGTGGACTTTTTTGGGGTCCGGCCTGACTGTCATTTTTGCAAATGAGAACTAAAAAGAAACCTGAGTATTGTCAGAAAAACAACACAAGCAAGGTGAGGAACGAAGTATTTGTGGGTGACGGGCGGGGAGGAAAGGTCTGGCATGGTATGGCACGTTATGGTGTGGTGTGGTGTGGTTGGCTCTGCTGTCAGAGACCAACCCCTCGCCCCCTGTGCCTCTGTGGGGACCTTCATGAGAGGACCCTTTGTTCCGGGCCGGCAGGCGTACCACTGAGTGAATGAGCAAGAGCAGCGGCGGCCCTCTTCAATTGCGGCTGTTTGTTTACACCACCAAGTCCCGTCATACTTCATTAGCAGCCCAGCCCACCGACAGCCTCTGATGTCCTAATCGCCGATGAGCATGTGGCTGCCCATCGGACCCTGAGCCTCAGCGGTTCAGAATAAAGGGGTTTCCAGGATTCCCGACACACACACACACACATCCCCACTGAATCGGCCTGCCAATCTGCCTGCCTGCCTTCTCAGACACTTGGTGGTATAAATCAATCCACACACACACAGCCTCCATGGTGAGGGTGGATGGGAGAGCTGGTTCTTTCATCGTGGGCCAGGAGGCACCGGGAGGCCAGCCGACATCAGTGGAGCAGCAACAGTCCCAGAGAACTAGCTTTGCATCACAGAGATGTGAGAGATCTGCCGCCCAGAGAGAGAGAGAGAGAGAGAGACAAAAGCAAGATGGAACGATTATCCAGTGCTACCAGCCCGTGAGGACACTCAGACGTGCCTTTAAGGTATGTGTGTTGGATTCAGTGCATTGTTTTTTTTTGTAGGAAAGGTCTACCCATGAAGTGGGTTACTGCCCTCAGCTCATTCTACCATCAACTTCCAATAGATATAACCATGACACGAAGTTGTAGCCTGTGTGGTAGCTATTGATTGATTGACTGTTTTGGATTATTGTTTTTGAGGTTGGAATGTTGTGTCTATTTGGTTGGTTGCTGCTATTGTAAAAGTTGAATGTGCAGCATCCGTCATTGGGTGACTGATAAAGATTGTGCATCATTGTAGAGTAAACAGATGATGTTTTTACGGTGAAATAAAGAAGATAAATCAGCAAGTGGTGCCAAGTTGGCTTGTTTACACATTTAGCACTGCACAATAACACGTTACTTCAATGAACCGACCTCCTGAATGGCTCTGCCCAGACTCTCCTGGCTTTTCACCACCTTCCTGCAAAGAGACACACAAATCCATTATTCTTATACCACAACGGCAATAGAAGCCATCGCGATCAGCTGTGCAATCCACATCGAATGCCAAGAAGAGAGCCGACCTGTGTATTCTGCGCGCCAGGCTGAGGGTGAAGTTGGCCGAGCAGTCGGGCCGATAGGTGGACGGCACTACGGCGTAGCCTCCGGGAGAAAGACGGCAGGCCAGACTGACGTCCTGGGTGTGGCAGTGAGGGACACAACTGGCAGCCGGATCCTCGTCCCCGGCCAACGTCGGCTCAGATTCCCCTTCTGGATACTGGACACACAGTGACGATCAAAGGCTCAGATGCTGTAAATTTCCCCTATTAGATATTTCAATAATAATAATGTGTTTGTTACGAATGTTTTTAATATTTGATGTTTTTTTGTTAAAAGCAGGTACTAAAAATAATAATTACAATCTTAAATTTGGCTGATTTTGAAAAGCTCACACACAAATTATTCCGCTTGATTTAATGATTGCGGTTTTTCACTGTCGGGACCACGAATGCAATTCATCCGTTGAGCGGACCCTGCGCGTTAGGTGAAGGGCCGACGTCCCACACTTCTCCCTTAATGTTTCGCTGACCTTGTAAATGTGAAAGCCGATGGGGTGGAGGTCTGCGTCAGGGCGCCTCTGGTGCAGCGTAATCCTGACATTATCTCCCGCTGTCACGGCTGACTCATCGCACACTGTGAAAGGGAAGCGGGGGTTCTGCCGGTGAGACAGGAAATTCCTGCTTCCGCCTGCTGTCTTCCCCTCCACCCACGAGCCTCGGAAGTAACTGGTCTCCCACTCTCCATCTGTTTCCACTGGCAGTGTAGGTGCTGGGCTTTTCAGGGCACTGAGGAGGACACCGACGTTATCGGGTCAGGAAAACGTCGATCCAATCAAAGCGTTTCACATGGCGGAACATGGATGTAGGGGAACGCAGTGTTTCGTGTGCGGTAGGAAACTCACCAGCAGATGTCACCGTCTACTCGCCGTCACTGATTTGTAAAAGGGAAGTTGTGACGCAGGAAAGTCTCGTGTGTGTTGTGCATCATTTGATTTTATCAACAACAGTTCAGCCGATAGACTTCCCCTTCGGTGTATCGCTGAGATACCGAGGAAGTAAAATTGTCACGAGCGAGCTCTTGAAATCTACCTGCATTATGTGCTGTAGTGAGAGGGCACCACAGAAAAGCTCACTCTCCGTAGCACTCTGGAGTAAATTCAAGAATAGAGACTAGAGAACCACCAAAGGAAGCAGGGTTGTTTGTTCTCGCAGTTTAGTATAAAAAAAAATCAGAAACAGCAATGCATGAGGCCGACTATTTGCTATTAAAAAGGTATGGTAATGATGCAATGATAATAATGATGTTAATAATAATAATAAAGATCATCCATGCTTCGCTCTCTGTTTTGCTTACATAGCCGAGGTGGCTGTGCAGCAAGTGTCCCGTAATATTTTCAAAATAAAGACGACTTTATCCGTCTGAGGACCGGCCTTTTTACCTGAGGGATGTGGCGGAGGAGGAGAAGGCCCTGATGAGGAAGCGGGCCTCAGCTCCCGGCTGGTAGGTGCTGGGTATCAGCAGGTAGTATCCAGGCTCCAGCTGCTGCTGCCGGAGGACCACCTCTCTCTCGAAGGCATGGCAGTGAGTAGAAGCACATGGAGGCTTGTTCAACATCCGGCTGAGATGAAAACGCCTTTTCTCCACCTATTGACGGGGAAACTGGGAGTGAAGTGAAAAAAAAAAAACACACAAAAACGTCCCCCTAAAAGTGACGGCGCAGACCTTCCACATGTGCAGAGCGATAGCCTGGTAGTGCTGGTGAGCTGTGTTCTTGCCGTCCTCCAGTGGGCATCGATCCGCGGTTCTCCGTTTTCGGTGTTGCAGCAGGGACACCAGCACCTCGCCTCTCCCACACACTTTGAGCCAGAACTTGGGGTTGCTGCTGTAGCTGCCGCTGTTTCTGCTGCCCCCGGCGGAGTGCCCCTCCGTCCAGCGGCCAGCCAGCTGCTGGTTGTGCGTCAGCAGATTTCCTGTCGGCGAGGAGCGTTGTGAGGCTTTAAACGAGGACCACGACGTCAGTGAGTTTAAAAGATTCTTGAGCAAATCAAGGGAATTACCAGTATAGAGGCTTTTTAGTTGCCCTCCTTCACTGATGGGGTAGCCCACTGTGACATCATCAAACTGGGACAGGAATTCCGTCTCATCCAACCAGAACTCGCCCTCCGCAACCCTGGCTTGCAATTCCGAAGCACAAACGGGGTCGACAGAACTCCAACCAGAACCACTGCAGACAAAGAGGCAGACCGATTTAAAAGTCTGTATTTCCCAGCATTCCCAGGCTGCATCCATGACACAGTGCCTGAATCCTGTCTGCAAGGTGCTCATTTGTCCTTACAGAGCCTTAACTGTGACACACATGCCTACCTCCCTATCCAGGCCCCTCCCCAGCAGCTTCTTCCCCAGGGGTTTCTGATCCTGAGCAGTAGTACTTTGCTACCGGACACCCTCTGGACCTCCACCCACTCCATGACATTAAGCGCGTGGTACTGACCCAGCTCACTGGCACCTGCAACAGTCAGCGAGGTCAGCAGGTGAAGTGACACGGGATCACAATCATTTGTATCTGCGAGGGATAACTTCTTTCTGACCTCCCGGGCTGCTGTGAGTGGAGCAGCTAACCGCACACTCTTCTTTCACCGGATACAGAAGGTTCAGGTCCAGGCTTCTTCTGCTGACCTGGTCACTGTCCCGTTCTGGCCGCTGCTCCTCCTCCTCCTCAGCGACTCCCAAGCTCCAGCGTTCAGCCAGGCCTCCGGTAAGATCCACCAGGGCCTCGGACACCTTCCCGGCCCACAGTCGCTCGTATGAGCCGTGAAGCCTGAACAGGGAGGATTTACAAACCTCAACAAACACGCTGTTCCGGGATGCATCACATGCTCCAAAGCGGGTCTACTTTTAGAGATAAAATGTGAAATTGTGTTACTTACTTGGCATAGGCTTTCTCCAACAGGGCCACCCAAAAGGCAGCGGGGGATTGACAGCGTGAGAAGCAGAGAGTGGAGTCGATACAGGGAAGCCGGTCATCGATGGTCACTTCTGTCCAGTGCCCCTGCTGCCAAAAACAGAACTGGAAGGAGCCCCTGTACCTGCTGTCATCCCACTGGGGCTGCTCTGGAGGCAGCACCTGCAGGGAGTCACAGACTTAATCAACACAGCAGTGTAGGACATGCGGCAGAATGCATACAGCGGGACAAACCAGAGCCGTAGATTGTTCAAATCTATTCAAATCTGAAAGACGATACAGTTGTTGTTCTACCTTGTTCAGCAGCTGCTTGTTCTTGAGCAAGAAGGTGCAGGCGCAGAGAAACCAGCAGTCCCCTAATAAGCCTTGTTTGGCCTGACACAGGCTAGTTTTGTCATGGAAGAGAGCTGGTGACTGGGAGATCTCCTGGATGTGTAAAAGAGACATCGAATCGACACTTAAATAACACTTGTGTGGGTTTGGGTTTTGTTGGCTATAAAAAAAACGAGGTGTGGGTAAAGCGAGGATGTCAACACGGTCAGAGCCTCATCAATATGGTTTGTCACACACAGCTGCAAGATGGTAAACAATCAACAAAAAAAAACTTACAAAAGTTATCCGATCGATTCACTCTTTCATCGCATTCATCTGATCGAACACCTGATATGGGGAATATTTCTTTAGGAATAGATCAACCTGTCACAGGTTCTATCCACGTCAAAACAAACACACGGGTGGAAAGCACGACGGCATTTCCTCTTGGCACCGGGTCTGACCTGTGGGCGTCTCCAGGTGATCTCGCCCTGCAGCCCGGCGATGGGCGTGGAGCGGTCACAGAACAAGGAGGTGTCATCCGAAGGAAAGTCCCGGTCCTCAAACAGAGCCTCGCCTCCACGTTCTTCTCCACCGGCTTCTTTCATGGCTGCTGCTTCTCTTCCACCCGGATGGCGCCTGCGGGGGTCGGGAGCCAGCGTTGTTCATTTCACACATTTTTACACCTCAACACAAAAAAGTCATGATGATGATTGAGCTTTTGAGTCTTTGAGATTTAGATGATTACTATAAATTGACTTGTTTAGCCCAATTTGAAATCAGCACAAATTCATATAATAACTCATTCATGAATCATTAACTGTTACTTGCATATAAAAGATACATATATAATAATAATAATTATCTAAACAAAACTACAATGATGCAGATGTAGCAGATGGAACACCTCAATGTTACTCTCACCTTCCTCCTCTTTTAACAGCATTCCCTCTTCATCACAACACAGCTGCTAGCCGTTAGCTGCGGCTAGCTTAGACCCGCGTAGCATCGTCTTCGTCGTCTTCATCGCGTCACAGACACGAACACGTCGAGCTGTATTTCAACACCTAATCATGGCAGATTCCGTCATGATTATCAGTTGTATCCAAACCAGGGGGCCGTGACTCCCGCTGAGTGTAAACACACGTAAAGTCTCTTCCGCTCGGACGTGCAGAGGTTCATTCATAGTGTGAATCCTTCCTGTGCAGCTCGGCGCGCGCGCGCCCCCTGCTGTCGGTGGCGGGAATTACACAGCGGCGGCTGCAGCGAAAAACAGGCAATTTATGATCATCTCCTTAAAAAAGGCTAATGCAAACATCCTGTTTTAATCATGGTTTTCATGTTCAGTTTTGTTGAAACCAGACCTAAATGTAGGCTTCCAATATGTTCCTCCCTTTTGTTTCCACTATGAGTGAATGTAGATTTTCTTTAGAAATACACTATCTAAACAAAGTGTCAAGAAGCAAACCTTCACAAAGGTGCGTTTATTGCAGGATTATTGCAGAACAATTAATAGGTAAAATCACATATTGGTCTCAGCATTACTGTCAAGTAATATTTTATTATGTTTTCCCTTTTTCTATTGTTGTATTGAGAAAAGTATTCTCTTCTGTCAGTCTTTCCTATTTTAGCTGATTTAAACAGGTTTTTTAACTTTCCTTTCCTTTGTAGATGCAATACTCATTTTAACACAAAAGGAAATTGTTGTATTAAAAGTTATACAAATGCATCAGATTAATTGAATTAAATTAATTATTTAATTATTTAGCATATCTTTGTGTATCTAAGCTGGTCTGCTCAGGTTACCTCCACACGTTCAGATGCTGTTCCATGTTTTCTAGTTAGAGAGGACAAAAAGGAAAACAATAAATGAATCCACATTTACAGTTTGTTTAATCTTGACCTGATGTAGATGCTGTTCAGGCATTTGCTGAATACAGAGAATAACGTGCAGAGTTCGTGGCATTTTTCATCCATTTTCTTTGAGGATCGGCGCAGAGAAGTCTGTTTTTCAACGTTTTGAAACTGTATTAAGAGAACAGAAGAAGTTAAGACATCACAAAAGCAGAGATCCTCACGCAGCTTTTATTCAGCAGGACATCAGCGTTCTGACCTCTATCTCAAACAAGATGAGCTGATAAAGTGAAGTTTAAATACCCTTTCAAATACCAAGGGTAATGTCCCACCACAGAATAAGGAACCAGAAATACCAATGCTCTAAATATCTGGGTCAGGCAGGAAGTTTTGCAAAAAGGCTTTGCATACGTTACATAAAGCATGGGTGTGCAACCCCCTCTGCTCGGGGTCATCGGAGAATATTTAAGAGATACAGCCTACTGAACATGAGTTAATTACGATTAATCTCATGGCCACGGTGGAACGGGAACAATAAACGGTGTTTATTCCTTGAATGTAAACGCTGCCAGAGCCATTCCTCTCAAATGACGTTATTTTATACCTTTATTTAGGTATTAAATAATTAAGTAATTAAAGATTAAGTCTTTCACCACTTTTGACATGGAAGACTCATTAAGATCAGCGTTATTGTTCAAGGGAGAAATGAGACGTACAATCTAAAACTTCGACAGGAACCCCGAACCCGAACCCACACCTCCCGACGCAACACAATATCCCGCTGAGCCTTTTTTTGCTGCACGCAAACAAAATCATGAGGCAGCATTAAAAAGACAGAATTTCCCAATATGATCGTACAATGTCCTCATTGTATTTATTGTCCTTAGGTCGAATCACCATTTCTAGTGTATTTTATAATGTGTCGGTGGGTCCTATATATATATATATATATATATATATATATAATACACGTCACCATTGCTCATACAAATGTGTGATGCGGATATGAACACCGAATGAATGTAGTGATGGAGTCAAATCAAATATACTAAAAACATAATCTCTTTCTTTTACATACTGTTTTGCAGTGCAAGACATTTGTTAGGACATAATTACACACAGGTCTACAGGAACGACAAAGACATCTCGACACGTCTCGTGGGTATGAAATGATTGAGGAGAAAATGTCTCCTCAATCAGCTTTGCGTTATATGAGCAAAGGGGCCCTAAAGATGATCGTCAAACTGCTTTGGTTAATCCGCGGGCAGAGGAGTGTTTTTAATGTTTGGTGTCTCGGCTCCTCTCTGCAGTGGGCCGTGAAAAGGCGTTCTGAGAGCTGTCAGCTTACACCCTCGTCTTCTTCCTCCGAGTACGCAGGCGTTATTTGATGACTTCTTCTCACGAGAACCTGCATTCCTAAAATATCCCTTACATCAAAGGAATGACACGTTCATTTATTTATTTTTTACTTTTACAAACACCTGTCCCAAAGCAAAACTCCCCATATGCTAATGGCAACGTTCACAATGCCTTTATTCTGTAAGATGACAGCGTCATTTGACTAACTCAGACTTCTGCTTATTAACTTCAGCTAAATGGGGAATTTGGATTTCCCCCCCAAATCACCTGCGTGTGAGACACCTCATAGGGGGGATGATCACAGTGACCGATGCCTCTTCATGCACACATGTACATGTGAAGTTTTAAGATCCGTGTCTGCTAAAGCACAGCAGACACAACTCTGGAGTCGAAAATGTACAACGCTGGAAATTGCTGTTGAGCATTTAACTCGTGGTGTGGTTGCAGTGGAAAGATATTAAGCACAGCGTGACCCATATTTCCCCTCTTCCCTTTGATGCATGCTTCTTGAGAATACAATGGGCGTTCATCTGACCTAGAAAACAATCTCGGTTCAACCTCAAAGCAACCTACTTATGGGGGGCCGACATCACGTCTTGCACAACGAGGTCTGCGGTGGAACTTCATCTCTTCACTCTCTGTAAATTTAAAATCGTTTGGTTAAATATACTTGAACTTAAATAGTTCCTGAGAGGAGAACATACCTGCGTAACTTACTCTCTATCCTTATATCAGGGTGTGTTGATTGAACTATTTATATTTTCATATGGTCCACACGCTAAGTGACACCATAATTCAGTCATATTCATTCATATAGGCTGTAAAATCCTGGAAATCACAACAAATTGTTTATTTTTATTTTTTCCACTGCAACTTTACCTTTAAATACTGTACAATGTTTTACACCATAAAATGTCTCTCTACGTGGGAAGTTAAATATAAAGTAATATATGATTTGTTTACATAAGAATACACACACAATTAATCATCTTCTTCACGATTGGAAATACTACTGCATGTGTGTGTGTGTGTGTGTGTGTGTGCAGCATTCCTCCCCTCGACTTCCCTTTTTCCTTTCATTGGGGAAAGTGAGGGGGGGTTTTCTATGATGTTGTAATAGATCACAACTGATCACAGCGGACGTTCCCCTCAGTATAAAAGGTGACAGCGATCAATAGCTGAGCACCAGAAGCTCCCTGAAGCGGACCAGACAACAGCATCAGAGTCACTGCTGCAGACAAAGACGAGGACATGGTGTCAATCAGAGCCACGGCGGCGGTGCTCGCGCTCCTCTCGGCTTGCCTGCTGGTCACTGACGTGTCTGCAGGTACGTTCTGCCTTTCCTCCATCGCCTTCTGATGCATTGTTTTTAATTGATATTTGTTGCTTACCTGCGTCTGATCATGTTTTTTTCTCTCACAGTTAATTATGGATGCTGTCGAAGTTACATGACATCCCGAATACCCTTTTCTAGGATCAAGGGGTACTCAGTGCAGACTATGAAAGAAATGTGTTCCATCAATGCCATCATGTAAGTATCTGCTCACTTTCAACCAGAACAACAACAACAACAACAAAAACAACAATGCATACCACAAGTATGGTTATTCATGTTCATTTTGTTTATTACCTTTTCCATAGTTTCCACACAATGAAGGGGAAAGGGTGCACGGATCCCGCTCTCAACTGGGTCATGCAGTACGTCAACCGTTTAAGGTAACATTCATTTTTAACAAATTGTGCAACGGAAATAAATTAAAAAAACTGAAATCGGGTGTGTAATATATTTAAACAAATATATGGCTGAAATTATAACTGGTTGTGTTTTCATTGCAGAGATAAAGCACAGCAGGTTCACGCAAATACGTCAAAAGCGAACCAGTAGAGTTCTTCTGCTTTGAAGACGGTGATGGAGCCCGTTTATCTCCAGTTCTCCAGTGACCAACAACATTCAGGGAACCAGTACAGCAAAACTGATTATTATCATTTAGAAAGCATTAGCTCAGTTGTAGGAGCATTGCATTTTATCATGTTGAAATGTGTATGTTGTTTTCTATTGTATGTAAATGTTGCATTCACAATAGAATGTAAAAGACAAAAATCATTAAAGAAACAAAAAAAGGTGAAATTGTGTCACGTCTCTCCATGAAAACACTCCTGTGTGTATGTATGGGAACTTTACACAGAACTGAAATAATCGGACAAAGCACTCCTGTCTGACTTTATCTTAACTTCCTGTTTCTATTTGTTGAGGCGAGAAATTCCAGCTCTGTAGTTTTTGAAAACTGTTCATGGAACAAAATAAAACAAGTTACTGACGACGTCGGCTGTAATGAAGTGAAAATGCTTCTGATTGATGATTTTCTGCATTGACTACTTGTATACGTAGTAGTATGTTTACACAGTAGTGCATGTATATATGCCGTGTACTACTATGTACTGTATTTAACAGATATACACAGTAAATCATGGTTGTATACTTTAAATCATGGAATCGGTTATATTTTGAAAATGAATAACCAGTAAAAACAATTATAGTCATTTGAAATAATGAATTCATTCCACGTGGCCACAAAGTTGTTTGTGTGAGAAACGCGTTTGCCTGTAGATGGCGGTAGTCTCCCTTCAAAGAAGAAGTCTGATAAAATGAGGAAAACACTTTCATAAAGTCTAGCTGTCTCAGTGCTGTTGGTCAATGAATACAGTTCATTTTAGAACAGTGTTCAGTGCTGCATCACACATCCATGTCGACATTTAGCCAAATCTCTGCTCCTCTTTCCTCCAATTCAATCATCATCTCAACTCTTCGCTTTTAAGATTCAAATCTTTGAAATGTGACCTTCTGCTTTCAAACTACTGACGAAAGTGTCATTTTGGCTTCACGTCCGATCTTTGGCCTTCAACTGTTGGCACCAAAAACAAATCCAAACAAATGAGCATTTTCTCCTGTCGCATGAATCCGTCCCAAATGCCAGTCTGGAGCCACTATTACACCACCTCCACTCTTCTGCACCACTGTGCAGAGTGCTTTTCTATGAATAATACAGAGCGACCGGGGAGAGGGGGGGGGGACATGGGTCGCTCAACGACAGAGGGACTACATCCTGTTATGTGGAAAGATGGAGTCAGACAGACACGGCGGAAGGGAAGGGAGTTCTACGTGGAACCCCCAACACCAATAATCACATCAGACGCTACTGCGTGGATTCTGATTTAGCTTTATTGAATCAATGAATGAATTCGGTCATACTTTTCCTGTGACACAGATAGAGGACACGGACGGGTGCTGTGAGAAACGGCCGTCCCCCGTTTGGCGTCTGGAGGAGGACAAGGTCATCGACTCATATTTCCCCATAAGGGAGCGGGCCGCTTTGGTACAGAAAAGAGAATAGCATATTGCACGGTGAGATCAGGAGACAGGTCTTCTATCGCGCCGTACGGGCACACAGGCGGGAAACCAGACAGCGCCTCCGACACACATAATGAGACATCCACAGTCAGAGCGGCGAGAAAAACAATCTGGCTTTTCAAATCGCTCGTGTCGCGGCGCTTTTTGCAGCAACAACAGGGAGGATATTAAAATAAATAAATAAATATACTTGAAAAACTTGATTTCTTTGGGGGTTTTTTCGGTTTCCCCCCTCGTCCTCACTCATTCTCGCGAGCGCCGCTGACACAGAGTTAACCGAGCTCCGTGTGTAATTAGACAAACAAAAAAGAGAGGGATGAAACATCTAAAGGAGAATGATTACACATTCAGCGCGCTTCCTTCCCCCTTGCTGCACACATAACCACCAATTAGAGGAGAGGAGAGGAGGATGAGGACATGCAAGCCGCCAGGAGTCTATTAGTGTCTCTCTCTCTCTCTCTCCCTCGCTCTCGGTCTTTCACCCCCTGAAGACTATCCAGCGCTGCGGAGGGAGGAAGAGAGGAGAAAATAGAAGCGAAAAACAAGAAGTATATAAATAAAGGAATCCGTGTTTCACGTCCGGTCGTCCGAATCGGCGGAGATGCGAGTCGGGCGGATCGGGGCCACAGTTGCACTCATTGTTCAGTGAGCTTTTCTACACAGTCCAACCCAGCGACAGCAATGAATGTTGATTGTGACCTTTGGTCCTCGGGTGCAGGGGAAACAGAGTGTCACTTTTGTGTGTGTGTGTGTGTGTGTGTGTCTTTCACTTGCAGCGTTTCGCATGCGCCCACACGCCACCTTTGTTCATTTTCTCTCGCTCTCGTTCCCCGACGTCGTGAGAGGCGAGCCTCGGGGCACAGTCAACGGTCGATGGTTTCTATGTGATCCATACCAAAACTCACCGACAGCGTTGAATGTTCACCGAGGCCAGCAGGACTGTGACCGTGAGCTGAGCTGACAGGAAGAGGGGGGGTGGGGGGACAGACAGGCAGACAAGCAGGGGGGACAGGGACAGGGACAGGGGGGGGAGTCGGCTGGCAGCGAGGAGGGACGTGATGACACGGGACAACGACAGAATGAGTCCAGTGTCCACGGGCGTATGCTACACACGATCATGTGGTGTGTTTAAGCTGGGACGTACACTGAGAGGACGTGTCTTATACTGCGCTACCACATCCTCATTAACCGCAGGCGCTTCTTTCAGCTTCACTTCAGAAGAGGCCCGGAGCGGAATCTGAAACACAGACCAAGAGGAAGATGCCAACGCTGTAAAAAGGAAAAGGGCCAGTTCACCAGAAATTGCAGAAACACTTTCGTTTTCTAGTATTTCAGCATGTGGTTTCATACATTTGTGGTTTCCTTTTGCGCAGGTTACCCCTAATATGGAAGCGGTGAATGTAACAGCATTAAGAAATGGCATTTAAGATATTCAACCAAACATATGATTATATTATATTATATATTATATTTTTGATGCAATGAAATACAAGAACCTAAACAATTTGCATTCATATACAACACTAGGCCTAAGTGACACCGTGTTTTTGAATTTTGAGTGACCAGAATATATTTGTTCTTCAAGGCCGTCCCGTCACGGTTCTTACAGACGTCCCGTCCGGGGGAAGAACAATGCCGCGACGTCCCGCTGAGCAGCCGAGCTTTTCAGACCCGGGCCGTCGCCCGCCCACAGGCTGAGGGCTCCCATTGTCCGACGCGGGGGCAGAAGCCGGGGAACAACCAGTGTCCCCGTCCCGTCCCCGTCCCCCGCCGCGCGGACCGAGGGGCTGACGTCAGGATGGTGATCGCTGATCTACGGCCATTCATCGCGCCGCTTCATCGGCTTAGTGCGCTGATGTCATTGAGCGGGCCCAGACCTGCATCCATTACTCTGCCGAGGGAGGCGGACGTCGGGCCGGCGCGATCACACACTGCTTACAATGAGTGAGTAATGCATCACCTCATGGGCTGCTATAATTCAGAAGGTCATAAAATAGACAGCTTTTGTCTGCGTCTCTGAATGATCGCCTCTGCATTCTTTCAACCCGGGCTTTTTCTTTATGAATACGTTAAAATGGACAATGAACGTGGCTAAGGACCAGCAAACACTACGCGCTTTGTGAATAACATAACTTGTTTTTAAAGCCCATTTCTGTTGCCGGTGTGTGACGTGCGGCGCGTGAACCAGAAGCCTCTTTACTCTCGTGGTGAAGAGACTAAATTCATGAGCCTTATTACATCTTCGCTCCTCCATCACAGTCGCACACACCTCACCCCCCCCCATGAGACCTAAAACAAAACAACAGGCAGAGGGTCTAGGGAGAGAAGGAAAGGATGGGGGGGGGGGGTTTGCCATGGCAACCCCAGTGTCAGCCAGCCATTTCTTCTTAATCCCCCCCAATTCAATGTCGCGCCCTCTGAGAGACCCCCTCTCTACAGCTGAATATTTCTTTTGTGTAAAAAGACTCTGTGTATGTGTGTGCGCGGGAGGGTGGAACCAAGGAGGGGGGAGGGATAGGGGTTAGAGTGTGGGGGGGAGATCACAGCTAACCCTTCTTATATAGGGGGGTGGGGGGGGGGGGCAAGCTGCAGGCCACAGTCTCAACATTACACCGGGGGTACTAACCAGAGATCAAAACACACACACACACTTAAATACGATATTGATGGAGCGAGATAATCTTGTGAAATGGCGGATAATTACATCATGTGGCCCCTCCGCCCTCTGAAAATATCACCAACGAACTCTTGCACTTTGTACATAGATATATATATATACATTTTTTCCCTGCGATGAAAGTCACGTGTTCGCTCGACATTGCTGAAGTAAAGCGGGTTCGAGCGGGTGGGAGGGGGGGGGGGCGGGCGTCAGCTGCTCGACAAAATTAAAAGGCCTCCGTTTGTTCCCGACAATAAACGTCCGCGTCCTTGCAGCTGCAGGGAGACAGGCTTTGATTTCTAAGTGCGGACTAATAGAGAGCAATGGCTCCTTTCCTTTACTGGAAGCCGAATTAGGGTGCGGGATATTAAATCCACGGAGCTTCATAAAAATCTTCCTGAGATGCTTCTCCTCCGAGAAAGAGGACAAAAGAAATGTGACACTTGGTCGGATATCGAGTAATAGAGGAAACTAAGACCTTCATGAAGCTATTTGGATGACGCTGTACATTAAACCTGATGGAAAGGTTCTTCACGGAGTCAAAAGCAGGAGGCAGTATGCGAAAAACCTGACAAAAGCAGACAAAGACAAAAGGGTCAGAGGACTCGTCCATTTCCTACAGCGTACAGAAAGCCGACCTCATGGATTCCCGATTTCAGGTAGAGTTTCCTAATCAACCGATAATTAACGTCCCCGCATCCTCCGGAAATCCCCAAACAAGCTTCCCCTTAAAGCTGAGCGATGGCAGCTCACTAAGGAAGTACCAGCGGTGTGTCTCCGGGGTGGTCTGATGGCCGTGGGCGAGACTTTAATGTAGCCGCTGCGCGTCCACTGCGGTGTGCACTGTACATTCACCCGTAATGACTAACAGACCAGCAGTCTGCCTGCCGGGGCCTCAGACGCCACTCCGTGCCTACACATGCATATGCTCCACTTTAATGGCAGCCTTCAGACTCTATTTGAAGTGAGGGGGGGAGGGGGGGGCGAGCCGGGGTTTTCCAAAAGGGGAGTTGGGGAGGGGCGGGCAGACATGACTTTAAGGACCGACAGTGCCCTCGGAGCTAATATTTGACCCCGGTGAGTTTGTTTTATAAAGTGGCCATTTGAATCTATTCAAACTGATAATTGCAGTTTTACTGCTGTGTGGCGGTTCTTTTTTAAGCATTTATGGAGCTGGATTTGCCAAACATCTGGCCGGGACGTTACATGTGACCTGAGCTGCAGACAAAAGTCTAAAAAAGTACATTGTATAACTTGGCCAAAGAATCTAAGATAATTTGAAGGGTCTGTGCAACTTCTCCTAGCCAATTCATTTTATTCTCCTGCGTGGCAAAACGCACACATTGTGTATTTAAACTACCCGCATGGGAGCCAACGGGGGGGAAGGGGGGGGTTGACAAACACTATGAAACCGTGAAAAGTGCCCCGTGTCAATCCAGTCTATCAGAGAGTAAAGGCCACATTGTAACACAAGGTGCAGAGTCTGTTCGACAAGTGCGAAGACATAAACCAAAAACAAAAGGCACAAAGTTGGGGCCTTGGGACGGATCGGCAGGGTGGGGTCGTTGGGTGACCTTTGCCCCTTTTAACCCCGAGGAATGCTGTCGTGCTGGTGCGTGTATTGTTCCAGCCTCCCCGAGGAGCCCCAGCAGTGTATCGGATGAATGTGGGCGCTGAATGTTCCTGAGGGCCCCTCCCTCCCCCTAAAATAGACGCTTTTTTTTTTTCTCCGAGCCCTAATTCCTTTTTTTCCAGCTTTTTATCCCCAGTCTTAAACAAACAAAAGGTATCAACCGGGTAAGAGGGGGCTGTTGTTGTCGGCCTGGAGTGCGCACGTAGGCAGACCGACTCCTTCGCTGACCTGAACGCTCAGCAAAGATGCAGTAAGAAATCAAATGAGCCACATTTTATCGCTCCGCTGTGCAGAACAGAAGGGATCTTAACAAGAAAGTGAGTCTAGAGGAAGTCACCAGCAGTAGATTGACGGATGAGAGGGCCAGACAGACGGTAACTGGCCAGGTATGTCCTTTATATCCACCTAGGGCTGGTTAGGAGGAAATGGAGGAATTTATGATGTCATAAAAAAAAGAGCTAGAAGAGGAGTTCATGAGAACAGGTTGTCTCTAGAGCTGGAGCAATAAAAGACTCCCGCGGCTTCTTGTCCCCCCCCCGACTACCTCCCGAGATGACAACACTGAGAACCAGCCGCTGTGAGCAGCCAGAGATGTTTGCGTATGATTCAACTAATCTGTAACTGTGAGGCAAAATATTATACCGACTACGGGACCAAATCCGCCATTGAATAATATATCCTTGGGGATTAACAACATATTCTTTCGCTCAAGTACCCGGGATGAATGGATGTGGGGGGGTAGAAGTACTTTCATTTTAATACTCTGAATGTGTGCTACTTCATCCACTGCGGTACTATATAACTGTATAATTAGCAGACTAGTAAGCTCTAGAATAAGCTTCCTCCTGTGATCAATAACATTGATTAAACACTCGGCCCCAGCTAATGAAATTGCTCCAAAATCATTGAAACGATTAAAAGTTTTTCTTTCCTCCATTTGAAAACATTAATACCACCAAAACGAACCTAAATACGGGGAACATCCTCAACAAGACAAGCACCATCTGCCCCCTCAAACCAAGCAGGTCGCACACACATCTATATGTTCACACACACATCTATATGTACACACACACATCTATATGTTCACACACACATCTATATGTTCACACACACATCTATATGTTCACACACACATCTATATGTACACACACACATCTATATGTTCACACACACAACACTTCTCCTGCAACCACAATAAGATAGAGGGACACTGCCGGTCCTTGTTAAGAGGAGGAAGCGAGAAGGTGGCTATTTGCTCTACAGCCTCACTAAGGACGTATCCCATTGTAAAGAGGAGTGGCTGCGCAGCCCCGTTTCCTTTCATCCTTCTCCTTGAAGCGCGCAGCCTTTGTCTCCCGGAGGACGGAACCACCAGGCTCCCGACCGCGCCGCGCCGGACAAATACCTGGGAACTACCGTCGGCCCGGTGGGAAAAACAACCCGGGGGAGGAGGAGGGGGAGAGACGGCGAGAGGCAGTACGGCAAAACGGCTTTTGAATAATAGCTGTTATTAAATGTCGAAAGACAAAGTTGAGCGACGAACACCTGGCAGCAGAAGAGCACTTTAAAAACGGGATTTTAGACTAGAAGTAAAATGATGTGACCACCTGTTTTTGCTTTTCTTCCTCTTTCTTACTTATTAAAAAAGGTAGCAACTGTGTGCATGTAATTAAGGGCCGAGGTTAAAGAAGGCAGACCTTTTCTTTTCTTCTCTCCTTCCAACGTGCACGTTCATGCCAGCTCAGCGGAATGAAAGCGGTTCCTGTGTACGAGGGGCTGCTTCAGGGTGACCAGAGTTTAAGTCCTCCTCCAGCCGGAGAATGTAAAGCTTTAAGTTCCAGTGCACACGGACGGCCTCGGCAGCCAGACCTCACTGTCACACCTCATAAAGCAGAGCTCAAGCAGTGGGGTTGTGTTTAAAGCCGGGGGGGGGGGGGATAAGGCGAAATAAGGACAAATAAGGAGGAGAACGAGAATGCCCCCCCATTCAAGAAACGGTGGAGAAAAGAGGGGGAAAAGCCCTTGACAAAAGCTTTTGAGCTGCAAACTCTGGTGGCATGTCTCCAGTATAGGAAAATATATACTTTGTGGACAAACTGCAGCATAGGAAAGTTAAAAAAACAGCCATTGAGGGATTTTTAAGACCATAATCCTCTCTTCTCATTTCGAATTTTTGCTTCGCTGTTGCGAGAGAAGCGAGGCCCCACAAGTTTATTTTCAAATAGTTGACAAAGAATGCCTGTCATTTCCTGGCGTTCCCCACTTCCATATGAAAGCCCTCGTTCCTTTAGGAACAATGGGAAAGATTCCCAAATTTCCACGGGGAGGTTTTTTTTTTGCACGGCGATACAATAGAGAGCATGTTGTGACAGACTGGAGACAAGCTGTTCCTCTCCGGCAGGTGACAAGATCGAGACCGACGCGGTATTTTAGTCTCACATCCACCGCCGCACGTCACGATTAAAGCGGCCACACAGCAGCTGTAACGTCAAATAAATGAGCTGAAAAGCGACGCGTAATGGCGGAGCTGAATCTCTCCTTGACAACTGGAACGTCTGTCTCTCATATCTGTGAAACATTTAAGTGTAAGCTGCTAGATAGAAGTGACTTTATTAAGCGCACCTTCCCCCCACCTCTGGTTCTTCTTTTCTTTTTAAAAACTTTTACTCTAACGCCAATAGACGCGGACACAAAAACACTTGCGTGCAGCCGAACGTGCCAATATGGTCTTGAAAGCCACCTGGCTTGACCCCACAGCAGACATGAGCCTTTGGCTAGACAGGAGGTCAGAGGTCATTCACTCAACTAGATAGGCAGAGTTGCGATGCCTGAGGCGGAGTGCGGAGGTCTCCACCACCTAACCTTTCCATTTACCCAACACCGCAACCGTACACCCGAGAGAAGCACACACACACACACACACACACACACACACACACAGGTTCCTGCCTCCACGAACTCATTCGCCCCTCGACTTTGTTTACCTGTAATGCAGGACAACAAAGCAAGTGTATGTGGTAAACATATCGTCTGCTTTGGGTCCATAAATCAGTGTACAATCATGTCTTGGCTGGTAAAAGAAAATTGTTTGAAAAAAAACATTATTCTTCAGTGAATTTTGTCCAATCTGGGCTTGTTATGTTTTCCAGATGCCTCACAAATAATATATCAAGTTTGCAGATTGTATTTTATTGATCGAAAAGAGGGCAGGGGGGGGGCGGGGGGCATTCTCTTCCTTATTTGTGTGTTCATTGTCATGTGATGGTCGGAGAAGCCCCCTGATGGTAACGACATGACATCTTCGCTGGTACAAACAATAGGAACATCATTTCATTCTAATTGCTCGGTGAATGGCGTCCAGAGAGAGACAGGGGGTGTAACTGTGGGGGAACCGAGCTCCGTGGCTGAGAGCGTTCTCGACACAATTGCAGGTTGCAGCAGATGATAATTCTCCATTCACTCCACGCACTCTGACAGACAACTACACACCCTTCACGGTCAAATATGCACTCGGACACTCGCTGCTGCTGCGTCTTCTCTTATGAACGGTGTGTAACTCACACCAATGAAGGACTGAAGTCACGGATCACATATCGTTTGGGGTGACGTACCATGAATGAAATGTCCGCATTGGGTTAATGTTGTTTTTCAATAAGAAGCCATGCATTCCCCTCTTAAAGGATACACTGTGTAAAGTGCACAGCCGGTGAAATGTAGTGCTGCACTAAGCGTCTAGACCAACTCCAAAAGGCAGAAGAATTCATGGAGACCGCCTCATTACCTTAAAGCATATTAGTGCTTGGCACGGCATGCTGAGACACTGAGCACAGCAGCTTAGAAAGAAGCATGGTCTCAGCTGCTTTGAATTACCCTTCACAGTCAAAGCTCAGTGGCACATTAAACCCCCAAAACGAGTACGTAACGCCCGTGATGAGGTGTGTTTATCTGGTCAGTGCATCCTCTCCACAGTGGCCATGCTGAAAATGGCAGTCCGCCTGTTTTTTTTTGCCATGTGCTGGAGGCCCACATTCCGGGAGGAAGTCAGATGCGCACACAATGTTTCCGAGAATTCAGGAAGACACGCGCTTTGCAGTCTACTTGCACTGTTCCAATACCTTTCCGCACTTGGCACACACATAAAAAAAAGGCATGCATTATGTTGCACTGTGCCTTTGATCGAAACATAACACATTTTCAGTGCGTATTCATTTTCTGGCGACATTACGCGCGTAGCGATCACATTACGCGACGCCGGGCGGGAGGCGGGTGGCGGCTGTGAGTGATCGGCGTCTGCTTTCTGGTGTTCAGGTGTCTCGCTCCTATTGTTTGGGATCAGGAGGGCTGCTGTAATGTCGATGCAATGACAGATGGCCCACACAAAAGCCGGTGCGCATTGTTCCGCTGGAAAAATAATAGCCACCATTTATCAGTGTTCGCCGACTTTCAGGCGCAATAGGAAGCCGGCTGTCTGGTGAGGCAGATAAATCAAAGTGATATTGTTTGGGAGGCTCCCACCGAGATTCCTTCGGGCAACACAGTCCGTTAAAACACATCGGCCAAACTTTCCAAGCGCCGGAAACGGGATTTTGGGATGTGTACGCTGCGTAACATCCATGCGCCTCCAGAAGCGTTATCAAAAGTTGGGGTGTGCAGAAAACGGGGCTACAGAGACCAGCGAAGCGTCGCACGGGTGCATCATGCGATGACCGATGGAAGACGCGCTTTTCTATCCCACGGCACGTTGGACTATTGCGCTCGGTTTTTTTTTGGAGACGTGGAGCCGCGTCGTTAGTGGCCCGCGCAGCGCCAAACGCAGACCCATCGCACGTTACTGCGCCGTCACGTTCATCCACCCAGATTAGACGTCGACAGATTTTTTTTTTTTAAATCTCACTTTACAGCATCATTCAGTACGCTACAGATTCTACCTAATTCTGCCTTTAATTTTTTAGCTCATTCATGCATTTTACACGATGGCATACTTACAACATTTCCCTTCACGCGCTGCTTGTCACACAACGGGATTCACCGTCACGAGCCCGACTGATGGACCGATTTCTTCAAGCGTTCCACACCGGCTATTCTCACTCTCATCCCTTCTCTCCGCTCGCTCCTCCGGCCCACAGCCTGCGCCCGTTTGAGAGGCAGGAGGAAGGGCATCCGGTTTACTGGGAGCACCGGGGAAGGGGGGAGGAAGGGGGGGGGAGGAGGGGGGCGGGGCGGGATTGGCTCAGAGGAGATAGCTTGATGAAATGCGCGTCTGCCATTGGTCGGTGGGTGGAAGGGAGGGAGGGAGGGGGGGGCGTGTATTATTCAGGAGGAACCGGGTGGGGAGTGAAGAGGAGGATACTGGGCGCATATGCAGACAATGCCCTGTCTCACTTATTCAGATTTCATTGGTGGATTTATCCACCGCACTTTATGGCTTCTTTTAATCTCCTCGTGGACTAACAGGCAAACTGGAGCGCTTGTTTTAACCCAACAGTGTTTGTGGTAACTATTGGTGGTTGAAATGACCTCAGATTTCTTAATATAGGGGATCACTGTGACATACCCACAATCCATCCATCCATCCATCCATCCATCCATCGTCAAACCGCTTTATCCTGCACACAGGGTCCCGGGGGGGCTGGAGTCCATCCCACAACGGTAATTTCAAAATACGGGAAAGATTATATTACATACTAACATTTACACCATTACATTAAATTACCTAAATGTCGTTTTAGTTTTTCTTCTTCAATGCTTGCCCTTTTAAGATTAAAATTGAATATGCTGGACTAACCAGACGGAAGGGAACAACTATAAATAAATCAAACAAGCCTTATTTCGCAGCATCAAACCACAAGAAAGGCTGTCTGTGTGTGCATGTGACTTTCTCCCAGTGCGTGTGTGTGTGCGTGTGTGTGTGTGTGTGTGTGAGAGCGAGAGTGTGAGTGCGTCTCTGCTGTATGTAGGCTACGAGACAGCTGGAACTGCAGAATGTTCCACACAGGAGCAGGGGAGGAAATGGTGCATGGATAATTCTCTCTTCAGATCCTCTGGTTCTCGCTCCGAGAGTACTCAGCTGAATCAATACTGCTCAAAGCTTTCTCGTGTTCCCACATTGCATCACTGCTACTGTGGCGAAGGAGGGCCAGTCCATTTTAAGGTGTTTTCTAGAAAAATAAAATGCCATCACTCCTTCTACACAGGGATATTTACTCTGCTAAATCCCCCCCTTGACCTAAAGGCCTCCTGCACACACACAGAGTCACATCCACAATACAGACGGTAGGCTATTAACGTGCATACTGAGCCGGTTTGTGAGCGGACAGAGAAATCCTAATAACCACAGCGGGGGCTCTTCTCTGACCGGTAGCCATGGTGATTGAACACATTTCTCCACACGGCAAGAACGGGGGTCCGCGTGCGATGCTCCAACCAGGCCTTTACGAGGCCCAGACCCTTCGGACTGGAAGGAAGGAAGCACCGAGCGGAGGATCACACCCATTTCGTTATGGCATTTTTTTTACGATAGTCAAGAGGCGTTCCAGCGCGAATTAGCTCTTTTTCTGGAAGACGCTGAAATAGCACGCTGAACATCTCAACAAAGCAGCACATCATCTGATTATTGTGCTGAGGTGAAGGCTAATTTGCATAACTGGTGGGAATGATGCTCTCAGGAGCAAAGCACGTAGATTTATTCAGCATTCGGTCTAATTTCAAACATCCCAATGAGAATAACTGCCCTGGCATGATCTCCTTGAAGTTTTTGTCTTTCCTCTTGGTTTGGCTTCTGCTTCAATCGTACTTTAACAAATCTAACCATGTGCAACTTTGTGTTTGTCATCATATGAAAACCTTAAAAGTCCATATTCTGAATAATTCATACTTGATTTTTAACTGAAGGATCATATGAGTTTAAACGTTTTACCACCTTTTTGTCTAAAAAGAGCCTTTATAACGGATGCATACGTGTCATTTTCTTAGTTATTTAACAAATAAAGATAAAGCGTTAATGGTTTATTACATTTTCTTAACTGTATTATTACCAAGAAAAAAGGAGAAAACACTAAAAGTGAATTTTTACAAAATGTAAATACAAATGTTATTTATAATAAAAACCTTATAACTGATCTATGTAAATAAATAATAAATGTAAAACATTACATTCATTCCTCACCTCCCCGACGGTGTCCCCCGTTGTTTACAGACTTTAGATATTGTTGTGATATTATTGTTGTGATTGTTGAGTCAGCAGGCTGACTCCTTACTAAACACATCTTTAGGCATGTTGCAGATAAACATTTTAAGTTGATTTGAGTTTTGCTTCAAAGGTCAAAGGACATGAAGTAAACAAACTGTACCGCACAGTGTTCGAGTTTTACCGCTCGTGTTTGCTTTTCACGTTCATTTCAATCCGGAGAGACTTGTTAAAATTTGAACAATGCTTTATTATAACAGGCATAATATGATATTACAAGTTGTTTGGGGCTTGGACTCCATCCTGCCGCAGGATAGACCCGGGGCCGGGATCTCGAGCCGAGACGAGGCATATCCCCCCCTTTGGGAGTCCAGACACTGGTGGTGGTGGTGGTGGTAGAGCTGCATAAGTTGCATAACTCTCCTGATATGCCAGGTTCTGCTGTAGATTGGAGTGTCCGGGGTGGTGGCGGGTCACCTTTGAAGCGTGCTGAAATGACAACTGACAGCAAAAGGTTCTGATACTACCCGACCCCGCCACTAATCAGCTGGCCGTGCGCCCCCAGGGAGAGAGGAGGCCACCAGGGAGAGAGGAGGCCACCAGGGAACGGCACAGCCTGTCCAGTCTTCCTGACTGAATTTTCGCCTAAGCTTCATTTAACTTTGATGCAATAAAGTTGTTTTAGTCTGACACACAACAAGCCTGAAGTTACAGATGCATATTGGACCAGACATTAAATGGACTCCCATCGCCCCACCACAGAGTCCATGTGATGTCCGATTGAGCCCATGTATGACTTCATTGTCTGGAGGAATCCCAGCGAGTGAACTGGTGACATTTTCATGCAACTGGCACAAAACCAGAAGAACATCCAAGCTGAAGAAAAGGGCTCATTTTTTCCAGATTTGAATAAACTTTAAAATCTTCTGCTTCCCTCATAAAAGGCGAACTGTACAAGGCCCACGTTCAGCTGTGCTCCCTCTTATGTCATATATGTGTGTGATCCAGACACGAGCCAACCCTGGACGCTAATGGAGAGTGTCTGATATGTTACTGTTAATCTCCATGACAACGTATTAAGCTGGGGCTTAGAACCATGACTGTTCCATACTGTGCTCAGAGAGAGGGACATCTCCAACAGCTTCGGCAATGAGCTGTCTAGCGTGCTTTCATCTTCTACAGATGGAGCACATACTGTACAGCAACGCAACGTCAATTCTTATTTTATTATTCAATTATTCAGTCAGACGGGTTTTCTTTGACACTATATGAAATCTGTTTATTCCCGTTAGGGGTTGTGAGGTAGACAAGAACATTCACGCCACTCCAAAGACTGTATGGTAAGCTGTTACCAGCCTTTACGCTACGCTAAGCTAACCAACTGTTTGCTCTAGGTTCACATAAACAATATCCACAAATATATTTTAAAAAATGTGTCAAACTATTCCGTCAAAGTTGCAGTAGTTGTCACATATGAGTTACAGCTATGTGCACGTGCCCTCCATGCAAGGCAATCGTACTTTGGGTGATATGGGAATCCAAAAATCCCCTGATTTTAAAAAGAGGACAGGGGAGACAGAAAAACAGCAATCAACACCGATTGCTTATTTTGCCTCCAAACGTAAGTAGCTATAAAAACGGGATCATCATTAGACACACACAGGTTTTGTTTACTTTATAGGTCAGATAATGTTCTTATTGCTGCTGTCTGGTAACTCTTCTCATACGGCTAATTGCGAAAACCCCGGCGCTAGCGCCTTATCTCACATCGCCGACCGCGAGGCGCGGTCCCCGGCAACCCCCGGACCACCTCCACCCAACCCCGCGCACAGCTCCGCCATCATGGATGCCTCCTGTCGGGTCCCATTCCTGCTCGACGCCAGGAGCAAATTCTCCGTCTCAATTAATCACTGAGTTTCTAATGGAATGCTTCCCTTCAGGATGAGGCCCATCACGGAGGGGGCTGCTGTCAGTGCTGTCGGTGAAGCTGCTCTGATTGCCTGAATACATTCCCGGGTTTGGAGTCACTGCAGATGTCTGCTAATTGTGGTGATTATGGCGAGCGGAGGGGGGTAGGAATATGTAATGAATTTCCCATTGCTTTCATGCCTCACATCCTTTGGTTGTGTGCATCTGCTACACAAGCGGAGCATCCGCAGGGTTTGGAGATGGACAAAAGTGACATGGGGGATTGGGCACATGCTTTTGGACGGGCGGCCATTCTAACGGCAAGTGCCGCCAGATTGGGTCCATTTATTCTTTTGGTGTTGTTCATTTTTGACACAATGTTGGTTTGAATTCCTCTCGTCTTCCGCTCCGTGCTCTTCCAAATTCTGTCCATTATGTTATTGAATTATGTCCTTTGCTTTATGAACGAGTGACAAAAAACGACTGACAAAAAACTGAACATTTTTCAATGGCCAAAACGCACAATTTAAAACCCCAATTTAATTCGGGGTTGTTTAATCTATATAGTCCTAATTCACAAAAATAAAAAAACAACCAATCAAACAAATATGGGAGGATGAGAGAAACATTTTGTAAATAAAATACTGCACTCGTTACTGTAATTCTGAATTCTCCCTTGGCTTGATACCGTTGTTCTTCTGGGATTTATATGAAGGAGGTCATCTGGTCTGGAAGACGTAGAACCACATTGACAAAGAGGTGAACAATTTTTCTGAAGCCAGCATTTCGTGACAGCGTTTTTACTTCCTGCCGGCATAAAGATCTTTAAAAAGAAGGTGTCATATTTACTTTGGTTATACTTGGTTTTGTTTAATCTGCACAAGTACTGAAGGGTTGAAATGTCCAGTCTGTGTTCGTTCTTCTTCTCTGGATCCAGGCTGTTTTCCCCCTGCAGCAAATCTGTGTGTTCAGCTTCCCTTTACCCGCTGCCAGCTTTAGCCGGTTACCTAACGTGCAGATAGTGGTAACAACCTTCATCTAGAAAGGGAATAAGCTCTTTTCTAAACAGCTTCCAATCATTCATTCATTCAAGGGAATCGATTACATACTTACATTATATAAATATTAAACATAATACCGTGACTAGAACAAATGTAGACCGTCGACCATGAAAATAGAAAATAGAAAATAAACAAAATGTAGAATTTGTTGCAGTCGGAGCCTTATATTTTTACAGGAGCAGTAGAATGGTTGTCGGTATTTAAAAGTCAAAGTAAAAAAGTAAATTGCTTGTGCAGCTTAAACCTATTAAACTCAGAGGATTATTCACACAACCTGGATTTCTGCACATTCTTCTCTCTGTGGTTATCACACAGCTCTCGGACATGCTACTCCGGACGTGGAACCGGAACAAATCATATTCATACATTTAGCATATTAATGAGGCTAAATATCAGACGTTCTCTGTAGAAAATTAGAAAATGCCAGATACATTGTGGATGTGCTTTTGCAAAGAGTTAGCTGATTCCTTTGGGGCGAGTGGCCTTCTTGTCACACTGATCAAAGACTTTCTCTTGATATGAGCATAAACTGCTCCATGCCCCATCACCGTCAATGTCTGTGCATGCGTGTGAGCTTGTGTGTGTGTGTGTGTGTGTGTGTTCGTATGAGTGCACGTCTGTGTGTATGCGTGTGTTTGCGAGAGGTGGGGGGGGTTGTGTGTGTGCATATCCATCCCCCATCACCAGAGGCCTTATTATGCATTGTTGTTGGCATGGCCTACATGCTCACCCAAGCATGGTCCAGTGTGGTACAGTACACACGTCTTCCCATTCCCCTGCCGTGTCCGCGGGCGCGCTTCATTTACCTTTGCTCCTGAATTAATGCTAGTTAACTGTCACATTAACTCAGATCTGTTGACCCGCTTTGTCAACAACACAAACTAGCCCCGGCGCGTAATAGCCGGCTGGATTTGGGCTTTGATGCACAGCACGCGCGCACGGCCTGGGTTTGCCCCGGTGTACGTGTGCTACCTAAAAGCAGCAACCACCCGTGACGAAACCGCAGGCGGAACGCACACCGTTGCGTAACGTTTTAAAGCTAAATCCCGCTTTGTATTTTTCTCGACAAAATGGCGGAGAATGCCGAGAAATTCCAAAGTTCTCCGCTGAGTGGCTGAAGTGCAGGTGTTTCATTCAGTGGTTCCACAGCGGAGGCTCGATTGAACGAGTGCATGGCCTTGGATCTGTGTGTGCCTTCACATGTACATGTGTGCGGAGCGTGTATTTGCCTGCCAGAAGCGAGTGTGATAAATTCTCTTAAGCATGTGTGACGAATCAAGTGGCTGGGAAAGGAGCAGAGCGTTTCATGGCCTCTTCACAAGCCGAATTCTAAAGAGCCTATCGATCTGTCAGGGTCTCAATTCAGAATTTTGCTCTGCCCCTATCTTTACTATCACATCGATATATGGGCTTTGTATCTTCTCCTTTGCATCTTCTACCGTGTCTGTCTTTGTAGCTGCATCTTGATTTCTTGCTCATTGTTTTGAATGGATATCATGCAGAATGTGGGAGAGAGATGCTGCGAGCCTGTGAGAGATAAAAAAGAAGAGAGCATCCCCCACTCATATGTCTTTCATCCTAATCCGTAGTCTCTGTCCAAGAAAGGGCCTCCTTTTCACTTGCGTGCCCTAAAGCCTCTTATACGTGACCCCTCTGTGTTTCCCTCAGGGCTCTCTCCCACGGCCAGAAACACACACACACACACACATCTGTGTATTTTACTGCACGGTAAGAAACCCCGTAAAAGTTGCATGTGTTTGCGTTGAAACAACGTAAATATTTCAACTTTCAAAAGCGAGCTGACGTCGGAACGCATTTACTCCAAACGCCATAACCAAAGCTGTCCAAAGTCAAAGATCTGCCGAACCGACAGAGCGTCTTGCTATATGTTTTGTTTCGTGGTGAAGGCAAATTTATTGCCAGGCTGACTAACGCAGCTGCTGGGAGAGGGCGTTGCATGTTAAAAGAAGTGACCTCAATAAAGACGGACGTTTGGCAGTACGTTATGTAACTGACTGAGGATGATCCTGAGGCTGTGTGTGTGTGTGTGTGTGTGTGTCTGTGTGTGTGTGTGGTTTTTTGTGAGCGCTTTCATGTTACGGATTGTACGGACGTCGCTGGGGGGGGGGGGGGGCTGTATCTTATTTTCCACTTAATAAAGAAAATTCAAATTCTTTTGCACCCTTTCTTTAACTTCAGAGACACGCTTCTCCCTGGAAACGCAATAAATGAGGTATTAAATTGGTGAAATGTATTTAATGGTGGATCCCAACGAAAGCTCCAATGTCTGCAGACATACAGATTACTTAATAGAGGTCATTTTAAAATGGCCAAATTTATGGCAGACATTTTGAGTATTCTTCTCCATTTCTGAGTGGCATCTCTGATGTGGGACTGCATGTTTTTGGCCCCACTACAGATTCAAGATATAAAGAACATTTCTTTCAGATGATGTTGTAATTTATGCATAAATTAAGTCTGCATGTCTGCTGTACATATGGATGGGTTCTGGCTTCATGTTGGATCTAAATCCCGAGACGCAAGAAGCTCAATGGTCAACGATCCTCCACAATCTCTCTAAGATGCTCCATTTTGACTATGATTTGTGACACAAATGGTGTCTGCAAAAGCTGTGACAATACATAGACATGAAATTCAACAAAAGACAGCATTGACCGAATATGGCACGCGTAACAAAAGGGGTGGGGGAGGGGGGGGGGGACATATCCTGTGCTAAAATATTCATCCACAGTCCTTCAAGTAAGAGCTTGTTGCATTTTTGATAACCAGAGAATGCCAGTGTTACAACGTGTTCTGTGACCCGTCGGGTCCTGTGACCTGCATCGGGGCGACGGCCATCGTGCATCAATGCTAAGTGCATCGGGCATAGTAAGTTTACATTTGGTGCATGGGAAAGTTGAAGGAATATGATTTCCTTTATATTTGTTTTTTATATTTTGTTTTGCCTTCAGCACCCCCCACCCCCAGCGAGGACCAAACACTGTTTTCCCCTGCAGCAAAAGGAAACATGAGTCAGGAGGGTTGGTGAATGTCACAGAGCAGAGACTAAATATGTGCGGAAAGCTGCCCCCCCCCCCCTCCTCCTTTCACCAGGATAGAATCTATGTGTTTAAAGTATGATACTGACCCCCTTGTCCCAACGATTCCCACACAGCCACTTAGTTTTCTGCACTATTCACTACTGTGGGGTTATGTTTAAAACAAGAGGCGTATGTCTGCGCTGCGTGTGCTACATGGCTCAAATGAATGGTGACGCTTTATCCCGTATATGCACTACGTCCATACCAATGCCCCAATAAACATAGAAACCACACTTCCTATGGAGTCCCTGTAATCCCTCAGAAGTGGTCGTGCAGTAAACATATCACGGCGCACGCAGCAGTAAGAACAGAGCGACTCTCTGTCTGCACTGTACCGAGGGGTTTGATGGTGGCTTGCAGTCTGCGTGGCGTGACCCCACCCCTGGTAAATACAGGGTTGGAGGTTTCCTCCGTGGATAAAAATACACTTGCCTCTCAGCAGAGAGGGGGAGAAGAAAAAAAGACAGAATTCCTCTCTGTTCAGTGGCCATTGTGCGCGAGGAGCTGAAGCAACTTCCTCACTCATCACAAGGGTCTGACGGCAAAGCGAGTGTTCAAAAATGGTGTTGTTTCAAAAGCGAACGGATCTAGAAGTGAGCAGCAATTCTGGTTCAATTCAATTCTAATAACTATTTTGTATGCCAGAAATATATATTTAGTAGGTCTCGATGCATAATATGTCAAATGTACCATGTGGAAGATACCGGAATGTTGAACGGCATCCGGCTTCAGTTTGTAGCGTACATGCCAGAATGCTTGTGTTCATTCTGACCCACAACCCTCTGCAGAGCAGATATACGAGCAAAGGGGGAGGGACATCGCTTCACTGCCACGTTGTGACTTTGTACTGGTAGAAGCAGCAGCAGTGGGTCTTAACTGAATACATACGTAACACATGCGTGCGCTTTGTTATGGCATCTGAAGTTTGTACTAAAAGTAAACAAGAATAAAGGGCTTCGGAAGACAGAGTGTGTTTGTCCTCCTTCCTGCTTTTGTCTTTTGTCCTTCATGAGCTCCCTTACTTTATAACCTGTGACATCATCAGTCTGTGCAAAGTTTCATGCTGGTAGAAGTCTTCGACTGACACAGTCACAGATGAAGTTGATGCCAGAGGTTTGACAAGAATCACCATCGGGTTTCAGTGGTTGAGCTAAAATGTGCACTAGGTGCTTCCTGTTAGAAGATTAGAGATTTATTCTGATCCAACTGAACTGGAAAAGGTAACCTGAGTGACTTCCTTATTTGAGCTGGCAAAGCACTGAGTCAATCCATTATAATGGCTGCTTGGACTCCATGCAGGTGAGTTATGTCATCGGGTTTATGATTGTGTCCGTGACAGTTTGATCTCGTTGGATAAAGTCTAATCTATTAAATGTAATTTTTGATGTAATTTTAATTAATGTCTTTGTGTTTTGCACACAGTTAGAACAAAGAGCCCAGGATTCTGCGATCAAAACTTCAGATGTTGATTTTTTTTAATCTCCTTGCAAGAAAGAAGAATGCCCATAAAAAGTGTGCACCTCTCTCCTCAACGGCTTTTTGGATAAACGTCAGAAAGTAAGGTGCGATCCTGTTAGCTTCTCTTATATATCCTGACGTACGTGTAACAGGTGACACTGAAAATGAGTCTCGAGGGACAAGAACATCCCGAGACGGGACTGAAAGACGTCTTCGACATACTAGTTAAAGCACCTCCAGAGCAGCTGCTGAGCCTGACATTCCTGCTAGGTGAGTCTCTGGAAGAAAACCTCCTACACGCCTTGTGTCTGATTGTTCTCCAGAAGGAGGTGCGGGCCCTGGATAAACTCCAAACGCTGAAGGACAACTACTTTGCATCTCAGCTGGCTGTAAAGTTGCAGATAAGCGAAGGCAAATTAGAGGCCTTCGCCGAGCATTGTGGCTCTTTTCCAGAGCTTGCAGGAGGATCCTTGGCGGCGTTGGCTCGTATTTTTAAGGTTTTGTCAGAGAAAAGGATGTGTGATCCACGTCTGAGGGATCTGGCGTACAAGAGAGCCCTTCTCAGTGACAATCAAGCAGCGGGCAGTTGTGAGAAACTGGACTATGATCTTCTCGCAGAGGAAGCTAAAGGCGTCTGTGGGCCTCAGTTTGCGGAGTGGGCGTGTTCCCCGAAGGATCTCAGGTCGGAGCCTCGCCAAGATCTTGAGGGCAGCTTGGATGCAGGAAACACAACTTTAAAAGTGACCCTGTCTCAGGATCAGTGTGAGAGAGCGGACAGTCTGCCCAGCCCACTGCAGGTGACCTCCTCAATGCCTTCATACCCTACTCATCTAGAGATCAGTGTACCTCCTACAGCCACTTTCCCAGATGACAAAGAAACCCCAGGAACATCAGACGAATCCAAACTGAAGACCAAACCTGCCCTCATTGTCTACGAATGTGAAGCAAAAAATACACTTGGTCAGACCCTCAGTCCTCAGCCCGAATCCACTCAAGCTCCTCCGTCTGGTGCAAAGAAACACTCAAAGATGAAAGCAGAGGGCAGTAAGAATCAGCCCACAAAAGCAACCGTTGCACCTACTTCAACCAACGTCGTTCTACCCAAGGCGCCTGTGCCAGAAAGTAAATATGCAGAAGGGGATGAAAAGGCGATCTTTTATGACTTTGTTATCCTGCATGACCAGGAGGACGAAGATGAGGCCGAGAGAATGAGGGAAAAAGTGGGAGCGGTCATTGGTAGCGAAGGTGCAACCCTTGCCGGGGACTTTGCCGTCCCGGGGAAGAGGAGTCTGAGGTGTGTGGAGGACGCCATCAACAACTCGGCCTTCACCTTTCTGCTGCTCACCCGCAACTTCAACGAGGGCATGCTGGACATACAGGCGGACTCTGCCCTAATCAACTCCATCAACAAGAGACACAAGTACAACACCGTGATACCTCTTCTGCCGAAAGAGAACAGCATGCCCAAAGAGAGCCTGCCCATGGTTCTAGGAACAATAAATCCACTGGAGGAGAACAAGGCCTTTGACAGGAAAATAAAAAAGATATTCACTCCTCGGAAGATCGAAAACCAGAAGAAAATCTGGACCGTCGAGCAGGCAGTGAAGAGGGAGATAGAGCGACAGGAGAGACTGAAGCACTTAAACCAGGCCCAACAGGAGATGATCAAAGAGTGTACAACAGCACAGTTGCTGGTGCAAGAGAACGTGAGGCTTTCGTTGGAGGGGAATTATCTGGAATCCGTTGTGTCCGCTCGTCCAAGTATTCACATTGAAAATGCTAACTACGTCATGATTGGTAATGACTCTACAATGACTGTGAGTGGAGCTGCAGACAAAGACGACTCAGGGGAGGAACAATGACCCCAAAATGATTGTTATGCCAAAGTATTTGTAGAAAACGAGTGTCATCTGAACACTTTTCAGAGCTGTAACAATTGCTGTGGAGCATTACACAAACGCTGATTGAGTCATTGTATTAAACCCTGTTGGTGAAGGAAACCAATTAAGTTTCCTAAGTTATCAATTAAGCGCCATTTTAATGATTCGCAGTGACGAGAGTAGTTTGAGCAGAACAATGGTGTCAGGTATTTAACAGAGCGTTGCCATCTAGTGACCAGGATGTGATGTACACCTCCTGATCTTCTCGGCTGTGTGAACCCACTGTGGACTCTAGGCAGCAGTGTTGTTCCACACGTCTCATTGCTGCGTATCTGGGATCTACAAACCGGTGTCCTCCAACAACACTACTGTTGTGGTATGTGACGCTAAAGAGACTTGACTGACATCTGCATTTTGCATTGTAATGTTTTAAGTGTCATTTTTGACATTTTTGTCTGTGAGCCAACATGTATCCTCATATTCTCCGGCTGCATCGAGGAGTTCAGACCGAAAATGTTTGCTTGTTTTCTTCTTGTTTATTGTCCTATTTATCTTCTTTTATTCCTCATAATTTTTCTTCTGATGCACTTTGTGACCTTGTTTTAAAAAGGGCATTTTCAAATTTTATTCAAAGTAGTAAATGCATTTAGACCATTATGTTATGAGGTACTTTCTCCATGGATACTGATAGATAAGCTTTTTTTAAATACACATCCGTGAAATTGAGACACAAGAAGTAAACATACTAAAGTGATTGGTGTTTAAAAAAGTTTAAAAAGAAAAAATATATATGTCTAGTGCTTTGTGATGTAAACAAATAAAATAAAATAGCTTTCCTAGACATTTTTACAGAATTACTGTAATTAAAGTAATAATGATCAGGCTACCACTTCATATCAGAATATAAAAGAAATTTAAATATAAAAGACATTGAAAGAAAGTAGATTGAATAGAAAGTGCTGCAGACACTTTGGCCAATTTCTGTGTTTTTTTTATAGAATCCTAATAGAAATAAATCTTGAAAATGTTGATTTGCAATTTCTTTACCCTGCCTACCATATAACAAATGTGAATACCTTTGTATATTTTTTAAATCCTTCCAAATGTCCTGTGAAGAAGACAGACTCACAATGCCGATACAGTGCTAGATGACTAAACCCGCACGTCCCATGTCCTTTCTTCCCCCATGTCCCCTCGCAAGACTCTTCCTGACTGAGTCCGGCTCCGTTTAGCCGGTTAACTCCTCCTCGGTTCGCGTTACTCTGCGATGACTCCTGTCAAACACGGACCGGGCGGGGTGGACCGCGCATGCGCCCTGCGCTCGATCCGTCTATTCGGTGCCGCAGGAAAAGCGCAGAGAGATAGCGGGAGAGAGAGAGAGAGGGGGGGACATTTGGGAAACGAGAAGAAACAACCATGTACGCAAACGGAGGGGAATAAGTCACCCCTCTCCCCCGTGGTGAGACAGGGTCGGGACGGGAAGCTGTCTTCCTCTGCGGACAGGCGCTTCGCGACGTCCGAGGACAACATGTCGGGGAACGGAGGCAACCTGGAGTAAGCCTGCCGCTAAACTGCGCCCCGCCGTCAGGAGACCGCCGGAGCAAATCAATACATACATACCGGGAGTGTCGGGGGGAGTTGTTCCCGGCTGATCCTCCGTCTGAGAAGATGGGAGATGCGGCGGAGGACATCATCCTCAGGGGGATGAGACGGACCTTCATCGTCCCCTCCATCAAGAGCTTCGACCACTACGACTTCACCAGGGCCAAGATCTCCTGCAGCCTGACGTGGCTGGTGGCCAAGGCGTTCGGATCGGGTGGGTGGCGCCTCGTTATCATTTGTCATCGAACCCTTGTTGAGATATTCCTCCAACATGTGGAGGAATGCGGACAGATGTGTCGCGTGGGGGAGGGGGGGTGTAAACAGCAGCCTTTAACCGCACAGTTACACTTAGTTGTTCATCTGTTAAAGGTGGAAACTGTTGTTATATTCTGGAAAATAGTAGTAATTTAATATGGATCGGTCTCCAAAAATATAATAGCCTTTAGGTGAGTGATATCAAACTAATATAAAGTGAAATGTTATTTAAAGGCTTTTCTGTATTTGTTTTCTAACAATCTGTCCACGAGACCAATGAGCTGCATCACTGCTCGTCACGGCTCTCCTGCCTGATGCTGATTATTCCACACTGCAGAAGTGAGGCTAAACCCGTTATGTAACACTTCCAGATGTTTAATGGAATGATCAACAGATGCATGGACTGTGTTGTAACGTGAGCGATGTCAGAAAGCAGTTAATGCTCATCCCACTTGTTGTCTGGAATGTGCTCGTATCGTCCAACCAGCAGCCCAAAACTCAAACATATTCAGTTGGCTCTCACGTTAGTAGTGGAAAGGCAGCAGAGGAGCTGTAAACAGGGAATGTTGCCCTGAAACAATGACGTGTAGGTCAGAATATAGACAATAATTCCCATCACACTTTTCCAAACCCCAAGACGACATCGGCAAATGTCAAGTTTCGTCCAACCAGAATTCCAAAAAACTCTTACTAAATGATCATATAAAAATAATCCGAGGCCGAGCTGGAGTCAATCGGTTATCCAAAACGTTTCCAGTTAAATTTCCGTGATGACGTAAATTACTAAATGAGTAATGGACTAATTTATTCTTTTCCTAGCACAGTAATATAGCGTCATGCAACTGCGTACAGTCAATCCTCTGTTGGGCCTTTATTCGCAGTAACACAGTAACAGGTCAGTAATTACTCCTCATACGTCGCTGCACGTATCCGAGCTGTGGCCCCGTCTCCCGCCCTCTCTGCGACCGAGGCCTCCTCTCGACCTCACGCGGTCATTCCAGAGGTTTACTCCTGATGAGGCTGCTCCTCCGCGTGCGACACTCAGAGACCTCCGAATCCCACCTCATCGATCCGCCAGCGCCGCGTGACTCACTCTCACCAGCGCACGACGATGCTGGAGAGACACGCAAGGTGGAGGACGTCAACGGGTCCAAGGCAACCTGCCGCTCAGAGCGTGCCGCCGCCGCCGCCTTGTGTTTTCAACTCCTTCCTCCAGTGACACACTTTTAGCTCCGTGGCCCACTTCCCAACCCGTCCTCGGAGCCTTTGTGTGTCCTAGTTCGCTGTGTTACAACTGTGCTACGACTTTCCCATCAGCTTTGTGTTTTGACTTAATGACCACGTACGCAGTCAGAAGCAACGGAGTGACGTGTTGGTTTGGTTCTTTTTAAAACAAAGAAAAGAAAATGTAGTCAAAAAGCAGGCAAAACGAATCCCACAGTTAAAAATCAAAAGTCCTCACGTGTCTCCATGTCGGCTTCAGATGAGGATTAACGGTGGTCGTCCCCGATTTTAACAACAGGGCCTCATGTTGTTAAAGAAACCCCCCCGGACGTGTTTTAAGATGCAAAACCTCTCTGCCTACTTTTGCTTTTTACCACAATCTATAAATATGAAAAGAGTTCAGTTCCGAAGATGAAGTGTGGGACACAAGATTCCTCCTCCTTCCCTGAGCGGCCGGCTCTCAGCGCGTGTGTGTAATGTGTGTGTTTGCTGAAGGCTTCTGTTGCTGCATGAGCCGTGTGTTTAAGTGAGCACACACTTAAACATTAAAGTCCCTTAAGTAACATCTTAAGGCGAGTATACACTAAAGGGTAACATCCTGTCATCAGCTGGCAGGACTCAGTCGTGATGTGACTGAGCCAACCTTTCCAACACCAACCTTTCATTCAGCCCATTCAGAAGAGGCCGCTGGCTGGAAATGCAATTATTTAACTGCATCACCTGTGTCTACAAAGACAAATAACCACGGAGAGCCGAGAGAAAGTTCTGCCCTGAGTGCTTCGATGAAATCAGAAGGTGCAGAGATTGACTTGAATGGAAACATTGATAATCCTTCCCTGCAGCAAAGGAACTGTGAGGCTGTGATCAGCTCACAGCTGCACAGTGGCTTCATCTCTGTGTTCCATGTGTGGCAGCGCTTTGAAATGAGAAGTTGACTGTCGGGTAAAGTAAATACACACAGGCCAGCACCAAACCTCAGCTAGATACGGGTTTATAGTGAACATTTAGCAGCTGAAGAAGCAGAAATGTCCCTCTGGAGTTGGTAGGGACCAAAAACAGAGCTAAAAGTGGCTGCATAAGTTGACGATGCAGACACACTATTTGCTAACGTGTTCATCACTGTTTCACATGAGTAAACAGAGCATTCTTACAATATATAACCAATATCTAATCCCTTTCAACTGGAATGAATCAGAAGAAGGAACCGATGGCGATCGCTGGTTTGCGTTTCTTTGACAAAGAGCAGAAAGCCTGCAGAGATAAACACTGCTGACCGTGACGTTGTTTATGCTGAGCAGGGATCTCGGGGGTCTCCAGGGGAGCGGTCTTCTCCGTGCCTGGACTTCCTGTGGCAGCTACTTCCTGTCTGCTTCCTCTTGGAAGGCCAACACAAAGGAGCTGGTTTTTCACTTGACGAGGCAGATTCATATGAACTCCGGAAAAACTCCCTGCTGCTGGAGCCTTTGGTTCTTAAAAACGTTTTTTTTCAAAGGATTTTATTAATCTCGAAGCTTAAAAGTCGGCTGATTAAACACTTTCATGAGCGAGCGGCCGTTATCTGAAAAGAAAGCTCGCGTCCCACAGTTTCTCAAGGATTTCAAGCGTCTACCATCACTAACCATCTCTAACAAAAAGGCTTCCATTAACAAAATGTGCATTCCGGCAGCTTTTGTTCAGCACAGCTCCATTACCCGGCTTCATAGATATTCTGACAAAGCATTATCAATAACATGGTTGTGAGTAGACGCAGGAGGGCTTGTAACAAAGTAGATGTGGGTTAACATCGGCCTGTTGCTTTTTCGATTTCTCTTTCCATCACCCGGAGCGGCGGCATGGGAGAGCTGCACGGACCACCGGAAATGTTCGATCACAAGCTTACTGGAGTTTGAGCTCTGAATGTTACCTTTCGTTGTGCTGTTACGTCGAGCTCTTTTTGCCTTTTTGTTCTCTTTGGATCGCCGTTACAAAGCTGTACCTTTTGCGACAGATTCCTCTAATGACCTCTCTTCCCCTCAGTGTGATTTAAAGCCAGCCAGAGAGGAAATGACCCCACACACACACACACACACACACACACTACACACTCACGCTGCAGCACGTAGTGTTATAAAAGTGTTTCGGTACCATGTGGTTTACATCAACAAGGTATAGTGAGGACGGAAGGAAAGAGTGCTGCAGCTGTGTGTGTTTGTGTGCGCTCAGCTATTTCCCTCCAATCAGATTCCTTGGATGAGGTAACTCGATTGGAAGGTGCTGCATGCTTCGTGACACACACGTCCACCCACACACATGCTTGCGAGCCACACACACCGTTGCTTTGTGCTCACAAGGTGTCCCGCGTGGATCTTCACTGAGAATCTTCTTCTCTTGTTTTTGTGAAAATATACTTTTCCCCTCGTGATGTTCACAAGGTTTTGCGGCGTCCACCATCCTGTTTTGTGTGTGCGCGCAGGTGATCATAGTGGACCAGCTGTGAGCTGGTTTTGGCCCGAAGGCACTGAGTTAGAATGCATGCACCAACAAAGACAGTAACAGAAAACAAGCGTGGCGTAGCTTATTTTATTGCCTGCACACATCCAGTGTTTGTTTCTCCGTCGCAGGAGGACCGGAAAAGCTTACAGATCACAGTGATATATTCTCTTTTTGTCCCTGTGTCTTCTGGCCAGATGCAGTACCAGAGGAGCTGGCCGAGCCTCTATACAGGGACCAGTACAACCAGGAGCACCTGAAGCCCCCGGTGGCCTGCCTGCTCCAGTCCGCGGAGCTCTACTGCCGGGCGGGAAGCCTGATCCTCCGCAGCGATGCTGTCAAACCGCTGCTGGGACACAACGCGGTCATCCAGGCCCTGGCCCAGAAAGGCCTGTACGTCACCGACCAGGACCGGCTGGTCACTGAGAGAGATCTGGCCAGCACGCCGATACACATGGTGAGTGGAAGCGCGCCGGTGAGTGGCACCGTCCTCTTTTACACGTCGCAGTTTCGTCTGTAACTCATGTTTTATTTCTGCATACATCTTTTGGTTAGCGCTTGCGTTGACGTTAGTAACCATGGTGATATGACGTGCAAAAAGTCTGTTCATTTGGTGTGTGAGGACACGTATCAATTAGCAAATGAACAGACTTCTATAAACCAGCGCATATGAACCAGGGCTGGATTTCATCGATTGTTGATGAAAAAAAAAAATATATATAAATATACATAACCACGGCCTTTGCATTCATATGATTGAGTGTACGTCTCCATGTGTCCAACGTTTAGACTGTCCTCCGAGATCTGTCCTATTGAGATAAAAACAAGCGCTAATGACGGGTTTCCTACAGCAACCCATTACTCACTGTTGGGTCTCTGTGTCTTTACAGCTACGAGCATCACGCCTTTTGTAGTAGAGCAATATGATGTCAGTACTGTGCGGGACGCTGCATAATAGTGCTGTGGTGCCATTCTTATCATTCATTGATCTTAATATCAAAATGCTTGATTTATGGAGATTGCATAGATTTTACTATATGTCATTTTTAAAAATAGTCCGTATTTACTGTATTATGCTAATTCTGCCTAAGCAAACAGTCCAGAAGCCAAAGATATTCAGCTCACAATCTTATTACACAGAGACAAGCAGAAAGCTGGAGCAAACTAACAATAACAATAATTCCTTGTTGAATTGATTAGCTCGTTGTTTAAGCTCTTGAAAGTTCTTCGACTGATTCGATTGCGTCGTTCTCGGGTGTTTTAACCAAAGAAGGGTGGGCCTGTAGCAGCCCACCCGGACACACTGCTAGCACACGCATGGCTGGAGACGGGGCTCTTCTGCTGACTCCGAAAGGTGTCTGCATTGCGGCGCGCCCGCTCCCTCCCTCCCTCCCTCCCTCCCTCGCTCCCTTCCTCCCTCAACTCTCTGATTGCCTCTGCAAAGTAGAGGACCTGCCTGTGTGTGCTCCCTTTCTCCATCTCTCTCCTCGTCGGGGTCTTTTTTCTAATCCTTTCCCACCCGTACCTCATCCTAACTCTTATCAGTGTGCCTTTAAATGAGTTAACTCCTGAATATTTAATTGGAGCTTAATATTATTTCCATGCCCATAAATCTTCCTCCATCGCAGAGTGCGTTTCCTTTTACCAGCGCGAGCGAATAATTCAAAGTCATTATTCGGGAGCATTTACGAGCTCATGCTCATTGATTGAGGACGTTGTGACGGTGTGAACACACATCCCTCTCCTCCTGTTCGTGATTTGGTGCACAGCTTAACTGACGCTGTTCAGTGGACTTCCTTCAACCATTGACCTTCATCAGACGTTAATCCGTCCGTGCTTATTGTTGCTCGGTGCCCTTCGCGCTGTACTAGATTGCCGGTGTGTGTGTGTGTGTGTCTGCAGACTCAGCAGGACAGTTTCAGTCAGGCTGAAGTCGAGGCTTTTCATTTTGGGTTACGGTACGTTTGCGAGGAAAATGATGACTTCACGGTTTTCCAAATTCTGTGCAGAAGAGCAACTCCAGTCGGGGAGGAGGAGGAGGAGGAGGAGGAGGAGCGTGGCAGTCTGTCAGAAGGCAAATGGATAGATTGAGAGGAGGAGGGAACGGGTGGGGGGGGTGGAATTTAGGGAGCAACCATTTGGCTATGATCCAGGGGGAAGCAGGAAAGTAGAGTAAGGGAGGAGAGGAAAGGTGGAAGTAAAAAAGGGATCGAGAAAGGGGGGAGAAGGGGAAAGAGCTGGGGAGGAGAGAAGGAAATGAGGAGAAAAGGAGAAGAAGGGTACTGGCTTTTTGGCAGGCGGGATGACGTGTGTGTGTGTGTGTGTGTGTGTGTGTGTGTGTGTGTGTGCCAGAGAAGGAATGGAAAAGGCCCGTTGTTAATATGGCCATCTGGAAAGAGGAGGGGACAGAGAGGAGCAGCACATGGAGAACAGGGAGGGTTGAGGAGAGAAAAGGAGGAGGACGTGATGTGCACCACTGCAGCACTGTGGAGGGTGGGGTCTGACAGAACTGCACCCAAACCACACACACACACACACTCACTCACACACACGACCTTTGTGTCCTTGTCTAGCTTTACTTTCATGTTCCTCTCCGACTTTTCTTGTGCCTCGCCCACGCTGCCCTCCAAGTGTTTTAACACGGAGACGAGAAGGAGGCTGGATTCTCCTGCAGAGGGGCGTGCACCCTCCAGCGAAAGCCTCCTTCCCGAACAGCGCTGAGAGATTTGGTGGATTTTTAAGGACATGTTGTGAGAGAAACAGCGGCCGTTATTTTACGTGGCAGATTGGACAAACGGCGCAGACTGACATGGCGCTGCAGCCGGAGGTGTAGGTGTAAAGTTGTGCAATAAAACCTCTCGTGTTGCTCACATGGAGGTCCTTTCTCTACCCGCGTTGACCGGCTCCTTGTGATGTTTGAGGAGGACGAAGTTACTTTGATTTTCTGTTTGCTCAGCTGCATTGTGCTTTCCTATAGATGCCTTTGATCAAGGGCACACATGCACACACACATGCACACACTACTGCAGCCATTCAACAGTCGGGATGAATACCGATGCTGCTGTTCCAATGTGTGGGCATTGCAGCTCTTTATGACCTGCATGTGCCATTTTCACAGCCTTATAAGGCGCGTCTGTCCCTTTGAGTGGTTTAGACTCGCTTCAGTGCACACACGCACACACACGCACACACACACACACACACACACACACACACGCGCGCCTACACACATATACGCCAGAGGTCTTAGGAGGGGGATAATAGACAGCCCATGGCTTTTAAATCCACCAGGTAGTGTCAACAATATAGGATTTTTGTCTGTGGATCGCCTGTAGAGATACAAGCAGTGGCTCCATGTACTGTCTGTCTGCACTCACACGCACATGCATGGATCTAAATACAATGTACTAAAAACCTACACAACACAGTGAGGAACGACAACCATTTGATTTGTTCGCCCGATGCTCTGAACGCAGACGCACGTGCACGCGCCCCCACAGGCAACGACTTAAAGAGGTTTATGAGTTCAGAAAAGCTTTTGTTTTTGGGATCTTTAGCTGCTCTAGTCTGTCCCTCTCCGTCTTTCTGTCTCTGTGTCTGCCTCTTTGTCTGTCTCCGTCAGTCCAGCTGTCAGCCGTGCACCTCTGGATGAGAATGCACGCAATGTCAAACATCTGGCAATATCCTGAAGATGCAGGAATTCTAAACACTTTCATAGTTCAATATAAGGCCGCAAATCCAAACAATCCACTTGACTGAATTCACCACAGCTGTAGCATCCAGTATTACATTCCGCATGTCCTCCTGCACGGCACAGCAACTATTCAGCTTTCAATACGTTTGTACCCTCTCTACTTTGTGAGATCAGACACACGGGTCCAGTTTATTCCAGTTTCTCGGCAGTTGTTTCCAGGAGGAGTCTGCTTTCGGCACGCCGTGTTACTTCGGCACACGCTGTCTGTTTGGACTGGCAGTCGCTGAGCAGCATTAGCAGCAGCAGCAGCCCTGATTCGTAGCGCTGGATCAGTTGTTGGTTTCTTTGGGGAAAGAAATGGTCACGCTGCAGGTTAAAAGTGGGCCGTGCGGTTATGAATAGAGGGGCCTGTGCACTGATTATCTGAGTCACCTGGATAACGGAGCACCTGACTCCTGAGGTGTTTGTTCTGTTAGGTCGCACACATGTACACACAGAGCGCGAGTGTTTTTGAGCTGACCTGGCGGCGTGGCAGGAAAGGGAAGGGGAGGGTCCGTTGGTCTGAACGGCCTGGAATGGAATCAGAAAGGCCAGCAGAATGTCAAGCTTTGTGTACTGGAGGTGTTGATGGCGGATTAAAAAAAACAAAAAACACAATAGGTAAAAAACTGTTGTCGGTGTACAGACTTTTAGGAGTGTGTGTGTCAGAGGGGGAGGACACAGGCTATCAGAAAGGAATACAACTCCCAAAATAACAAGGAATACCAAAAGTTCTGACAATGGACACATTTGCGTTGCCCCACTAAGAATATACAGCATGTGTTCCTTAGACAGGCTTTGAAAAGGGACCTTTAAATGAATCATTGGTCGGTTCCGCAGTCAATAAGAAATACAAAGAAGACCACCATAGAAATCTGACCTCAGACCTTTGATGAGTGAAACGCACTCTTTGTGTTTCTACAGAGCTCCCATCTGGCGCTCATTGACACCCTGATGATGGCGTACACTGTGGAGATGGTGAGTGTGGAGAGGGTGATGACCTGCATCAACAGGTGCTCCTCCGCTGAGCCCTCACACATGGACGGGCACCTGCAGGAGCTGCCTTACGACACCGAGGATGCAATCCACACTTGGATCAACAAGGTACACACACACACACGCATGAGCACACAAAGCCAGAAGGACGTGCGCATTCTCATTTCAGAGGATAACGAGCTGACACGTCCTCGAGCCGATGTGACACACGCTTCTTTTCATTTCCCGGATGCAGCAGACGCGAGAGGTTCTGCAGAGTGTGGTGGAGCTGTGGAGTTTAAACCCGCGCGTGTTTGCAGCAGAGGAGCCTGTTCAACCACACATGCTCGTGCCAGAGAAATGACCAAGAGATAACCGACTCAGTCAAACTCGTCTGGTCTGATTTAGTCAATGACATGCACGATGATCTTTCATGGCTGAAGGAGCTCACGTGCTTGTTTAACCCCTTTTTCCAGTCCATCGACCGGAAGGTTCACACGCAGGGTTCATTCGCAGACACATGCATTTAAAAACAAACGGGGGAGTTGTGAAGACGGAAAAGCAGTGAGTCAATGATTTCTGAGTCTTTTAAGAAAAAAAATAGAAATATTAAAGTCACCTTGAAAGTTCTTTCTGTATATCAAGCTACATTGATATTTAGCGTCAGTGGCTAAAGGCCGGAGGTGAAACGCGTTTCTTTGGATGTGTGTAGCCTCTTGTACTCATGCTCGTCCTCTTCCCATCACGGACCGCTTTCAGCCTTCTGAACTTTGACCTCTGCCTGTCCCTCCAGGTGAATGAACACCTGCGGGACATCCTTGTTGAAGAGCAGAAGCTGAGAGAGGCTTCCCCCCAGGAGTCAGATGCGACAACACACAAAGTAAGAACACACAAACTCCTGTTTGTCAGTCATCCAACCAACATGTTGTCTTTGTTTCAGGACAGAGCTCAATTAGCTCAACATAAAGACCGAACGTTTCAGTCTTTGGGCAGGAGTAAACAAATCCGGGGGCTCCAGCTTTGCACTTGCTCAGAGAAAATCAATATTCCTTTTAAGATAAACATGACTTTTTTATATCCTTTTGTTTGTTTCGTCCCAGCCTCCTGTTGATAGGCTGTTTCAGATATTTCCTACTTTTACTCCACGCAGACGCACACACGGCACAGAACTGTATAAATCAGAGGAACAGATGAGCTCTGTCTCCCACCAGCTGCAGAGAAATATTGGCCGCGAAACACTGCAAAGAAATGTGAAACCGAGCGAGCGAGAGGGAGGGAAAGTCAGACAGAAGGGAACCGGAGAAATAACTCCAGGCTGAGAGACATGGAGGGGTCGCTGTCAGTCCGCCGCAGACACAGACAGTGTTGTCACCCTGCAGGACTCGGTTATGTAAGGTCCACGTGACACAGTGAGTCTGCAGGAACCAACGCACAGCAGTCAGCTACTGTCCTCTTCCACCCACTCAACCATGAGGCTACAGCACAGCGTCGCATCGGGTCAGGACCCTCGCCTCGGGTCCCTGCTTCGGTTACGGGCGGGGGAAGGTTAAAACACGTAGACAGAAGTATTATCTCACGTGTGTACGTCGTTGCACGGGCAAAAATGATTCAGTACCAATGCAAAGAGATAAACACTGATAGAAACTCAGACTCAGCTGAATGTGTCGATGCCATTGTTGCCATGGGGACTTTTGGAGAGATAGCTACAGCTAGCCGGTGTGCTAATCACGTCTCAGCAGGTGAGACAGGAGTGCTTTGAGCAAAATGCCAGCATAGCCATATTTTGAGGGACACTCGGTGACAGTCAGCTGCTTTGCTGGCGCTCGCTCCACGACGCCGCTCCGTCTCTATCGGCTTCAACAGAAGACTATTCACTGCACGACACACTCAGAGGAGATCATTTCACGCGCACATATATGCCTTTGCAAACACACACACACACACACACACACACTAATAGATGAGCACGAGACGCTTCTCCGTCTGGTCTTTTCTATTCTGGGACAGTGTTGAGAATCTTTAACTGTGGTCTCATGACTAAGTGCTCAGTATTGATGTGTGCTGTGGATGAAGGCTTGTAGCTTTAAGCAGGTTTATGCCACGTGGGTTTTGGGCCCCATTTTTTGTCTGTATATTAGTTTGCAGCATTTCTCAATAAACCTTTACAGATTTCATTTAAATTTGGTGTAATGTTTTGCACGGAGGCCAAAATATTTTATAAAAGGTTTCATCCTCTACTTTTGGGAAACCTTTTAGCCTCAATAGATTTTGGATGGTTTGCTAGGAAATTCTGTTGATATATTTCTGCTCCCCAGACGGTCATCTTTTAATTCTTCCATTGCTTGGATTTTTATGACCTACAAAACTTCCACGCCGTTACACTCAGATGCAAACTAGCTGCTAATGCTAACAAGCTAAACTAAGATTAGATGTTACATCTTGTTAAAATTACTTGTTATAAATATTGTAGACGTATCTTGTGTATATTAAAGTTGTTTTCTATATGAGGTTGGGACATTTTAACATTATGTAAATGGTGGCTTCAAATAAGCCCAGTGTCTTTTCTACACTTCTGCACTGTGACATTACTTATTTCTGTTATTTTTGTGGATTTCTTTTTAATTGTGTGCAATACAATAAACCAAACTATACAAAAAAAGTTATACCTGCTTAAGATCAGAATCTTAGTGTCGGTGTTGATTCATTACATCCACCTGACGTAATATTTGAGACCCTGATGTAACGTTTAGATTTTATTATATTTTATAATTTTATATGGTCCGTTTGTTATCTGTGTCATAAGGGTTCTACAGATTAAGCTGTAGTATCAAAACGTTGACCGCTGTCGGCCTAACGCCTCTCCCACTCTCTTCTGTTGTTGTCCAATCATCATCACCATCAAGTCTCCTTGCAAATGGTACTGGAGATTAGTACCTGTGAGTGCAGCTGTTCTGAAGACCTCCTCTTCATTAACCACCACCACCCACCTCCTTGCTGTCTAATCTAAACCTGGGACACACCCCTTCCAATAGTACTGTGATTGCATGCGGCCCTGAGCCCCCCATCATGCATTGGCCACAAACCTCCCACCTCAACCCCTGTCTCCACATTCAGAGGAAACCCATGATTTAGTAACTATTTAAAACCTGCATCATTTCAAAAAAGGTCAGAAACTATATTTAGCAAGGTCACTAGCCAGTGTATCCTGTATACATATCAGAAACAAATGCTAATGCTTCAGTATTGTCAGCTCCCCAGTTGCTTCTTTTGGATCTTGCATGTCTGTTGTTGGTAATGTGCATTGAAAACCGTGGGGGTTTTCTGTACTTAAATCGGCTGCTCTGGAAAGTAAATTTTCAACAATCAAAATGTAATGAAGGAGCACATTGTGTCCATGCACAAACAACACTGTGACGACACCATTGTGTGTTTCTGGGCACACTTGGAGGAATGATACCCTGCAGACATACTGTATGCAGTAGTGTTGTCTCTGTGGTTATTACAGGCCTGGAGACAGAAAACAGAAAAGGACGGATTTGCCTCAAACCTAAATTATTATTAATCTAAGACGTATTGTGCTGAAATCAATTCATTTATTTCATAGATTTGGTTCCTTTTTCTCCTTCTAGAGAACTTCCTGCTCCTCAGCAAGCAATTCAAAAAAGAAAATTAGTGCTGACATGTTTTAAATTTAAGACAGCGGTATTCTAGACATTGGATTTGTTCATTTGCACGATGAATTTAATCTGCATTATTTGAGTTGAGCCTGAAGCCCATCCTGCGCTTTCAATAACACTCACTGAGTTGCGTGTCCACTGGTGCATGCGGAGTAAAGTGTTCATGGCGGTGCTGCGCCAACAAAATAAGAAAGCCAACTGTACACATCCACCCCGCTGACACACATGTGGTGTCTTTTGTGCTGTTGCTATGGTTTCAGGCTCGTTACAGGAAGGATCATGCCCAGCAGATGAGCGCTCCATCGCTCCCCCTGGTGGAGAACCTGCTGAAGGACAACACAGACGGCTGCGCTCTGACCACCCTGCTGCATTTCTACTGCCCACAGGCCATCAGGCTGGAAGGTGGGAACGAACCCGCTGGATCCCAGCAGCCACACGCTCTCTTATTGCGATTGCACCAAAAAGTAAACACACCAGGCCGACGTTGGCCCACTTGTACGTAAGAAATAGGAAAGAAATGGCGTTCTATGTACATTCGATGCGCTGGCAACAATCGGTCTCTCCACTTGAAAGCACAAAGGAGGCTTTTCTCTCCTCCCTCTTCTGTGACTGCATCCATGCATTTGGATAGAGGAATTCAAACAAAGAGCATAATCAGCCCTTATTTCCTAAGAGCTTTTTGCCTTTTCAATGTACAAGTAAGTAAGTCGGTTTAAACAAAATACATAATAGTGAAGTAGCCTTTTACAGGAAATGTTTTCGGTGGGCTAAACTAACCGTTATCTCAAAGTCATCAAGACATGAAGGACCCTGTTTTGTGGTTACATCTAATGATATAAATGCAGGATATTGTTAAAAATGTTGACCCAAGAGAGACACTGTGAGGCAGAGAGGTTTGGGGACAGACACGGAGAACAAAGACTTCTCTTCCTTCCTCTCAACTACTCCGCGCCCTCCTTTCTAAAAATGCCCCGAGTCGGGCTGCGATTGGTCACGAGGGCTTCGTGACGCCGTCTCTTAGAGGAGTAGCTGGCTGCTATTTCAAAGATAAACAACTCTGGCGTTGGCGCTCCGAGGCTCTCGGCCTTGATTATAGCTCACGGGGCTCACGCACACATGGTGACCAGATGTGGAAGATAATTTAGGTCTTCTCGCTGGCAGACTGAAATACTGTAATAATGAAGTACAGTAAAGTACAGAAGGACATCATTCCATAGATACCGGCTGCTGTAATGTTTGGTTGTATACGCAGGCATGGGCCGTCCTTACGGTAACGTCGAGGGATAAAAAATCCCGATGATTCATCCAGCAAGCGTTTGAAAAAGTGTGTCATGTGGACTTTTTGAGGATTCTGAGTGATTCGAATCAACTGCGGCATGTGGGGCAGATTGTAGTGGGAAAAGTAGGACCATTAACGCCTTATCTTTTGCTTTGCTTTCTTCCTGCCTGGCCTTTGCCGTCACCCCTCCCTTGTGTATCTGACCCCTCCCCTGGCGGAGCAGATATCTGCCTGAAGGAGACCATGTCTTTGGCTGACAGTCTGTACAACCTCCAGCTGGTGCAGGAGTTCTGCAGGGACAACCTCAACCACTGCTGCCACTTCAGTCTGGAGGACATGCTCTATGCACACGCGTCTATAAAGGTGAGGAGTACATTCAAATGTATACGTGCAGGGAAGGTTTGAAGTTCTCGCATGCTGCGGAAAATGCTATTTGTACCACGTGAATTCAGCCAGAGAAAGAAAGGAATGTGTTTGGGGGAATAGGGAGACTTAGGGCGGTAGAAACATAGGCATAAATGAGTCATGCAAGGAAAAGTTTCATAATGAATGTGTGTGAGCAGGCTTGGTTGTCTCGGTTTCGCGCGTGTGTGTGTGTGTGTGTGTGTGTGTGTGTGTGTGTGAGTGTGAGTGTGTGTTCTAGTGGGGACATCAAGAATCGGCTTTATTGGCTTTGAAATTGACTCCGGCTTCCACTTTGTTCTGCGCGTACATACAAATAAACAGGAAAAATAAAAAGTAAATAAAAGCTAAAAGATAGTCCTTTGTGAGTATAGAGTGTTGGGTGCTTATACCCAACACTGCCAAGCCAAAATCCCCCCCCCCCCCCCTTTTCCCCCCTTTCCCTCCTCCACCCCCTTGAGACAGGGGACAGATCCTGTTAAAAAATTAACAGTCCTGCCCCGTCTCTGCCTGCCTCCCTTGCCCCCCCCCCCCCCCCTCCTCCCTCTCCCACCATCCAAGTCTGTTTTTATCAGACAGAGAAATCTGTGAACTTCAAAGATGAACTGCTGATTCACATCTCCCCGTTTCGCACACATTTGTTTGTAATTAATGAAACACTCAGTCAACCCCTGGACAACCTCAGGAGCAGTGTGGTAAATCGCATGCGGGGAGCGAACGTAGAAACATTCAGATTCAAGTCACGGCCCAAGCTGACTGGGACTTTCCCTCCTTCAAAGCAACACAGCAGCTTTTTACACTTTCTGCTCTCTAATTCACTCTATTGTTGTAGGAATTGTGTATTGACTGTTTGTAAAACGACTAGTAACAGAAGGCAAAGGAAGGGAGGAGAAGGAGAAAATGGGGTTGGAAGCAGTCAAAGTGACGGGCACACTGCCCATTCCCCATAGCCGGCCCACTCACCTCGAACCACTGTGTGTGTGCGCACGTTCATTCATTTGACATATTGCAGAAACAGAAATGTTGTTCATGCCATTAAGCAGTTATCTCTGTTGTATCTAAAATTAAGTTTCTGTTTATTAGGAAATAATATATTCTATTCTTGCTAGAAAGTGAACTGATCTTTGATCACAGGCTTCTTTCAGAGGAAATCATCCGCACAGGCCCCCAGAGCTGTTGACTTAACCACATTAATGCATACATCATTGATTCAGGTCACTCACACGCCGCTTTGTGCATCCGTCTGTGCACATGTGACATATTCAAGCCAAACCCCAGCTGTGGTTTTTGTCCGTTTTCAAGAGGCGTTATAATAAAGCACCCAGTCGATAAAACATGTTCTGATATTCAACCACACGTGCACACTAACGCACACACACCTGAGCTCGTCACTTAGCAACAGTTTGCAGCCTGTGACCTCAGCGATCTGTCAAAATGCTCTATGATGTATTGTAGCTCATCCAACCTCTTTCCAGAGACACGGGGAGAAGAAGCTGTGAGCACAGAGACAAGTCACGTTAATGACATAAATACATGGCTACGTATGTGACTGAAATATTAACCACAGATGTGTGTGTGTGTGTGGTTTTGCAGAGTAACTACCTGGTGTTTATGGCTGAGCTTTTCTGGTGGTTTGAAGTGGTTAAACCCTCATTTGTACAGCCCAGAGTCTTTGATCCAGACGGTACAGTACAAGTTCAAAACAACCTAAGCATGCTATTGTTAGCTGTGATGATGATGATGATGATGATGGTATGTTTTGCATGCTAAAGGATAACTTTATGACTTGAAAAAACAACACATGTATTTGAATGCTGAGTATCTGTCATATGTTTCCCTGTGCAGCCTGTGAGCCTGTATCAGCCTGTAGAAACATGGCTCCTGTTTCCAGTCCAATCAAACAGAGCTATGCAGACGGACCTGACAGCCCCGACAATGCCCCTGCACAGGGTAACATATTTGTTTTCAGTTGGTGATGTGCATGAATCTTTTTTTTTTAGGGATCATGCAGGCGGACTACTCACAAAGCCGTTGAGTAACGGTCCTTGTTCCTCGTTTGAAAATACAACAGGAGCATTGGTATCACTATTTTTTTTTAAACAGTTGTTTTTCTTGAATTTTGTCCATACTCATTTTTGTGGTTATTTAAAAAAAATAGGTCATTATCAGTACCATTAGTAGTACCTGGGGCATGCATCCTGAAACGTGGGAGAATGTGTGGATGTGAAACCAGAGGCCCCCTAGTGGCTGATTCATGCACTCGCTCCAGCATCACTAAACCAATTTGAAACTAAAGCAGATGACAGCAGCATTTCTTGTTGAAAGTAGAGAAAGGGGATTTAATACATGCAATAAGAAGCTACTCTGTGTCTGCGACAGGTATAATGAAGAGGTCCGCCTCCATGTCCTACGTGGATGGCTGTGTTGGGACATGGCCCAAAGAAAAACGGTTGGTACCTTAACTCCACAGTCGCCCTTCTCGAGCCGGTGTGAAGTGGGCTGACTTTCCCCCTTTGAACTAACAATACGTTTCCTCTCTCAGCTCCTCCTGTCGGGGAATCTCCTTTGAGATTCCTCTGGTCGGGGACCCGACTGTGCTGCCCGGCGAAGCTCCCGCTCTCGGCGGTATGACCCGCTCGGCCAGCAGCGACGGTCTTGGGTTCAAAGTTCACTATGCATCTCGAGGGGGCATGAAGCGCCACCTCTCCCTCATGCCTGTCAATGTCAACGGCCAGGGCAGACACATAGCCGAGGAAGACGAGGAGTTCACCTGCAACAAACCCCTCGGGCGGAACAACACATTCTCAGTCAAGAACCAAAGCAGGTGCAGCAGAGGGATGAAAACAACTCAATCGTACACAATTAGAGAGAGATGGGCTTTTTTTCATACATGGGATAAAAGAATGCATGTTTTTTATGACACTTTTTTTAGTGAAAGTGATAATGGTTTTATTTGTCATCTGTTCTTTAGTGACATTCAACATTTCCCTACCCCAGTGGGAAAATAACTACTTTTATTTGACATCGGTCGGTGGCGGTTTAGTTTATTATTAGATGTTAGAGTTTGCAGCAGCAGCAGCAGCAGCAAGTACAGTGACTGTATAAAGTATTTTGCTACAAAACTATCAACGTGCATGTAAACTTAAAAGATGAACACAAAATGGTTAGCTTTGAGACCTTCAAAAATATACTCAAGTTGATGTTAAATCCACATGTTATCGAAGGGCTGTGCTATAAATGCTAATTATTTTGTTAAAAATATGTTCAAACTGCAGAGAGACATAAAGATAGAAGGACATCCATCAGATGGGATACGAAATGTCCCCTAAAGCGAACCGTGACTTTAAACAATCTTCAGTTAATTTACCCAAATCTGTCCCTAGGTACTCCAATGGTGTCTTCCCAGAGAGCAATCACCACGGCAACCGCAGAAGCCACATTAGCCCATCAACTCCTCCGAGCATTGAGGAGGCCCTCAAGATTATCCACGACACTGAAAGGCCCCACGCTAGTCTGGGCGTGGGGGACGGAGACAATGGCTTCTTTCTGCACGGCACGGAGCCTCCAGACCCTACGGACGCTTCAGGGGCCAAAGGTCAAGGAGACGAACAAGGTTCAGCCGAGGCTCGGCTGAACGACCACGACCCCAACTCTATGTCCACAGACGAAGTGGACACAGGCATCCATGTGAGGACAGAGGACATTCAGAGCTTGGATGAGGACTCCTCCTCCCTGAGAGACTATTCAGACATCGACCCCGACTGTGAGGCCGTGACCCGGTCGTGCCCTCTGCCTGAACAGTCAGAGAAGGAGAAAAGCAGGGAAAGGGGGCGGGAAGGAGTCAGTGGTGCCAACCACGAGGGCGAGATGGGAGATGGGAGTGAGAGGGGCAGCCCCTGTCCCAGCTCGGCACCCACAATCCAGAGATCCCACCCAGGCAGCCCCGCCTCCTCCTCTGGGGGCTCTGGAGGAGGCGTGGTCCGGATGACCAGCTTTGCAGAGCAGAAGTTCAGGAAGCTGGAGGGACGAAGTAGCGGAGGAACCACGCCGGAGAGTTCCGATCTCAATGTGCCGTATACACAACTGCCAAAAAGCATCTCTTTTCAGGTTTGTGTCCTTTTGTGTGTCACTCATTCCCCTTTTTTAAAACTTAACTTCCCTCCTACCTTTTTTTTTCTGCCTCTGCAACAAAGGGTACTTTGTATAGACTTCATGTTGATGTTATTTGCATTCTTCCTCTAGATGTCTGCACCTCCTTTGCCAATCACATCTCCCTCCCCTGTAACGCCCTCCCCCCGAGACCCCTCGCATCTGATAGCCACTGAGATGATTCAGCTGAGGATGAAGCTGGAGGAGAAACGGAGAGCCATTGAAGCCCAAAAGAAGAAGGTGAAAGATCAGGACAAAGAAAGACAGTGAGTAATATAGCGTTGGATATAAAGGTCCACACTGCGTCGCTCTCCTCACAGGTGGAAGCAGCTTTCACCCGCCACCGCCAGAGGATGGGCAGGACCGCCTTCCTAAATGTAGTGAGGAGAAAAGGAATCACCGCTCCCCTCAGCCCGAGCGCGGCAGAAGCGCCGTCTCCAGAACCACCGACGGCCTCCAAGGAAAGCAACCAGGGCAGCATGGAGCGGGCGGAGAGGTGCAAGCCAGACGGGGCAGCTCCTAAATCCCCGTGTGAGGAGGGTGGAGGTGAGTGTTTGCTTTAAAGAGCTGTATACTTCACGGCAGAAGTAGAAATGATTGCTGAAGTCACATGACCCTGACCCGCGTATCCGACACAGGGACGTCTCCGGGAGAAATCGACCTGACGGAATACACTCGCTCCATTGAGAGGATGAACACTTCGTTGGGCTTCCTGCAGACAGAGATGCAGCGTTTGGCCCAGCAGCAGGAGAAGATCATGTCCATGAGGGAGGAACAGCAGCAATCCTGGGTCATTCCTCCTCCCGCTCCGTCTCCACACAGGTATCACTCAATGGCAGAGGAAAAAGACGGAGGATATGTCTCTGCTGGGAACAAATAGATGACCTGCTGCGCTCTCTTCCACACAGGCAGCTGCGCGAGTTGCGCAGCAGCAGCGTGACCGGCCGAGGGTCGGGTCGAGGCTCCGTCGGGTCCTTATCTCCCATCCTTTCTTCCTCCGGCTCTCCTCGCCCTCCCAACCGCTCCCCCGCAGGCATTAAGCGGCGTCCGGCCTCCTTCCACGCCAGGACTCCCAGGACCCCGCGACCAAACGATCTGAAGGTCACGCCTTTCAGTCGAATGCTAAACACCCAGACCTCAGTGGACAGCCTCCCCCGGCTAAGACGTTTCAACCCCAGCCAGAACCAGAACAGCTCGTTTGCTTACCTGGGCCACGACGAGGGGCCTCTGGAAGGACAAAACCAAGAGGCCAAGGACCACAGAGAAAACACCAAGGACAAAGAAGATCTGGTGGTGAAGACGAGTGCTGGCACTCCTCAGCTGTCTGCTAAAGAAGCAGCCAAAGAGAAGGAAGATGAGCGACAGAAGGAAAGGACGGGGGAAGTCCAGCCGGCGAGTTCATCGGAGGTGTTGAGTCAACCGGTGTCTGAGATCCAAAGGCCCACAGGCGGCCGGGTCAGGGAACAACCCCAGGACAGAAGACACCTGGTGGAGGTGACTCTGTCCGGGCTGAAACCTCCAGGAGGACGACCCGGCGGCCCCGAGACGGGAGGGGGCGAAGGAGATGTAGAGGCGGGAGGTGACCCACTTGGAAAAGACCAAAAAATGTGCTGTGGATTCTTCTTCAAGGTGAGCGGCAGCGACAGAATGGTCGTAAAAAAATAGTCCAAACATGTTTTGAAGGCTTTGAATCTGTATTTCTCTCCACGTCCCCGTCCATTTAAACACCAGGATGACGTGAAAGCGGAAGAGGACATGGCAGCAAAGAAAGCATTTCTGCTGGAGAAGAGGCTCCGTAGGGAGAAAGAGACCCAGGAGAAGAAGCAACAGCAGGAGGTGGACCACGAGCAGAAGAGGGAGGCCGCGCGGTCCGTTTCACTTTACTTTGCCAAACACTGTCCCCACCTCTATGGCGCCCGTCCACGCTGTGTGTCTTTTGAACTCAGGCGTGCAGTGGCACAATAACATCTGTTTTCTCGGTCTCCTCCCCCAGTTTGAAAGCTGACGAGGATCAGCAGAAGAAGGATCAGGAGAAGGCCAGGAGGGAATACATCAAGCAGGAGTTCATGAGGAGGAATCAGCTGAAGCTGATGGAGAACGTGGACGAGGTCACCAAGCCCCGATCTGGGAGTCTCAAGAAGAAGCCGCGGCCAAAGTCCATCCACAGGGACGTCATGGAGTCCCTCACGCCCCCCGTGAGAGCAACAGGTGAGCGACATCCAAACCGCACGCGCAAACACCGCCACGCAAAGCCGCACTGCTGAGGCCCCCTGTGTTGCAGGCGTGCGTCCTCGAGGCTTCTCGGTGTCCAGCATTTCTTTGGCGTCGCTCAATCTGGCCGACGACGACCAGCCAAATAACAGGAAGAACAACAGGTGAGCCCCGTCTGTCTGCCTGTGGGGGGGGGGGGGCGGGGGGTTTAGGGATGTAAGAAGCATAAGAAGATGAAACAGTCTTAACTGCACACGCCTTCGTCCATTGAAAAAAGAGCTGTGCCTCTGTATGTATTTGGTAGAAACATGAGATCCAAATTTTGAAATCGCAAATTGGTGATTAACCAAGAACAGAGATGCCACAGCTGAATCTCTCAGCATCACGCAAGTAATGCTTTTAATATCTGCTTAACTAGAACAAGTAGTTCAGAATTACTTTCATTTTCACATTTTCTAACATCGCATTGGGTTGGTGCAGTTCACCAGCCCTCACTTTATTGCCACCAATGAGTTCAACACATCTTACCACATGTTATTTTGTAAGACACAGATATCAGAACATACACTGTGGCTGTAGTCTGAAGGGGGCGTTTGTGACGTTATTTTTAAGTATTGGCTTTCATGAGGCTTTTCTTAAATTCTCTTTTATCCATTTCTCATTTGTCTCTGCACGCGTCCCTCAGAGGCAATAAAGTAGCCCACGTCCCGTTCTTTCTTAGCTCTCCCAAAGAGAGAAAGGGAAGGTTAGTAATGCTCCGGACGGTGATTCCAGAGACAAATCCTACTGTATTGTGGCGCCATTAACTCGATGTGACTCATTTAACATTCTTTCAACACGGACTCATATGAAAGCAGACGGATGTCCGATAATCTGACATATTGCACATTCCTGCCGTTCTTTGCTTCCGCATTGAGGTGCCTGCTACGGGACCTGCGTGGCTGAGATGTTTTTTGCGCCTCGGCTCTCCTGCTTTTCGCGGTGTTGTCCTCAGGCTTCGCTCTCTCCATGTTTTTTTTTGGGCTGGTCTGCGTTTCACCGCCTGTGTTCCGCTGCTTCCTCGGCAAGCGCCCGAGCTCACGCCTCACAGAAGCCGCCAAGACGCCGCCGAGACTTTTCCTTTGCTTGGCTGAACAGGCGTCGGAGAACGATCATTATGATGTAATGCAGGACAACAGGCGGGGGGGGTTTAGAATTGTGTCACAGCGTCTGACCTTGTTTTACCACGTCTCTCTGTATGTGCATGTCTGTCCGTGCCATCTGTCGCCGTACGCTTCCATACACACGCTTCTGTGTCATCGACCTTCACGTGCTGTCTGTGGGTTTTTTCGTCGTCGTGTCATTCGTCTCGTCTGTGTGTGATATCGTCTCCAGGCCGGACTCTGCAGAGGGTTTTTCTTCTTGTCCTTCGACCGGCAGTCGCAACGAAGAGAAGGATTGGGAAAATGACTCCACCACCTCATCCACGCCGTCCAACAACGAGTACACAGGTAGAAGACATGCCTGTAATCAACACATCGTTTGATGGGATTAACGCCGAGACTTATAGGCCTTATTCCCACAGGACCCAAACTATACAAGGAGCCGAGCGCCAAGTCCAACAAGTACATCATCCAAAACGCCCTGGCTCACTGCTGCCTGGCCGGCAAGGTCAACGAAGGGCAGAAGAACAAGATACTTGATGTACGTTTTGCAGATATGTGTCTGTGTTTTTCTGCATTAAATATGCCGCAGCAAACCAACACTCTTCTCTCCCCGTCTCTTCGTGCAGGAAATGGAGAAATCCGAAGCCAATAACTTCCTTTTGTTGTTCCGTGACGCCGGGTGCCAGTTCAGGTCCGTGTACGCCTACTGCCCGGAGACGGAGGAGATCACCAAACTGGCCGGCATCGGGCCGAAGAGCATCACCGTCAAGATGATCGAGGGCCTGTACAAGTACAACTCGGACCGGAAGCAGTTCAGCCTGATCCCGGCCAAAACGATGTCCGCCAGCGTGGACGCCATCACCATCGCCAGCCACCTGTGGCAAACCAAGAAGCAGGCCACGCCCAAAAAACTGCACGCCAAGTAGCACCAATGTGGCCGGGCGGGCGAGATGTGGACTCTCTGGAAAGAACACGGGAGGAGAATTTGTGTATTTTACGTTTTTTTTCATTCGACGGACACGCGGCGCCGCCGCAATAAATCACAACTGGAATGTAGAACACAAGTGGGTGCCATAGACGTTGCTGTTTACTGAGTTGACTGTTACGCTCCGAAGTACCTAAACGCAACACGAGTGTTTACTAGCATGTGTATCGATGTTCATATGTGCCAAAAAAAAAGAGAAAGAAAAAGGAATAAAGGGGGACCGATACCGTACGAAGTTGAACCACTGAAGCGCTGAATGTCACGCCTCACCAAGAGGCCGTTTGGTTTCTACACGTTTGATCATGTGTGGCCTTATGCTTGTTTTGTTGTCATACGGATGAGCTGTGTGTTGGCGTCAGTGTGTCAGCGCCTGTTGAAACACACTATTGTGATACAGGAGAGTTTGTGTGCACTCGCGGCGTCTGGGATCAGATTACGCCCTCTTCAGTTGTTACAGTGAGTCTGTCCGATCCGCGATCAGGTGGAAGCAACATCTTTTATAGGAATTATGAGTTACGAAACATGAGTCTTTAGTTCTTGCATTTTCTTTCTTACATGTGACTGAAAAACATTTAAACAATTCCAATTTGTGTACGTGTGCATAGTGACGTGCCAAGAAGAGTGAGGAAAATACCTCAGTATGTGATTGCAATTACTTTCCCTATTGAGCATATGGAGTAACATGAAACAATTCTGCTAGAGACTTTTAATTTATTTCATTTTCATTATGCTTTTAAAGTTATTCTGTCTTAGATTTATATTCAGAGGAACATAATATACTGTACGTATATAAGTTAAGTTTGTATATGGTTGCATTTCGATCCTAAATGAGCAAGTCCGCTTGCAGTAGCTTTTATTATTTATCACGTATGAGTATCAGTGTATTGTCCTTTGGGGCCTTAATTGTGCTACAAATACAAAAAGTGTGATCACTCAGAAGCAACTCTGGTAAGGCGATTATCAGTAGTAGAATATACATAATCCCAACCTGTTTCATCTGTCTGTGCAATTTTAGAGTAATTGAAATAACCGCCATGTTGCAGTTGGAACTAACAAATACTTAAAATGCCACTTTAATGTGGATATTGTCTTAACTGTTAGAGCTTGGTAACCCTCAAAGTAGATTGTAAATAAATGAATCCATGACCGTGACCCATCGTTTCCGCTGCAGGACGCTCGTGCTTGTTACTTTAGTTTTTCCTTACTTTATCACATGTTACTCCAGCATGTGTTGGCACTGTACATATATATATTTTGGCATATAGAAGTATTTTTTGTAATGACATTGAACTGTTGGAGTGTGTACTAATGAAGCAGTGCATCTGTTGAAGGAAGTGTGTAGAAAGCAGAGGAAAGCTACATGAAATTTATTGAGGTTTTAATGTGGTGTTATATATAAATCCATTAAGCAAACTGAGAAAATCATTGCATTTTTTTCCAACTCTGAATCCGTTTTCTTTTCAATTTACTAAATATGCACAGCTGTTCACGGGGTTCTGTTGTTTTTCTATTACTTTGAGCTTTATTAAAATTCCAACTATCAACAGTATCCATGGTTTCACATGTCTTGATTGATTTTAGAGAAAATAACCGCCTCATTGAAACTGCCATGATGTCATTGACGGATAATCAGCGAAGCCTGAAGATCAGTATTAGCTCATAGGTATACCGCTATCTACCTTGGCTGATAATTACAAGATATACCAAAGACATGTTTGGAATCATTTAGAAAGCATTTCCTGTGCATTATTTGAAATGGAGAGAGCTGTTTATTCCTTTATTTGTTGCAATACCAGAATTTTCTCCCTCACAATTGTCTGATAGACGTGTTATGCTGACAATATAAATATAAATTCCCTTACAGCATTGTTACTTTTGAACAATTTATAGATGTAAAGTTTTGTATGTATTGTGGAAATGTATTTATTCATGACTGCGACTGGATGGGAGAGCGGCTCCCCGAGGGGCCACAGGGGCCAGTGTTGATGAACACACATGCACGGTGCTCTTCAAATCATAAGTAGGTAAAAGTACAGGAATCCAAATATACCTCACATTCCTAACGCAGTGCGGCTCATGTCAGAATAAAATATAAGAGAATAAATGTACATGGAAGCATTACCAATGTTCCAAGATGGGGTCAGTGTCGACTACATACAAATATATTGATTCATTTATGTGTACATTTACAGTTGAGTAAAAGTACTACAGTAGTTTACACAAGTACATTAGGCAACTTTAATACGGCTCGTGAAATGTTCTGACATATCTGACACATTTCATTCTCCTATTTCTCTTAATTAACCTTTACGTGTGTATTAGAGTGCGCGCGCGTGTGCGCGTGCGGGCTGGATGGATGGGGGGGGGGCTCTCCTGCAGAACACAGCGGCAGAGAAAGAGATCCAGCGGGGAGGAGGAGGCGCATTCACGGGCGGAGCACCGAGCACCGACAACCCGGAGCAGCACCGCGTCGTGTCGGCGTCCGTCCTCAGCGCAGGGAAGCACCCACCCGGGACCGGGGGGGGGGAGCAGAGGAGGAGGGGGGCGTTCGTTTCCTGCACCGCGTGTCTTTGTAGAAACAGGTGAGCGTTAGTTGGGTCGCTGTTTGTTTGCCGGGGAAGCTGTCAGTGCGCACCGCGCCCCGGAGGACGCCTCTCCCCTCGGCCCCGGCTAGCTAGTCCCCCGTCCCCCCCCCCCCGTCCGTCCCACCCGGTTAGCTTAGTCCGCTTTGGGTGAGCTAACTAGCCGTTTGTTGTTTTTGCTGTAATCCGGGGGTTAAATTTGGCATCTATGCAGAGCTAACAAGTAGCCTAAGCTCCTTATGCTGTTTGACTTGAGGCTTAGTGACAGTTATTAGCTAGCTCGCATGCTAGCTTAGCAGGACTGCAGCGCGTGTGTCTGTTTGTGTGTTTGATCACATCCGTGTGTTATGTAGCGATTGTTGATCGATACGAGGCCATAAAGCATCACTGGGTGCTGACTGTCATTGCGGTAATATAAATATATATGATATAAGGCTACGCTTAAACAGCAAGTGGAGGGGTGTGCATCCTTTCGAAGCTAAGGTTGGTCTCACCGATTCCTTCCGTCGTCACAGTTTATTGACCCGAGGACTAAACAACAAACCTCGGTCCTCCGACGAGGAAACGCGGGGTTGCTGTTGTCACAACACAACCACATGTGTGATGCAGGGTAGTTAAATCACAGCATTAAAATCAAGTGTGCATGCAAACAAGAGGTAGGACTGCACGGACACAGTCCCCTTACACACCTCCACGCATGCATGTTTAGGAGCCACCACATTACAATTAAGCTTTTTTTCCTGTTTTATACGCATTTCAGATGTTTCCTCCAAGTTGCTACTCCGGCTGATAAAATCAATGAGCTGTGTCAAACTTGTATTCATTATTTACGCACATAAACAAGTTAAGAACTGAGCTTGTGACTCTGTGTGTGTGTGTGTGTGTGTGTGTGTGTGTGAGTAGTCGTCACCATGACAGCGGAGGAAACCATAAACGTGAAGGAGGTGGAGATCATCAAGGCGATCCTGGACTTTCTGAACTCCAGGAAGTTGCACATCAGCATGTTGGCTCTGGAGAAGGAGAGCGGCGTCATCAACGGGCTCTACTCCGACGACATGCTCTTCCTCAGGTAAATGAACCCTGGGCTGAAACCCGGGTCGGCACCTCTCAAGTTGCAGCTCAGAAAGCTGCTGCCAACTTTGAAAGTAGGAACAACAGGCAACTCAACTCCAATCAGGAGTTGAGTTATTCAAAGCGTCCTCTGGATTGGGTGTAGTGTAACGCTGCAGTGGGTGTGAGTCCCCTGAAAGTCGGCCGGTGGGGTGTTGACTGCAGCTCGACTCCGTGTTAAATGCATTTATCAACTAATACATTCTGGAAACTCCTCTCCAGTTCTATATTATAGAAACACATTCACATGACATGTTCATGTGGACGCATTATAGAACCTGATTCCCATATGCTTTAAATGAACTGTCTTTCTGTCAGGCAACTGGTGCTGGATGGCCAGTGGGACGAGGTGTTGCAGTTCATTCAGCCTTTGGAGTGCATGGATAAGTTTGACAGAAAAAGGTCCGTATGTTTACACGTTCAGGTATCCTTTGTTGATGCCTACAGCAGAACATTGAAAGGAAAACCGCATCAACGCGTTGATAAAGTCTGTACAACCGTCGTGTCCCCAGGTTTCGTTACATCATCCTCAAGCAGAAGTTTCTCGAGGCTCTGTGCGTTAACAACGCCATGTCTGCAGAAGACGAACCGCAGCATGTAAGTCATTCAACCATTTTAGCAGCTGTAGGACTAAAATGTACTAACAAACTATAAGTATTTGTTAATCTCCTCTAAGCCGCCCCAGTGATGACACAGCCTTGGATTCGCGTCCTGTTGAACAGACTTTGTAACAGACCTGCTTTGTCTTCCCACTGACTGCAACTGGTTGTCATGGCAGTAAACAGGAAGGCTCAATCGTTAGGAGATGAGAAGAAAAGCATGCAGTTTTGGATGAAACTGGAATTGTGCAACTCATCTGAACAGACCTGCTAGGCTTTGAGAGAGGCGGACAGAGGCAGGTTGCGTGTGTGGACTTCAGCGGTGGCTGCACATGCATGTGAGCAGCATCGCAACCATTGACTGTCCTCAGTGCTGTCGAGGGTTTAACTGGATTAAGCAGTTTGTGTGCACCTCTTATACGGCACATTTGATTGTCCATGTTGGAATAAGCCGTTTTACATATCACATCTGTTCACCTGTCGGGTCCAACCCACCAGATGGCAATAGGCAAAAGAAAGTGTGCCCTTCTGCTACCCCCCCTACTCCCCCCCCCCTCACCCTCCCACCCTTCCTTTTTGTCTGAGCTGTACATTGCGATTATCACGGAGGGGACGAATGGATGCCCCACCAGTTACAGTAAGCAATGGATACAAATGTTGCCTTTTGGGTTGTTGCTCCATAATGATGTATGTAATCCAATTGTATAGTAGTTAATTATCACTTTAACTATTTCTGTGTTTTCCGGATGATGCGGGACAAAATTCATCATTTTGTCGTCTCTTGTAAATAATATCTTTTAAAGTTAATCCTTTTTTTATGAGCTGTTTTTGGTGGCAAACGAGTTTAATAAAGCGTTCCTAATTCTAATCTAAGAATCTAATCTAATTTGAAATGTATTTCCTGTTGTTTTAGTTGGAGTTCACCATGCAGGAAGCAGTGAAGTGTCTCCACGCTCTGGAGGAGTTCTGTCCCTCTAAAGATGACTACAGCAAACTGTGTCTGCTCCTCACGCTGCCTCGCCTCACACACCATGCTGAGTTCAAGGCGAGACCTAAGAGTGACGATCAAAAGGGGAACATGTTGGTAGTATGACATGAAGGATTAAAGCCTCCTTAGACCGGGAGCATCTTCTTGTCATTCTCTCCTGCATTTTTATTTAAATGTATTTTTGTACCATCTGACAATTCGGTGATCAGTTTTTGCTTCCATTTGTTGACTCCCCTTTTGCTCTGCCGCCGCCCTGCAGGACTGGAACCCGAGCACGGCCAGGGTGCAGTGTTTCGATGAGGCCTGCACCATGGTAGCGGAGTTCATCCCTGCCGACCGGAAGCTGAGCGAGGCTGGATTCAAGGCCAGCAGGGACCGACTCTTCCAGCTGCTCCTCAAGGGAGTCCTCTATGAGTGCTGTGTGGAGTTCTGCCAGGTTTGGACCTCTGAAAAACCAAAGAAATCATTTGGTTTCGGACAAAACCCGCAGGCTCCCGATTGAATTTCCATTTGTTTGGTTTGATTGTGCAGAGCAAGGCGACGGGGGAGGAGATGCCCGAGGGCGAGGTCCTCCTCGGCGTCGACATGCTTTGCGGTAACGGCTGTGACGACCTGGACCTGTCTCTGCTCTCCTGGATGCAGAACCTGTCCCACACCGTCTTCTCCTGCGCCTTCGAGCAGAAGCAACTCAACATCCACGTGGACCGCCTGGTCAAGCCCACCAAGACCGGCTACGGAGACCTCCTCACCCCGCTCATCAGCAAGCTGTCTCCGTACCCGTCGTCCCCGCTGCGCCGGCCCCAGTCCGCCGACACCTACATGTCCCGCTCCTTGAACCCCGCGCTGGACGGGCTGTCCTTCGGCCTGTCCGGCCAGACAAGAGAGCGAGCGGCGGGGAGACGGCGCCAGGCAAAGGGGTCTCTCCCATGTCCCACTCCTTTGCCAACTTTCACTACCCGGGAGCACGCTGGCAGAGCCTGAACAGGAGTCTCATGATGGAGAGCACCGACTGCCACAGCATCTCCGAGGAATCCCCTGAAACGTAAGGCTTGGGACTGGAGCGGGCCTCAGCCCGCGCCCGCTTTAGCAACGGACGTCTTGGATAATCTGTTCCTGTGGTGTGTCGTCCCTGTGAAAGGTCGAGGACGGACACGCCTGTGGATAAGATGATGGGCTCGGGCCGGGACTCAGAACCTGCGCCCTTCCCCGGCTCCCGGGCGAGGACGCTCCGTCAGCCGCCGCCGCCGCCGCCGACAGGAACGAGGTAAACGTGGCTAACTTTGCTGATTTGGAACCCGTTGGACCTGTCATGTGTCTCTCTTATGTCCCTGAACGCAATCTCTGTCCTCGATGGGTGTCGCCGACGTTGAAGGTCTGTACGCGTGCCAGCTCAGATGGATATCTTTCAGTAAGGTGTGTCTGAGCTAATGTGGCTACTTAGGGTGACAGCTCGGCCCGTTCTGGCTCCGTTGTCTTCTGGCTGGATCAGAGACGTTGTTAAAAGGTTGCCTTTTTTTTGGTGTTGTTAGTTTTCTTCCATCGTGTCCCAGCTCGTCACGTGTTGTGTGTCTGTGCGCAGACACATGGAGGTTAGTTTACTGTGGTTTGTGGTCGTTCTTCACAATGCATCCTCCTTGGTCTCGCGCACACACACACACACACACACACGTTACACATGTTCTGAAATTCAGATTCAGAGGAACCGAAGTCCAAAACAATTAACAGAAGTCCAATCATCCCCTCATAAATCTGAACAGATGTTTCCATGTAATCCTGGATGTCCTGAGAGGACGAGGCCGGGGTTGAGATGGTTGTGGGGCAGAAGGGGCACGAGGCCCAAGAACCCGGGTGCTTTACCCCCCCCCAAAAAAGAGGGTCATTACTGCCCGCATGTTGCCTGAAAATAGTGTTGACCCAGTTCCCCTTTCTGTCCGACTCCTGCTTTCTATTCGGGTCCCGTTGAAGTAGGTGCTTTGCGCTCCCCCCCCCCCCCGACCCCAAAGACACATTGAGGCCAGACGGAAGCACACTTAGGGGGGCCTCGCTGTCGTACTCCCCCTGCCCTCTCCTCCCGGCTCTCCTCTCTAGCGTCCTTCCCTTTTCGAGAGCGGGCACAGTCCCCCCCCCCTCGTTTCCCATCAGATTGTCAGGACAGGAAGCAGCAGAGGGGGTGGGGACGGCAGCTCTCGGTCTCACCTCCTCTAATACCTGAACCCACAACAGAACAATGCTCCCTTTGATAAGTGTTAATAGGAGTCGGCAGATGCTTTTCGCTGTATGTGTGTGTGTGCGTGTGAACATGCTTTTGTTGTGCTAAATGGTTTCCACTTATCCTTGTTCATTTGTACACATGTGTTCACATTTTGAATTCAGGCCAAAAACCAGCGTTTCCCCCCTCTTCCCCCCCCAGAGTTACAATATCTGCTGAACAACTGATAAAATGACTTAACAACAAACAGGGCTCAATAACATGTTTGTGTTCTGCCTGCAGCTTCGTGACTCAACAGAGAAGTATGAGGAGTACTATCGGCAACGCCTCCGCGTGCAGCAGCACCTGGAGCAGAAGCAGCAGCAGAGGCAATTGTACCAGCAGATGCTACTGGAGGGGGGGGTCCAGCACGAGCCCCCGCCCAGCGAAATGCAGCACAGCCTCACCGAGAAGTTCCTCAACAGGTACAGACCCGGCGGGAGATGCCCGTTGCACAGGTGGTGTGACATGGAGGTGATTGAACCCGCTCAGCACTTTAACGATTTTAATAACTTCACGAGAGGAGCAGCTGTCAGACGAAGGAGAAGCAGACACGTTAAGGCCCTGACAACAATGGGCCCCATGTGCCCCCCCCCCCCCCCCCCCCCGGAATAAACCCGCCTCCTGTCCACACTGCACCATCTGTGGTGACGCTACGTCACGTCACAGGGGACTACCGCACCATGTGTCATAATATTGTGTATAAGTACTGTTGTACACGTCTCTAACATGTACCAGGCGACTGAAGCATGCTCATAAACCCCGACATGTTAAGCTTTGAGTGTGTGACAGAAATGACCTTTGGAAATGGGTTCACTTTTGCTCTGTCAGCAGGACAAAAGCCCTTTGATTTGTCCCTTGAGACTTCCTCCTGTCCTCCCTCTCCCCCCGTCTCTGCAGCCTCTGCATTATTCACAAGGGAAGCTGTGCATAATTACACCGTTACTCCGGCTCCTTTTGTCTTTTCGCCCGCCTTGTGTTTCAAACTGGTGCAGTTGATGGATGTGCATGCGCCCCGTGTCGCCCTCCTCAGGTCCATCCAGAAGCTGGAGGAGCTGAATGTGGGGATGGAGGACCTCGGGGAGGAGGTGAAGTCTCTGACCCAGCAGTGCAACGGGAACACACCCACCTCTGAGGACAACAAGGAGCCTCCATCCGTGACGCCGGAGCAGACGCGAGGGGGAGGGGTGCTCAGCAGCACCCCGCAGCGCGCCGCGGCGGGGCGCCCGGTTCAGCCTCCCAACGAGTCGCCCGTCCTGTCCCAGAGGTGCTGTGGGTGTGGTTTCTTTTGTTTTGCTGCCGGGGTTGGTGGCAGGGTGTGACCTGATGATTGCTGTGTTCTGTGTTTGTTTTTTTTCGCAGTGGACAGAAACAAAAAGGAAGTCCACAATGTGACTCACCGGGCTCCTTGTCCCGAAGCAAAGAGGCACGAATGCACACAAGTAACACTCCAACAGTTCTGTCAGACCGGCTCCTAGCGATCGATTACTCAACAAGCATATCATTCTCTGCGCTGAATAATTAACCTGCAATTACTTTCCTTCTGCAAGCCTGCCTTTGTTATTCACACGCGCATTTTCTCTCACCGTGGCTGTTGTTGCAGTCACAGAACAATCGTTTCTTTGGCACTCTGAGCTGATAAAAATGCTAAAATGCTGCTAAAAATGAGTTCAGCACATTTCCTCTAGTTTTTTTGTCGCACAAGAAGATGAAACAGTGTAAAGTTATAACATAATTGCATCACAATCTCGGGCTAGTTTCATAAAATTGTTGATATCAAAGATGATGGAGCTAATTACATGTAATCTGTGTGTTTGTGTGTTTTTAGGGCGACAAACCCAAAAGGCTGTTTGTGCCCGTGCACACTTTAGAAGATACTCAAGCCATTCGAGCTGTCGCCTTTCACCCGTCTGGTTCTCTCTACGCTGTTGGGTCCAACTCCAAAACTCTACGTGTGTGTGCTTATCCAGAAACATTGGACTCAAGGTAAGGAGGACCCTTGGGTGGTGCCATGATGTAATTGTATGGTACAGGATAACTCCCACCCAGCGGGTGCCTCCATCCAAAGCATTGTAGAAATTTATTACGGTCTACCGTATAAGGGAATACTAACAGGAACTGTTAAAGTAAAAAAGAAAACTCAAAAAAGATCTACTTTTGATCGTATCACACAATTTTCTTCTCAGCAGTTGCCAGGTTGTCATGAAAAGTTCAAATTTCAAGCACTTTACAGCTTGACTTAAAACTTTTGGCTTGCCTTCCTACTCGGTCTACTTCCTCTCCTCAGCGGTTCCAGTCCAATAAAGCAGCCCGTCGTCCGCTTCAAGAGGAACAAACACCACAAAGGGTCCATCTACTGCGCGGCCTGGAGCCACTGTGGGCAGCTGCTGGCGACCGGCTCCAATGACAAATATGTCAAAGTCCTCCCGTTCAGTGCAGAGACGTGCAACGCCACAGGTACAGCCCGAGGCGCGTTCCTGTGATGCCCGACTGCAGCGGGGCTTCTCTTATTCTCTCTCTGTGCCTCAGGCCCAGACCTGGAGTTCAGCATGCATGACGGCACCATCAGAGACCTGGCCTTCATGGAGGGCCCAGAAAGCGGAGGAGCCATCTTGATCAGCGCCGGAGCTGGAGACTGTAACATCTACACCACCGATTGTCAGAGAGGACAGGGTCTGCACGCCCTGAGCGGACACACGGGTACACCCGAGCGTCTCATCCAACCCCCCTCCCGTCCGACACAGCGAATGGAGACATGATGAGAGAGAAAGATGGCCGCTGACAAGTATGTGATGCTTTTTGTATTGCTCTGCAGGTCACATCCTGTCTCTGTATTCATGGGGAGGCTGGATGATTGCCTCCGGCTCTCAAGACAAGACGGTGCGTTTCTGGGACATCAGGGTGCCCAGCTGCGTGCGAGTAGTGGGAACTGCTTTCCACGGCTCAGGTACCACCTTTTCTGTTTTTTTATGAAATAACCCCGGCAATGTACGACACTGGAAAGCTGCCGTCAAAATGTGGGACGCTTCTACTGGTTTATGTATTGGTTTCTACAGCGACACTCACTTTTTTTTAAATGTTTCTTTTCACTGCACAGGCAGTCCTGTTGCCACGGTAGCAGTCGATCCGAGCGGTCGTCTCCTAGCAACAGGACAGGAAGACAGTGCGTGCATGCTGTACGACATCCGAGGAGGACGAATCGTCCAGGTGTATCGGCCGCACACCAGCGATGTGCGATCCATCCGCTTCTCCCCGGGAGCACATTACCTGCTGACCGGCTCCTACGACAATAAGGTCATAGTGTCCAACCTGCAGGGTACGTCTCCGCTTCTTAACAAACCAATCGCGCAGTAATGACCCCCCAGGTGACTGCTTTGACCCGACATTAGCCAAAAATAAGTTTAAAAAAGTTTTGGAAGCAGGCAGCTACAGTGGATTTGACCCTGTATATTAAGTATATTATTATTGGGTCCAGCGACCTGCTTGACGTGCAGTAAAGATGTGGTTTCATCGTGTCTTTGGAGTCTGACATTGTTGACCATGAGTGGAAACGTCCGTTCTAAGTAAATATTATTCCGTACTTTTTAAGAAGAAAGGGAGACTCTACTTTGAGTATTTTTCCTTCGCTGCCGACAAAAAGGAAGTACAGAGTGATCATCTTGCCTGTAGTTCTAACACTTGTTTCCCTTTAAGACACAACCGGCATCATCGCTAATGTCTCACAGGAAAAACCTGCTTCAATCAGAAAACGTGGTGTCACGGAGCGTCCGGATTTTTTCTTTTTTTTTATTCTTCCTGACTGAGCTCCATTTCCTGTGTCTGTTGCTAGGCGACCTGACCAAGCCGCTGCCTCAGACCGTGGTGGGGGAGCACGGCGACAAGGTGATTCAGTGTCGATGGCATCCACAAGACCTGTCCTTCCTCTCGTCCTCGGCTGACCGCACCGTCACACTGTGGACACACAACCCGTAACACACACACACACACACAGACTACTGGTGGTCATCTAAAAGACACACCTCCCTCCTCTATACCTTCCTTCACTATCAACTGTCACGGCCTTGTGACAGAATTGACACGTCTAGCTTTAAACGCACACACATAGAGCAACACACAGACCGGTGAATGGGCCTTTCCCTTTCACTAGAAAACCCAAATGGATGCTGAGCTGTGACGTAAGAGAAGCACACATGCTGCATGGTCTCCCTTTTCTTTACAACATCCCCCTTATTTCCACCATCTCCACTCGTCATACAGTTGCTGCATGTCCTTTTCACTGAGGAGTTGTTGAGATTAGAGTGTACAGAGTGCTTTGTTCATGATGGTGCCTTCCTTGAGTTCTCAGTTTCCATAAGAGAAATGTAAACGCGAACAAACAACATAGATGATATGGTCAAAATCAAATTTAAGTCATCTTGAGAAGTCCGACATTCCTTCTTCCTTTGCATATTCATTTCTTACAGCGGGTGTAATGCTGCTATTGTTTAGGAGAACAAGTTGAATTTATAGTGTGTGTCGGGTGTCATTAGTGGGCTCTTCCTATCACAAGCCTGATTCTGCAGAGGTCCTATTATCCGACGTTGCTTTCCCGTGGGATGTGCTGATGTCCAATGTTTAACCGCATTGCTGCGACTCAAAATGTGTAAGGTAGCTTGTGCATTTGTTTTAAATTTGAATTTTCGTTGCAATGGAAGGTTGTTGTGTCAGCATCAAACCGATGGTTGAGTCCCCTCGCATTCAGCTCAGAAGCCTTTAGTGTTGGAAAGCATTGGTTTGTCTACTGCTGTAACAACACAACCATGGTGGGGGGGCAGTCTTTGCATACAGCGAGCGTCCAGCCATATGCACCAAGAAACGTGGATGGAAGCACGGGCGTTAGGATATTTATTTATAACCAGTATTTGGGGCATATGCATTGTTCTTTTCTTGCATTTTACATGCGCACATTGTCTTCTAATATCAATTTACTTACAAAGATTCATGTTTTATGTTATAGTATATATATATTGTTTTAAGAAATCAGGCCAAACTAATAAGTACATAGATGTATTTATTTCAGTTGTGTTTATGTATGTACAGTTATGTTTTTGAAATGCTAGTGTATTAAGCCTTTATAGTTCTTGTTTTTAGAAGTGACTTAAATTAATTAAAGCTAACTCAAGTCTGACTGCTGGTACGTTCAATAAAGTTTCTTTTACACAAGCTGGATATTTTGTGTTTAGTTGAACTGAAGCGTTCACATTGAACTTTTAAAAAAAAAAGTGAAAAAACAAGGAGCCTTACATGGATGACACTTTATTCATCCTGCATCATTGAAATATTTAGTACAAAGAGCGTAAGTGCTGCACACGCACACAGGTTAATTCATTCCTTTATCAAATGTTTTTTTCAAAATACAATTTTTCTCGCCTGACCGAACGTAACCCCCCAACCTCTAAAAAACAACAACAAAATACATGGAAAGTTCTGTACCTCTGAACACTCAGACTCTTGTGAAAGCACATCAGCGGCAGGACGGCAAAATCACAATCATTAAAAAAGTACAATAAATACAGACATAACTGTAGTCATGTATTGAAAAATACACGTACGGTGAAATGAGTACAAACGGATAAAAAAACGTTCGTTCCTGATGCTGCCGAGTTTGTCCAGGTTCATGTTAGCGTTTTCATGCTGTATACTACATATGATGCTGACAGTGCTTTGTTTTGTCCCAAAGGACACATGTAAATATACACAAGGCTTTTCCCGTGAGCCCACTGGTCCGTCCCCTCCTTCGTGAGACGAAAACCCGTCGTCCCTTTAAGTGCTTTGTTCAGTTGGAGGCGGGCCGGGCCGCGGCGGCCGAAGGCAGGGTGACGCGCTGCTCGTCCATCCGCTTGGCCTGGGAGCGCATGATGAGGCTGAAGAAGTCCTCGTCCGGCACGGTCGGCCCTCGGACTGGCGGGGGCGGCGCGGCGCAGCGCTGGTCGTCCAAGCGGGACCCCTGGTGGTTGAGAGCAAGGAGGAGAAGTTTAGTCACTCCTCGATTCTTCCTCTGTATTGAACGCGCATTGGGTCACGCCAGGTCACCTGGCACTTGACGAGCATGTCGAAGAAGTCGTCGTCGGGCTCGGCGTTGTCGGTGTTGGCCATCAGGTGGCTGAGCACCGCCTGGTTGCTGTTGTGGTTGAGCCGGAGGCCGGGGAGGCTCCCCCCCGCCGCCGCCGCAGACGGGTCCTCTAACCGCCGGCCCTGTGCGCCGGAGACGTTGGCGGATTCTGATAACGCTACACAGTTGGAGAGGAGGAATGCAGCAGAGGAGTCACATTTTTTTGGGATGAAAAGCAGGTAAATAGATTGCGAGAATCGGATGACTATGAAGAGGGACTACGGTGCGCTCACATTTCCTGATGGCCCTGGGAGGCGACTCTGAACCGCTGCTTAAGGACAACCTGCTGCCCTTATCCTGTATCGAACAGCGTTGGTCATCCATACGGTTGCTCTGGAAACGGCTCAGCAGATCAAAGAAGCCCTCGTCTCCCAGCATTTCCGGACTGAGTCGCTGATGAAGTACAAAAACCTGAACATGAGACGCAGCTTAACAGAAAGCTGTAAGATACTAAATGGGCTGCGTACCTTCTGCGGCCCCTGTGAGGGGGTCTGGCTGGTGTTCAACGTGTTGCTGGTGTCCTGGAGAACCTTGCTGGAGCCACCAGCCTTGTGCTTCTTCCCACGCAGACGGCTGACGAAGAACAGCTTGGAGGAGCTCTTGACCAGGGAGGGTTTGGGCTGTTTGTTCAGAATGTCACTGTTCCACTTCTGACCCTTCAACGCACAGGAGAGGACGAGTTACCACCGTGCAGGAGGGAGTGGGGGGAAGACGCAGCATCTGGGGTCCAAACTTAGCAAAGCGTGACTTGAATGGATAGAACATCAGGTGCGTCAGTGGAAGAACTTCTTACATTGATCTTGTCTGGAGTTAGTTTCATCAGCTCCAGGTTCTCCATGCTGCGTCTTCTGCCCATCCTGGGCCTTGCTCCTAAAACAAAAAACACGATATAAACACCAGCCAGACAAATTGCTCTGTTTAAAGAAGACATAGAACTTTGAACTGACCATTCAGGTTGTAGTCTATGGCCTCATTCTCTGAGATAGTGGAGTTATTTGTGCTATAACTGAGACCCAGAACCATCTGGAGATCAGAGACATTCATACGAGCCGTCAGCTCCCCGCCCCTATCGCCAGTCTGACAAACAGGAACACAATACACACACACACACAGGTTTATTTCAAAACTAAAGGATTCCTCTTCCTGTTTCTGTAAAGTAAAACTTCTTTCCAACATTGTTTCCACTGTAAAGCCAAAAGCAAAGATAGAAGAAAGGGAAGTGGACACTACTTCTTCTGTACTTTGTACCTCTTTGCAGATCTCCAGGTGTTTCTCAGCAAAGTGCATGGCTTGGTCATGGTTCCCCAGTGCAGTGTAAGCATTGCCAAGACTCCAGCACGCACGGCCCTCTCCAATCCTGCATCAATAAGCACATTTAAACACGTGCATGGGCACATAGTAGGGGTGTAACGATTCATCCACTGAATCGATCAATCGATTTATATTCCTGCGATCCAACTGAATCGATCTGTGCTCCGCAAATCGGCATTCCGGACGACATATATCGATTACAAATCGATTGAAATGGTACATAATACTTGGAAACTGCACATTGGATTTAAGTACAAAAACGGCATGGATGCGTGTTTGTTTGGTTTTTAGCACTTTAGACACGTTAAACGTTACTCGATTCAGTCTGCCTGTCTGTGACGTCATCAGTACGCAGCGGCAGCCGCGCGAAACTCGGAACAAAACACAGCGTGGAGGAGACGACTGCGAGCGAGACATTTACAAACCAACTTATCGATCCAGCGCGTGAAAACATTTTGGCTTTTGCAAACACGGAGGTGTTCTAAATAAGTCGGTCGCTGTTTGTAGAATATGTAGAAGACAAATAAAAAAAACACGGAAACACAACAAATCTTTCCGGCCATCTACTAAGGCGCCGTGGGACTAAACAACGCCGACAGTCAGGACCTCTAGCAGCGTCACCGCTGCAGCAGCAGCAGGTAGCTCTGCAGACACCTCAGGTCTCGCCAGCACGAAACTCAACATCACAGTAACAATTGCCAAGTTTATCTGTAAAGACATGCGACCCTACAATGTGGTTGGAAATCCGGGGTTTTGTGAATTGATCCAAACATTGTGTAATTATTGTGTAATGTTTACATTGAAAATGGCACTTGATTCAAATAAAAGGTTTATACATTTGCCATTAATTGTTGTTTGCTTGTTTATAATATCCATAATTAATTTAAACCTGATTTCCTTACAAGAAACAACAGGGATCTCAGAAACTTTGCCTGCATTGTCCAGTAAAGTTACTGAATCGATTTCAAGTCACTGAATCGAATCGAATCGTTCTAAATTAACCCAGATCGTCCATGAATCGAATCGCAACCATGAATTTGAATCGTTGTTAAAATGAATCGTTACACCCCTAACACATAGGCATTCTTCTTCCTCTAGCAAATGAGTGTGTGTGTGTGTACCTGTCATTGAGGTCCTGGGCAATGATGAGGTGCTTCAGGTGGTAGTCTATGGCTCTCTCATAGTCCTGCAGGAGTGTGTAGGTGTTGCCCAGACTGTAGCAGGCCTGAGCCTCCACGGCTCGATCCTTCAACTGCCTCGCCAGCTGCAGCGTCCTCCTGGTAAACATGCAGAGCAGCTGGTTCAAAGCACTGCAGAGACCCTCCGGCTTCTTACGCCACACAGTTCCCAAAGTCTCCCAAAACCGAGAGCCCTTTTTAAGATCCTAATCTTAAAAGTGGTATTTCAACAGAGGCAATATGTCATACCACACCCGACATATGCGAATGCGCAGTCGGCCGTGGCTTACTTGTAATGCTCAGCTGCCACTTCGAATTCCCCCAAAAAGATGTAGGCGTTCCCAAGGTTGCAGTAGGCGCGTCTCTCTGCCGAGCGGTCACCAAACTCCTTGGCGATGAGCAGGCGCTGTTCCAAAGAAAGATGTAGACACATTTCACCATCCACTGTTAGAATAACTTTCACTCGGCAGACGTGTGCAAAAACACTTTGCTAAAAAGGGCTCGGCCGTACTCAGAGGACTTTTTTTTATGACGCGCTTTAAAGAAAGGGTCTTTTAGGGTTACACCAAACCTGTTGGTGAGACGCTACTGCCTTGCGGAAGTTTCCCAATAAGTAGTACGTGTTGCCGAGGTTGCCGTAGGTCCGACCCTGAGCGGCGCGATCCCCAAGCTCCTTCACTATGGCCAAGTTCGCCCTGAGGGTGCACAAATGTGATATAATGGGACAATAGCAGAAAGGCATTGTGTTATAACAATGTCACTGACTATGCGGCCACTTACTCGTAGTACTCCGCTGCCTCCCTCAGGGCCAGCATGACCTCCTCTGGGAAATCTCCAGGTTCGGCTCCACTCCAACAGATACTTTTGCCTTTGGCATGGTACACGTTCCCGAAGTTATACAGAGCTCGCGCCTGACCCACCTAGCACCAGTCAAGGAAAAACACGTCAGTGGTTTGAGGTGGATGTCCCCTGAGCATTATACAGAGAACCCTGCAGCCTCACCTTGTCATTAATGTCTCTGGCGATGTCCAGGTGCCTCTGACAGCAAACCACAGCCTCGTCAAAGCGCCCCAGCACCTTCAACGTGTTGCCGAGGTTCCCACTGGCTTTGGCTTCTCCGAGCAGGTCGCCAACCGTCCTACGGATCGCACCTCATGTCAGTAATAATCAATATGGTCTTGATCGGTTAGCAGGGGTGCGTTTGCTTCTCGTGCTGCTTCCGACCTGGTCAGGGTGAGGTCGTGCCGGTGGAACTCTAGGGCCTTGGCGTAGTCGTGCAGGTGGAAGTAGGCATTGCCTATCTGGCTGTAGATGGCGCTGAGCACCTGCAGGTCCTCCGTGCCCACCTGGATGGCGGCTTCAAAGAAAGAGACGCCCGCTCTGTAGTCGCCAACCTTACAGAGCCGCTCACCCTCCAACGCCAGCTCCAGACAGGACACCTCCATCCTGCAGCGGGAAGAAGCGGAGTCCGTCCGTCAGCTGGCCAAGAGGTGAACCAGCCTGCTGCTTGAACTCTAGTTTCTGGAGTCAATAATTAAAAGGCCCGATAATGAAGAATTTATGGTGAGATCTTCTCTGGCTGAAACCCACAGCCGACTGAGCCGACTCTGCTCACGAGGACGGCTTTTAGCTACTTCCTTCCACCTACAGAGAACAATAGTTTGGGGTCTGTTTGTTTTGGTAGATTTCACATCCTTTTGACTTGCAATAGAAAGTGTTTTTTTTTTTTTTTAAAGCAAAATGAAGGCAGAGAGCAGGGGGAGTTGAATTCAAGGCCGGATTGAAGTTGTAAAACAATGGTGGCGGTTTATCTGCGCAAGCATTATTTTTAGAATTAGTAGCATATGTGTGCAAAGCAAAAATTGTTTTTCAGGAAACTGCATTGTTGTGAAGAGATCGGCTTCACACAAAGTCTTCTTAGTTTGTTTATGTGGAGCTTTCCGCATGTACCCACCCAAGCTTTGGTTTGAAAGTCCTCCAAAACTGACCCAGAAACAGCAAATAAAGTCACATAATTGTGTCGATTCCTTAGATGAAGTCAAATGTCACAAAAACACCAAACAAACCAGCTGGTTTTGTCATCCAGAAGGAAACCAGCCAAACATTGTAAACAGTCAGCAAAGCTGCTGCAGTGAGCAGCCAGCGCCTTAAATCAAAAAATGTTTCTACTAAATTTCCTAACTGTAACAAACAGTGGCAAAAAATAGCCTACCTGATAGTTTTTTGTGTCTTACAACAACAACAACAACAGATGGAACTCGTGAGAGGCATCTAACCGATCTTCCACTTCCACACCGCTCATCTGACATCATGGAGCTATTACAGCATCACTCATTGGACAACTTTAAAGGAGACCCGTGTGATGTTGTCACATCATTAACTTCCCAATGCATGGCAGAGAGGAAACTGCACACTCAGCATATCCTCAGGTAATCCGCTTGTCTCTAAAGCTCTCTCTTCTGACCTGGTCACCTGAGATTACGGCTGGAAAGTGCGCAGCCGACAGATTACTAAATAGATTTATTAGACATGTTGGGCACCAACAACAGCCTCTGTGGTGAAGTTTAATGGAATCAAGTCATTAACAACAACCATCGAGAACAACAGCGTGGATCCAAAAACGATATCCTCCGACCAAGTGGAGGCGTATTATCCAAATAAGTTGGACGAAAAAAAAGAATTTTTCAGGGCTTGTTAAATATTGAAGCCAACTGGAACAAGTCACACCGGCATGCTTCTCCACCTGGGGATGTATGAACAGCTGGCTGGTGCCCTTTTTGGCAAACAAAGTCACAAAGCCCCGTGAAACAGTCCTCCTGCTCTATGATGGAACTTGGGTGTCAGTTTTCGATCCCGTGGAACACACAACACGGTCCCTCTATTAACAAGCTAACAAGGAAACAAATGATGCCTCATTTATTATCTTTTGTAAGAAGAATTGATATTGTGAAAAAGAGATCGGGGAGGTCTTCTCTAACCCAACCTCTTTTAAGGGAGAGGAAATCTTCCTACCTGTAGCGGACATGAAAGGACTGCTCCTCATTTCCCGTGCTAATCACTGAGCCACTGGTATCCATTGATGTGCATAACATCGGGGGGAAATCCCTGTTTGGTTCCCGAAAGAATTGTTGCAATTAAAAAAGAAAGGAGCCAGTGAAGAAAAAAAAAAAAGCCAATAAGCCACATAAGAAGTCACACAAAGTGGTCACGTCTGCTGAGCGTTGACTGTGGAAGGCGACCCCCCCATGAGTGAGGCACAGCGGCAGAGTCCTGAGCGACAGTCCACGCGGCTGCGTTTCGAGTCAGTGCACCTCAACCTCACCGGCGGCCCTCTGTGAAGAGAACACAAGATGCTGTACGTGAAGCCTCGTTCTGGCTGCACGGCGCCATGGCAACCCCAATCAAACGGCAGCGTGCAGAAGCGCGGCAGCGAGTGAGAGAGAGAGAGAGAGAGAGAGAGAGAGAGAGAGAGAGAGAGAGAGAGAGAGAGAGAGAGAGAGAGAGAGAGCAGGGCGGGAGTGAATGGATGAGGGTCAACGCGGGCGAGCTGCCAATCTAAGACGGTGACTCAATGCGCCCGGGGGTTGTGCGCTGAAGTTTAGCGCGAGCTCAGCGGGCTGAGAACACCACACGGTGTAACTCGTGCAAGCGGCCATGGCAGGGAAAACATCATAATCACAGCGCGTAAATGCGAATCAGATGTGGGACGCTGAAAAGCAGGAGAAACCAGTGTTGCGTGATTAATTAAGAAAACGCTGGCTGGATTTAAAGAGGAGCAGAAGCAGCAGAGCCCACGTTGCGTGCGCTCCGTCCACCAAAGGAAAGGACAGTGATAAGCGAGCTGCAGGGAGAAGATAGACTGGTCTTTACTGCTCCAAGTAAAGACCAGAGCCAAACATTACCTCATTTCTCCATGAGGTCATATTAGCCACACCTATTAGTCCCCCCGACATTTAACCCACCAGCCACAAAATGGAAAAAGGAGCGGAGCCCGTTCTCTATGCTGAAGGTCAACAAAGACATGACAAACAAGCAGTTTCAGAGATAATTCCAGCTTAAATGGCGATCATTATGATCTTTTAAATATATTCAGCATGTCTTTTAAAAAGGGCCACTAAATACATGCTTCTTCTTTATTTAAAACTACTTAAAAGTATGACTATTGTTAGACGTGTGCTGTACTTGTTATCCCATCGCCTGTTTAACCCACTGCACATAAGAAAGAAGCAAGTGTTCATAAAGTACCTTGGAGTAGTAGGACCTTTGATCTACAATAGGCTGGCTAAGCAGTTCCTAGTGTTGTATCAGCACTGAGCTCATACTGCCAGAAGAGCGCTAATCTATAAAACACTTGGCAACCAAAACAGAGAAAAACTGTTTTGACAAATCGCTTCACGGCCGCTTGATGTCACAATCTGTTGTTCAGCTAAGCTTAAGGCCGGTACATTTCTCTCAATAAAGACACAGTCTGAATGGCAGCAGTAGCTCAACACTGACCTTTGAACGGAGGAGAAACGTTACAGTTTAGGGCCTAAACTGCTAAACAACTGTTGAGTCAATGCGTCTTAATGAACCTGTCCTGGACATTAGAAGGAAAGGGAACAGACTTCCTGTTGCTACGTGAATGTGAACAGCAATAAGACAAACTAAAGCCCATGGCTTTGGGAGTCTGGGCAGTGCATGTTTCCTGCACAGTATTATTAAGGCTGATTGATGTATGTTTTACACCATCGCATGCCGACTGGGTGTGTGTAAGTAGAGACCTGCCCGCTCACAAAGCTACAGTGAACCAGTGTGTCACAGGAAGATGGGATCCGTGACTAACTGAACATCAATGGAAAACAGAGGTTGTGCGTTTATTGACAGCTTGTTGGTAATCGCTTGGTAATCGCTGACTCTTCAGTCACAAATAGGACATGAGTTCACTGTAAACACGCAGCCGACGCAATCTATTTTCATTGTGCTCACAGCCCATTGATGCACTAAAATTACTGCTCCCACCGAAAGCAAAGTCTAAGAATGGAAACACCACGCAGCGTCACAGCAGAAAGCCTGCACGAAAACAAAGGAAAGAAACAACTGCATAAGTACAGGGATACGCACCGGTAAGTCTTCCACACGGGGACAGGAAATCTGGGAAGCCTGCAAGGAAAAGTGTGACCATAAATAACTTTACAACTAAATATAGTATCTTTGCAGTACTTGGTTAGGTGTATGACTATTGTAATAGTTTGCCTTACATAATTATGGTCAATATGAACTCAAACTTAATACTTAAGTTGGGTTTTCCGGATGATCGGCACACACTCTATTTTCACAATCAGTTGCCAGTTAATAAAAGGTACAAAAAAAGGGAACCGTATAAGTAACTTAGTGAGGAAGATCAACTGTTAGATACATACAGTATGCCACATTACTATTCATTTCAACAGCACCTCAAACCTGAATGAGCATATATTTAAAACCACATTTTGTGTTTTGACTGAAACGTTTTGATTTTCTTGCATAAACTGACAGCTGAGTAGACAAAGTGTATTATATGTTAACGTTATATGCCATCATCTAAAGGTCTGAAGGTATGCGAGTATTGCATTGTATTACTAAAGGAATAGGAATTAATCAACTGTTAGTGCAAGTAATGCAGAAAGAAAGTGGAAATAATGACAATTAACGTTAGTTGCATTCGTACTGTATTCTTTAAACTACTGCATCATATGTTATTCTCACTTCAAATGAATTTAAAAAGGAGGTTGTTTTCAACGACGGGGCTTGAAAGAGAGCATTGAGAACACCGTACGTTCGTGATGGGTAAGAAGTGTACGTGTGTGTTAAGTTGTTATGTTAAGCGTAACACTGAATTCACCCCTCGCTGCTTCCAGTATCGCATTCAGCTAAAGATTAGCCAGTTAGCTAGTTAGCATGTTAGCCGCTAAACTTACGTTACACGATCCAGTTCGAACAATGGTGACTTTTCCTCTTCTTCTCTTGACTTTCTCACATGAATAGAAATGTAAGGTCGATTTGAAACGCGCACAAACTGATGTTTGTAACTTAAACTTTAAATGCAACCTTGAGTCTACATTGTCCTAAAGAAAAACTTCGGTTTAACTTCCATAAGAACGGAGGAAAAGCCGTGCATTACCCTGTATGTTTTGGCCAAGTAGCCAATCGGGGGACGAGATTCAAAGGTAGCCACGCCCCCAGCCACAGCCATTGGACCAACGGATTCGAATAGAAAAAGAAGATGACGTATCTATTATTTGGCTGTCAGTAGTAGACAAGCAGAATTTTTAACACCCTTTCGTCGGCAAAGTCACCCACAAACGACATCTTGGCCGCTGCGTGGGTGTATTGTTAGAGTACGTTTAAAACGCTCTCAATAAATACTTATAATACAGAGGTTGGTTGTTCAAAACTGCATTTGCATGCACAATGCAAAAGCATAACAAAAACTATCTTCTTCGGTGGTTCTTTTGGTGGAGGTTACCTAGCAACCAGACGGCGCCTGAACACTGCCAGCCGGGCTCCAGACGCTCAGCACGACCGTGTGGGCTGCATTATTAACGATGCTACGGACACTAAACCTGTCCGAGAAGCCATATGTCAGGAAAGGAAGACACAGGCATGCTGCAGCTAGATGCGAGATGACGTCACGATCAAGAGTAAAGCCTGTGGGACGGATGCACTTAACACCGATGCCGGAGTGAAGAAGAACCGGATCAGAACTCAGAGTAAGTTACCGCCTTCCGGCACAATGTGAGACGGGTTTAGATTTAAAACGACACTGAAATGTGAAATTGCTTTTCCAGTTAGACTCTGCAGCAGCATGTTTCTTTGTTGTGATGCACGTCACACTCACAAACTTTGTACACTTACTAAAGTAGGCCACTGTACTTTGATACAGTTTTATGATACCTTTACTTAACTTACTATATATAGTATTTATATTTTCTGCTATTTTTAAATCTCCCCCCACTATAGTTCATATGATAGGTATTACTTCAATACATTATCTGACAGCTGTATTCATAGATTATTACAACAGGCTAAGAAATATCTTAAATTATGATGTAATACAACGCAGCATATTCCGTAAATGTTCCGTATACTAAGAGCTTCCTCTACCATCTACAAATTCAAAACAATACACTCTACATTTATTTTTGTATTTATACAACCCCAAAATGCACGACTTTCCCTTGTAATGGGATAGTTATATAATGTGTCATCACTACTCTTAAAGTAAACCTTTTCCTACGACTGATTCACACTTTCTCACCCATGCATAACATTATCCACACAAACACCGCACACACTTGTCACGCAAACCCCTGAGCGTTGATTGTTGAATAATTGACAGGAGGGCACGTTTTGATCCGGTGTTGTCAGCTTACACGTTGTGTTGCTAAGTGATGAACAGGTGCTCCATCCGCCTTTTCGTACCTTCTGTCTTGCCACAGGTGAAGACGAAGCATCCATGGAGGGAGATGCAGAGGATTCAGACGAAGAATGCCGCGTCGAGGACGGGCCCACTGTGCTTTGGGAGAAGTGCATTCAGCAGAGCATCTTTGTTGACCTAAGTGAGGATGAAAGTCTCCACCTCAGTGATTTGGAGAATTCTTTAGCCTTCCGTGTGTCACCGACAGAGTCTGCTGCCTCCGAGCCGAGCATTCACCTCAGTGGTAAGTCCCAAAGTCAACGTCCTGTTGAACTGGCTTGTTTAGTCTGTCCTGTACTATTTATCAAACTGTCTAAATCATTTGTAATGCTACAAGAGCAGTTGGAATTTAAGAATAAGACGCAGTCCTTCTCAGAGAATCAGAACACATCATGGTTTCAGTCTTGGGTATGAAAATAACTTGGTCAATGGAAATAGTGAGCTTTAGTTCCTTTTTGTCATTACATATGGGCAGTGTTGCAGAGGATTGTTAACTTTGGGAAGGCTAAAACGATACATGTGGTGTTCTTTCGGTTGCATGCTACGCTACTTCACCTGTTTTGACCTTACATCTAAATCGCTCCCTTTTAGCGCCTCCGTCTTTATGCCGCAAGTGGAGATATTTAAATGGGAGGCAGTATTTTCTGCTACATTTGACACAGCAAGGGCAGCAAAATGTGAATGACGTTCTCTGATCCAATGCACCCACAACAAATAAAACTTCTCTTATTTAACAGTTTGATGTTACAATCGCCGGAGGCCTTAAATCCTCCCGAGTTGTTCATGACGTGTCCTCTTTGCGTGATTCAAAGCATCCCTCTGACTTAGCATTTAACCTGCAGGGAGCGCGGCGCTGTCGGCCTTGGGCGACGCCTCCTCAGCGTCCAGTATTGTCAACAGCGGTCAAAGTGACAGTGTGGTAGAGAGCAGGACCAAGAGCAGCATGTTGCATGTGTCCGCCCAAAGACCAAACACCACTCAAGATGAGACGCCCTTAAAGCATGAGGAGTCCGGGCAACATACGAGTGATGAGGATCAGGAGGACCTGCCTTTTGATGGTGACCTAGGAAGCGCCCACTTCAACCAAACAGCCAACTCTGAGGGTGACATGAGCGCCGATGTCACTGGTATGCCTGAATGTAAGACAAGAGGTAAAGATGACGTTGTCAAACGCTTGGTTTCTGCCGAGCGGTATGCTGAGAGACCAGCGGCTTCGACACAAGCGGATGCCAACACCAACCTTTTTGTTGACGCTTCCAAGCCAAGGGAGGTTTCCCGATGGTGTCCTCGTCCTTCAGGCATTGACCTGTTGTTACTGCGACACTTCTCCCAGGAGGAGCTGCTTCAGCCCTGCAGGCTGATCGAGGCAGAGACCCTGCCAGAGGTGTCCCTATTAGAGAGCGCAGATGACAGTGTTTTTAGCAGGGCTCCAACACGCAACAGCATAACAATGAATAGCCACCCGTCGGACAGCCCTCCTTGTAATTCTGAGATGAATCAGCGCTCTGACAGAACTGATGGGAAAAGTGCATCAGAAATATCAAGTTTACAGGACGAGGCAAGGGAAATCCCTGCTGTTTGCACCGCTGCTGCTGACAGCATTATCTCCGGCTCTGCAAGTATCCGTTCAGAACAGTGCAGCAGGGATGCAAGTGCCTCATGTGAAGAGCAGCAGGAAAAGGTGGACGAACAGGCTCTGAATTTCCCACTTGTGCGCACCAGGTCCTTCAGTGAGATGAAGTACGGTCAAGGCCAAGTCCATTACCGCCTACCTGACTTCTCCAAGGTTTCCCCGAAGGTGAAAATCCCCAAAATACCAAATGGACCAGCCAGATCTGTTCCTCTGAGCCCCAGGACCACGCACAGAGCCCAGTCTTCTCCAGGGGTACTAGAGGTGATCAACAGAGTCCTGGAGGATTCAGCCCAGCCCTCAGTGAAGCCATATGTCTTCAAAGACGAGGACAAACGGTCTGCTCCAGCACTGGTGCATCACCTGCAGGTAGAAAACACACTACCGACAGTTTTTTGGGGTTTCCTTTGCTTGTATCTTCCTGAACAATCAATGCTGCACATTGTTGATAGGACTAACATGTGTCTCATTATTCCTTAGGCTGAATATGATAAATTACTAACTAAATATGCTGAGGCTGAGAACCGCATTGATCAAATGAGAATAGGAAACAACGTAAGTAAAGAGGTTTCAGTCATATTTTTAATGCCCGTTTAAGCTTATAAATTTCCTTCCACGGGCTCAACCCTCCTCAGAAACAATGCTTTATTTTAAGGGTGATGATGATCAGGATAACTTAGTAGAGGGAAGCCATCTGGGACCTGTGGCTCGTCACCTTCCCCCATCAGGTACGTCTCTGTGTCCGACATCTGATATTATGCCAGGTCAGCGCTTTGCTTCGCGACTTTGGAATTACGCAGTGAAGTGCAGTCGGTTTCCATAGAGACCAATGGGGTCAAATGACAATTTATTGTAGTTAGACATACGTGTGTTGTCTTAGCTTTGGGAGAATGGTAATTAAGGGGAAACACATTTGAATTCATATGCTATAAAGTACACAATATTAGCTTAATAAATCTCTAAATTTAAGCCCTGCTTTGTTGTCAGAAAACGTTGGCGAGAAACAGGAAACAACACCGCAGAGCAACAATCAGGTGATGAACTCGACACCCTGCAGCCGGCCTGAGGAGGGTCCCACTGACGGGGAACGAATGACCACAGAGCTGAAAGACATCATCAGCCAGTTCACGCAGAAGGTGCGTCAGAAGATGTTAATAGGCTGCCGTTAAATGAAAAAAAATCATTCATGGACCTTCTCCCATTCCTTTTCCCAGGTGGAAGAATTTAAATTAAGTGTGAGCATCATGTCGGTGAGCACAGCAGAGCAGCAAGTTGTGAGTATTGTTCTCCGATTTGTAGTTTTTTACGCCTAACATGGAAATATAGGACATTACCATTTTGTATTTTTAAGATGCAATATAATTTACATTTTTAACTTTTGCATGTCAATGAATGTAAAACATGTCCATTGTCAGATGTTGAGGAGCATTTTGGAGGCTCAGGACCAACTGGAAAGAGAGTACATCAGTAGAAAGGAAGAGCACAGAGCTCTGGAGATGCAAAGCTACCTGGGCCTGTCCAGGAAAACCGGCATCTTTGACCCAAACAGGTTAAAGAGACCTCGCCATTTCGCCAGTGTGAATGTGTCAGTGCCATGTTGTAGGTTGTGTAGTGTAGGGGATGTGAGTGTGTTTATACCTGTGCAGCATTGTATCACTCAACGAATTAGTGCAGGTAACGCAGACCTCCACAATTATGTGGGACAAATACAGTTTTCATACATATTATACAGTACATATGCATATGTTTTTGATTCGTTCTTGACATCTCATATGAATATAAAAAGGAGTTTGAATTTCCAGATTTTAAGAGACATTGAGAACACCGTACGTTCGTGATGGGTAAGAAGTGTATGTGTGTGTTAAACTGCGTGCAGGCTGGTGGAGGGAGACATATTCAGGATAGGGATGCAACTTGAGGACATAAAGGAGATGATAGAGAGAAATGTGTGTGAGCAGATTTCTCCTCCCCATTCATCCTCCACTCCCACACCCATGAAAGAGATGCTGCAGATGAAGCCCTGTCCTCTCCCCATGCCCACATCCTCACCTCCACCATCCCTGCACGAGGTAACCAACTCACAGACGCACTTTCTGCCTCATCACAGGCTCTTAACGCTTGAAACATTCACCCTAAATCTTTGTTTTTGTCTTATTCTGCCTTTAATCATGGAATATTAAGATCTATCTTTAACCTGCTCCCACAATGTTTTTACCTTCAAAACAAAAGTCACATTGAGGAACTATATCTTAACAGGAGTTATTGTTTTACAAAATAAAGCCTCCAACTAGTGTTTTAAATTAAAAGCAAGCAATGCAGTTTAGCGTCATCTTTTTAAAATAAATACACCTGAATAAGTATTAGTATTTCTTCTTTTTGGCATTCCTAGATAATAGAACCATTGCCGCTTTTTCAAACTATTCCTATTCTTCACCTTCGTCTAACCCATTTTAGCCAGTAACCCAGTGTCGTGTCACCTTTTCAACAAACCTTGAAACATTCCACATATTTCATACATTAATGTTGTTATCTCGCTTTTCAAGCCAGCATCCTCCAGCCTTTTCTAGTGTATAATCCAGCCTGTGTGCAGCCTGCTGCGTGCTGTAGCATCCACACCGTGCACATTGAAATGTGATGAATTCTCCCTGGGAAGACATGCTGTGTGTCAGTGTAAGATCACACCAACCGCAAATGATCTGAATGGGTCCAATTTGTTAGGGGCCAAGTGCAGTTTTTTTCACCGTGGGTAATAAGACGGAGGCACAAAAAGACGATGAAAAAGAAGCGCGAGTCGAGGCCATTGAGGTCCATGGAGATGAAGCTGTCCAGCAAAGCAGTGATCTCATAACAACTGACTCTTTCCTGGAAAGTACTGGACGCAGCTACGGCCATTCAAGGTAATATTACTATGTTATGATATCGGGAATAATATACTGAACAGGCACTTGTTGCTATAATTAAATAGTACACCAGTGCTGTGCATTTGTCAGTGTCATTATTTCATATAGCTATTGAGGTTTTGAGTGGTGCTTGCTAGTGGGCTTGTGCTCGAATAATAGGCCTGCTCTCAGCCTTACCGCCGGGCTGATAGTGTTTCATGGAACAGTATTCGTGTCGGGTTCCACGAGTGTCTCTGTGTGACCGTGCTGTTTCTCTGTCCTGCTTCAGGAGCTCACCGGGCTCTCTGGAAGGGGAAGATGAGAGGATCTCCGTCTCGACAGAGCTGACACATCCAAGCAGCATCTTGGCAAACCTGAGCGGAAGCAGCTTATCCTCAAGGGAGAGGACGCGCGGCAGGTAATGTGATATTGAAGTCTGTCTGACAGAATAAAAGAGCTGTGCTGACTGTTGTCAGTATAAACAAGCTATGTCTGCATAATGTAGAGAGTATGTCTTGTTCTTTTGTTAATATAGAAATAGCAAACTTCTACAGTACTTTCCCAGGAATAGTTTTAGCTTTACATGCTATGCTTTTCCATGTCATACTTCCCTAAAGTCTCACCGTTCTCCAACTCCTTCTCCAAGTGTCCTGGACCCTCTCGGTGAATGTCAGGCGGGTGAGTGCGTGAGTCTGGCTGTGGAGGTCTCGACTTCAGCTGAAGCACCCAGAGACTCAGGACGCCACTTCCTCTTAGATCCTCCGCTCAACACCTCGTCTGTTTCACAGGTCTGTTCCAGATACATTAGTCTGATGTTTGTGAATTTTTCTTGGAGGATTCAGGCTGCTTTCTTTTAACTGTTGTTGTTTCTTCTGTGGTGCAGAGGATTGTAAGTCCAGAGACCGACAGTGGCTTTGGGAGCTCCTACTTGAACCAATCACCCTCAGGACCGTTTCAACCAATGCTCACAGATAGGTACAAAGCTTTATACACAGCATCTTTCTTTAGGTATTTTTAATGAAATGAGCTCCTGTTGATGCACATTCCCAATCCTCCCATCTACAGTGGACCGCCCCAGAATGTTGGTTTGAGTAGCTCAGACAGTGAAGGCTCCTTCTCCAACCTGCGGACAGCCATCCATTCAGCCTCACTGTCCAGCCAGCGATGGGCCAGTCCTCACCCGTCTGTCCAAACGCAATCCTGTGGCGTAGCAGCAGCGGTGGAGCGGTGGGTGGAGAGCACTGCTAAGGAGCCTTCAGTCAGGCTGCAGGGTGAGCACATCTGGCTGCATCAAGAAGTTCTCTTCTTATCTCATCTTATCTGCTGATTACCGCAATGACAAACACTTCCGAACGACTGATCAAACAGCCCCTGAACGCAGCCCGCCCGCCCAGATCCATCACCCCGTTTCTGACCCTGTGCTCATCACAGCCATGGACGAGAGAGGCAGCCCCCAGTACTCCTGCTCATGTAACAGGTAAGGCGCTAGCAGTGTTGGTGGTTGACCTCTGCAGCTTCAGGACACCAGAACACTACATTATGTTCAGTATTGAGTTTAAACCAAAGCGCAGTCTCTGAAAGCCACGCTCACGCACAGACACCTATTTCCCACAGTGAACAGGTATGTGTTTTCACGTGTGCGTTTAGTGAGGCTATCCTAGCCTTGCAGTCGGAGGTATCTCGGCTGAAGAAAGACCTGGAGGAGGGCTTGGTCCAGCTGCCTCATCTAGCACACAAGATGGACTTTCTCACCTCCAAATACAGAGAGAACCGTCAGGAGCGCAAGTCTAAAAAGACCCACCACGGAGAAGACTACAGGTAGGGAGCTGATCGCGCGGGCTGAGTGGAGGAACAGATTTATAATGGCCGTTGATGAGGTGCATTCATTCAACATCTGGCTGATATTTAGCTTTATTAATTGTTGACAACCTGACAAACGCACATGCAGTGAAAATGTTCCATGAGGCACAAAGATGTTGAATATGAGATGACGGTTCCAAGAAAATCCTGTTCTGTTCTTACCATTTATTCCGTTCAAACGTCTAGTGACTGTAAGCCATCTCACAATGTGAGCCATCTCAGTTCCAGTCAGATGAGGATAGACGACTGGATCTCCTCCGACATGGACAAAGGTTGGACTACAAAAGCCTGACCAGCACATTACAGCAATATCTTAGTGGGTCTCAACATGTATTTTTTTCCATCGCCCACTTTGGTTTTGATCATCCGCTCTTCAGGTACAGACAGTAGTGACACGGCTGGCTCTGAGATCATGTTGGAGATCCCCAGTTCACCCGTAGAGAACATTAGAGGCAGCGTGGACCCTGCACCTGAGTTTCAATACAAACATCATGAGGCGCTGCGGTCAAACAGTTCAGTTCATCCCCCATTTGATTCTGTATTTCGTAGTATTTATGTCACTTACTCAGGGATGTTATTTTCATTGTTGTATGTTCTGCTCCTTCAGGGTCAGCGGGAAACGGCTCATCGGGTCTCACCCGCTCCATTTTAAAAGGAGGAAAGGCTTCTGACCAAAGACCAAAAAGTAAGTTATCTAATGTTTATCACATCAACATGTTGTGTCATTGTGGTTAATAAAAAAAAATATATATATATAAACATATAGCTATGGATGTAAATATGTGCAGTATGGTGTTGGTTTGTACACTGTAGTAATTCTCATATGTTTCTGTGATCAACAGCCGCCGTGGACAGTTTTTACTCCAAAGAGAGATGGTCTCCTTTGACCTCTCCGTCTCTTCAGACTCCCCTTCTCCAGGTGGCCTACGGCTCCTCCAGCAGCCTGCCTGCAAGGTAAACCATGTAAAACGCAATGTGTCACATCAACACACCTCTTTACTTACTTGCATATCTACATAATGTGATTGGATTGTATAGCTCTGTTCAAGTGGAATATCTGTCCTCAAATCCAGCTACAACGTGAAGGAGCCGTCTCTGCGGCCAACGTCCCATCGCAGAAAGCGCTCCACCCAGTCCGACACGGCCCTCCTACCCAGCAATGTGTACTTTCAGCGGACGCCGTCTCCGGCATCGCTGCCCTCAAAGGCCGGCAGCGGGTCGGGCAGACGCAGAGGGACCACGGTGAGATGTTTCGTCTCTTCACCAGCATGTCCACCGACCATCCTGGAATGTTAGAGATCCTCCCCGTGTGCAAGGCGTTCGTCGGTGGCGTGACGTTTGTTTGATAGTGAGCTCATTCTAAAAGTTTGCTAACTGTTTTCTAGGAGGTGGAAATGAACAGGACTCTAGACCAGGCCATAGAGGTGGCCCGCAGCATGAAGAGGACCACAGCCCTGATGGCCAAGAGACTGTCAGCTGACCTGGCTGAGGCTCATTGTCACGGGAGAGTGCACAGCGTGCAGCCGCAAGGGGGCAGGAAACACCATTACAACAAGCAGACCACAGATCAGTTTACTCTGTAATCAGGATCTGCCAGTCACAGTGATGCCGGAATTATTGTTTAAAAATCTCTTTATGTAAATTGATTTTGCTTTGAACCAGGCTGTTAATAATTAAAGTCTGAAATCAAATTTTTAAGTATAGGGATTTTTTTAAGGAATAATGACATCTTAAAAAAGCATGTTGATGTACAGCTATTTTGAGTAAGAAAGAAATTCATGCTTAATGAAAACCCATCATCTCAATTATATACTAAAAATACATTATATCAACTAATATGGGTTGCTGTTTTTTTAATTACAGTATTTTTGACAGTCCAGATACTCAGCAGATGAAGCAATGAACATAAACTTTATCTTTGTTGCTACACTTATGTCACCTACCATTTGTTTAACTATGAGCTATCCAATACACACAAGCAGCCACGGGGTAAAGAGATAAAGCCAGATCATATTAAAAGTATGTCAGATTTGTAATATTACATTTCAGGAAAATCCCACTTCGCCGTTAGTTCAAATCAGTCTCAACTTCTCCTCTGGCGCCAGTTTGAGTTTCGCTGTTGTTCTGAGGGGGTCTGAGGGAAGAAGATGCGTCTAAATAACTTTCCTTCGTACAGTCTTCAGGAGTTGTTCTGTGAAAATGCGGAAATGAGAAAAGCTGAAATGAATTTCAAAAATTGCAAGTAAATACAGAAATGAATATTAAAACACTGCTGTTAATACAGACATCAGAAAAGCTGAATTTATTTTAAGGAATTGTTGAAAATACTAAAATGGGAGAAGCTGAAATGAATGTCAATAGATTTGCTGAAAATACAGAAGTTGCAGGAGCTGAAATTAATTAATTCATTCCCTAGACTCCAAGATGAAATTAGTTGAATGTGAAAGTGTGACAATACTGTGATGAGGTACTTCTACCTTTCACCTAATGCATGCTGGGACGGGCTCAGGCCCCTTCCAAGCTTGAACAGGATACACATTTTAAAACAAGGAAACAACAGAGTATGTAAAGGATGAAGTGGTGCAATTGCTGGGAGAGGGTGATACACAATTTTATTTAACTCCAAAAACAAGTAACTCAAGGAAAGATTCACCAAAACTAAGCAGCGATGATAAGGCAATGATAAGGTGATGATAAGGTGATGATAAGGCGATGATAAGGTGGCGTTAGGGTGATGATAAGGTGATGATAAGGCGATGATAGGGTGGCGTTAAGGTGATGATAAGACGATGATAAGGTGATGATAAGGTGATGATAAGGCGATGATAAGGTGAGGATAAGGTGATGGTAAGGCGATCATAAGGTGGCGATAAGGTGATGATAAGGTTATGATAAGGTGATGATAAGGTGATGATAAGGCGATGATAAGGTGATGATAAGGCGATCATAAGGTGGCGATAAGGTGATGATAAGGTGATGATAAGGCGATGATACGGTGAGGATAAGGTGATGATAAGGTGATGATAAGGTGACGATAAGGTGACGATAAGGCGAGGATAAGGTGAGGATAAGGTGATGATAAGGCGATAAGGTGATGATAAGGCGGTGATAAGGCGGTGATAAGGCGTTAATAAGGTGATGATAAGGCGGTGATAAGGCGGTGATAAGGTGATGATAAGGCAATGATAAGGTGGCGATTTGCAAAGGAGAGGAATCTCAGTGTATAAATAACTCCTATTATAATGTGTTTTTTTTAATAAATATCCAAACATGATGACTGGGCATGCAATTAATACAGTTTACAGGTGGAATAAAATAGACAATAACCTCAAATAAACCTGTTTATCAGAATAAGGACTTTCTGTGATGGCTTTAAGGCTAAATACAAACCTAGCACACATGTGTCAGGGTCTGTCAGGGTTGAGGGTGGAAGGCAGGACTCAAATGCAGACTTCTCCAAAACAAAAGACTTTAATAGTCAAAAGGTCAAAAAACACAGGAACCGGGGGCAAAAGCACACAGGCAAGACACTACGGAGATCCAAGACGAAAGACAAGAACAAGCATGGCAAAAGACAATGACGCGACCAGTGACACAAGAGACACACGGCTTAAATACACAAGGGAGGTGCAGGTGATTGGACACAGGTGGAAACTATTAGACGAACACAGGGGATGACGAGACAAGGCAGGAAGTGAAGTTACCCGGGGACACAAGTGGCAGAAAACTACAAAATATAACATGAAGTGAACCACACCGTGACACACATGAATGCTGCTCATTTAAAATCACTGTTCCATCTGTATTCTCATGCATAATGGTGTCATCCAGGCACGGTTGCTATTGGCATGCCTGCTGAAAAATTCACATCCCAACTGCACCATCAAGTCTCCCACTGCGGCGTTCTGTGCTGTCTTACACCACAACATCTGGCTGCTGTCCTGACAAATGAACACTGGGAGACTTAAACATGTAAGTAAGCAATTATAGTAATAAGTAAGTTATGCAAACATATGATGATTCAGCAGTTCATTTCTTCGTCAGTCGTAAAAGGACTCAGTGTTCTTTTTAAATGAACAGTTATTGGTGTGGTCCTACTCGCAGGACTGTGTCGTCCTCATAGCATTGTCCTCCCATTCTGCAACTGTGAATGCTGTAAAGAAATATTTAAATGGCAGAGGATTTTCTTCCCCTTTGCCACAATAACAATGTGTGGAGCCAGACCTTTAATCATCTGTGGAGGCAGGTCTGTGAGACTGAATGCAGTCTAATGCCACCATGAGGTTTGTGAGAGAAATGTAAACTTTTGAAGAACATTATAGTCACGTAGGCTGCACTTTGTGGTACCGTTTGGTTATATTAAAACAAAGCATACCATACAACAAACACATGCAAGTGATAGAGCCACTGTGTCACTTCCCTTCCACACAGCAGGAAAGAAAAATGAAGAAAATGAAAATAAATGATACAGAAAAAGGTCCACGCAATAGTCTTATTAAAATATACTTATAGGGGGGAAACAGTGGTTGTCCCCAATGTCTGTTTAAAACAAAAGAAACACATTTATATTTAAAAGAAAACTTTACCAAACATTTCATGTTGCATGCATTCAGGGAGTATTCACCTCATCTTGACATACTTTGAGCATTGTGGCTCTACAAAACAATTCCAAGACAGGGAAATCTGACACAGTTAGCTTTTGTTCCTTAAACTCTGTAAGGGCGGTGATTATCTCACTTGTGAGAAGTTGAATTTGATCAGCTCCCTCCTGTTGGCTTTTATGCACAAAAGAGATCATCTGGTCCTCCGGGATCGCTCCAGCACATCTTCATAATACACACCTGACCCTGATACCAGGCCACCAGCTACTACAATAACCTTGCCTCGCCTTTTGTCCCCTTAACATGCACTGTATGCCGTGCAGAACTGTACGGCATAAAGCACAGTTCCACGTAGTAGGAAGTTACCAAATGCATGCTTGTGGTGATATAAGCCAGCTTCTTTCTATTGGTTAGTTTTGTTTGTAGATGCTGAGGTGAAAGGGACAAATGACCGCAGAAATAGATGAATCATGTATGTTGGAGAAAACAAGTAAATTGTACATCCTGGGGAACAGAAGTACACTTTATTAACACCCAACCATACGAGCCATATTTATATTTACTGAACAAAAACTGCAGCTGATAGATTTGTGTATAAAAACTGAGAACACAATGATTAACTCTTTAGAAAGAGGTTTCATTTGTCACAAGATACCATGGAAACCCAGAGAGATCAAACATTGTTTTAATAAATCCGCCCAATTTCCTTTCAGACACAGAAATAGGTCATCAATTGTATCAAAGGTATCTTTTAGTTTCGTGAAGCATGTTTCTCAACTGGGAGGTGAGAGGAGTTTGTTCCGGGGTTGCAGGATATTTCAAGAGGACGATCAATTTGAGACAAGGTCGTAAAAACACACACTTTGCAAACGCAGCTCATTTTTGTTATCTCCACCGTCATCTAGAAAGGCCGAGCGCTCTCCTCTCACACCCTGCGGGGAGGAGTCACCGCCTTCGGGCTCTTTGGTATTTGCTGGGACAATGCGGGACCTGTCGTTTCACCTGAGAGAGGGAGGGACAGAGAACAAAAAGAACCTCGGCTGCTTCCCTGTAGTCATTTTGGGAAACAGGCATCACACATCTCGCCTCCAGGCAGAGGCTCAGCGCCAAGAATAATCTCCTCAACGCCTGGGAACGACATTTAAAATGCTCAAACTTTTGCTTCTATTGACCTTCACGTCGGTAAGACATTATCATTTCTACACTTTTTTAGACATTTTCTAAAATAATGTAACGACTTGAATGTCCTCAGTGTAGGTAGGTGGCATGTTTTTCCCATTTTCTGATACTTTTTACATCCAGATAAAAACTAGTGGACGTTTGAAGTAGGAACACAGGCTCTTTTGAGTGTGACTGCTTTCAACACGTGCGTGCGGCATGCCCGACCTCAGCTCAATAGACAAATTCATTCCGACCTGAAAGAAATACCTGCGCTGACCAGCCCTGAAATCTGTGTTGAGTGAAGGTAATGTGCAGCCTGCTGCCTCTCATGCGCCGAGAACATGATACAGGCATTATATCCCCAGGCATAATTAGCCTGAGGATATAATGTGAAATACCAAGAGCCTCCTACCCTTGAAATGATGTCCTTGTCATGGAAATACTGTATTTCCTGTCGTCTATCGTTATAATTTCCTTGTTTCACTCATTCACCTGCCATGTTTTTTTTTCATTTTCAGATCTGTGCTGCTCAAAATGGTAAATGATCCTTTTTTTACATTTGCCTTACGGTACTTTATGATGATCCAAACTCAAATAGCTTAAAAAGTCCCCTGAAAATGGAATCATGTCCAATGATAAAAATCAATCAATGCACCTTTTCTTAAACAACCCAAATGTGCATATTGTTGTTCTACCTACGATACGAAAACACCCCCTCAGCGCGTGTTTGAATGTCTCCCTCCATCCCCCCCAGGCATCACTCTGTCGGCGTTCACGGTCACATCTAAGAGCATAACGGTGCAGTGGAGCAGCCGCCCTGACGCCAGCTCCTACAAGATCACGGCAACCCCCAAGAACTCTCCAGGACGATCCGTCTTCGCTCAGTTCAGTGGCGACTCCGTGATGGGCTCTGTCTCCTCGCTGACGCCAAACACGATGTACAGCCTGCAGCTAGAAGCCGTGGACGGCGCTCTCAATGTCCTCAGCCACGCGGAGACGGGGGAGACAACAGGTCGGCAAATGAGTCCTGGTGGAGGTTCAGAAACGTTACACTCTGTGAAGACAGATTGCATC